TCTTTGGGGGGGGGGGCAACAGCCTGGGAGGCAAAGCCCTTTCGCCCCCCGATCTCCTTCTTTCTCCTTTTCTTTTCTCCTTCCTTTCCCTTTGTCTCTTCTTAACCTTTCCTTTTTTTAATTTCCTTCTTTCTCTCTCTCTCTCTCTCTCTATCTTTTGCTGAAAGGGGGGTGGCAAAGGCCTTTCGCCCCGATCTCCTTCTGTTCCCCCTTTTCTTTTCTTCTTCCTCTTCTTACTTTCCCTTACTCTCCGCTTTATCTTCTCTTTCTCTCTCTCTCTTTCTCTTAAGTTTTTGTTGGCGGTTGGGGGTCAAGGCCCTCTCGCCCCTCCCCCACCCCCCCCCCCCCCCGCCCCCTGGATCCACGCCGGGAAGACCTGTAGTCAGGCGCGGATCCAGGATTTCCTAGGGGAGGGGGCCCAATTTTTTTTATTTTTTTTTTTGCTCCCGAAAATTTGAAAATCGCGTCTGCCGAAAAGTCGCTCAGTGGGGGGGGGGGGGGGGATATGAGAGTATATCCCTGTTTGTTTTGACTTTGTATACGTGTGGACTAGAGTACGGACATTTGGTGCGGCAGGCGGACCATTGGTGCGAGACCTCTTCCGCACAGGTTGTCCGTCAGACATTTGAGGCGCGCACGGAATGTCTGACACGGACATTCTGCGCGGATAAAATCCGCACCGATCGATCTCTCGATCGATCTCTAATAGTCGGACGATCGGTGCGGGTTACATTCTATGCGGTCACACCGGTACTGAGCTGTTTGTCCAGTGTGTGACGTCACTATTCAGAGCTCGCTACGCTCGTGTGTTTGGCTTACGTTCAGGGGCGTTCGAGGGTCTAAGAAGGGTCTTGAAAATTTGCATTTTACGCCTTTCCATGATATCTATATGATTTCTCAGCAAATTATTCGTCTTTTTCAAGAGAAAATCTTTCCATCCATATGTAATTTGTTCTAATTATCAGTTGTAATGAAATTTTTCTTTGTGTAGCTCCTTTAATCCTCTACGTTTACCTAGCCAACCTCCCCCCCCCCCCCCCCCCTTCCCTCCCTCCCTTCTCTCTCTCTCTCTCTCTCTTTTTCTCTTTCTATATCCTTCTCTCTCATTTTTGTGAGCACTAAAACAAAAAAAGTCCCCCCCCTCAACCACGCCCCCCTTGAGTAAAAAAAAAAAGAAAGAAGAGGATTCGGGGGGGAATTGCGTCTAACAACATTCTCCCCTTTTGGATAAAAAAAAAAATCGGGAAAAATCGGGAAATATCGAGAGAAAAAAATAGGGAAAAAATAGGGGAAAATCGAAAAAATTAGGGGGAAATAGGGATAAAATCGGAAGAAGAAAAAAATAGGGGAAAAAAATATAATCGGGAAACCGATTTAAATCGCGTAATTATCAGGCCTGTTGTTCACTCATAAAACGATAAAAATCAATAATCATGGAAAATAAAGAAACGAGAGAGAGAGAGAAAGAGAGGTGTCAGGTAACCAATGGAAAACTAGAAATAGATATTACAGAAGGCGAATGTTTGCGTGAGTTACGCCTGAAAAAGACATTTGTACCAGGGAACAATGAAAATACAAAAATTGCATAGAGAAAAGGGGATTTTGAAAAGAGAACAGGAGCATTTGATTGGGAAAAAACACAACAACAACAACAACAACACACAGTTTGGGATTTGAATTTGACCTACAGAAGTATATTTATGACAATGTTGTGTATTTTAAAGGTGTATGCAGGATAGCATTTTGGGTTTATAGGAATCTGTATGACAATGTCTTCCAAGTAATTCATGACAATTTTTTTTCTTTCTTTCTGTATTATACATGTAGTTCAGATAGTAGAGACGTATACAAAACATTTGTTGTCACGGTGTGACTATTCAAAATAGGAAAGTCTATACAAAAAGTTGACAGATTTTTTTTTTTTTTTTTTTTTTCAAAAAAAAAGATGAGGACATTTTTAATTGAAAGGAAAGTTTTGTACTTATGTTGTCAAAAGAAAATAGAAATTGATAGGTAAATGTGAATGAAAAGTACCCTGATTGCATAACAAATTATGTAGGATATGCAATTACGTATATACTCAAGTTTTAGGTTCAATGACAATGTTTTTTTTTTTTTTTTTTACATAGTTTTACTGGTAGTTTGATAAGCAGTCGATTCTTTATATTGCTTTGCGCACCTTTAGGAAATTGAGGACAATTTTTGCGTAGAAGGATATTTATGTAAGAGTTTGAATTTGTCTTTATATTTCAGTTAGTAAATTTCTTCTCTCTTCCTTATCCATTATTACATATTCATTTATATATTTGCATTCTTCATTTGCATATTCATTTTCCCAGCTTATGTTCCCATTTCATTGACCTTCTTACAGCACAGTCTTTCAATTGCACTACTGCCACACCTTATTTTCCTCTCTCTCTTGCAAACCCATTCCCTTTGTTGTCTTCTCATTCTCTATGCATGGTTGCCTTTTCCTGCCCTAGCAACATGCACTTTCTCTTCTCTCATTCGTTCTCTTTGCCTCTCACCTTTGATCTATCTAGCCTGTTCACCTCATTGGTTTCTCTTATCACATGACTTTCCCCTGATTGGTTTATTTTGTTATGATGCCTGATTTTTACTAAGAGACATGTTATAATTTTGTATATTAAAGTGAGTTCTGTTCGGTCCTTCTTGGTGTGAGGTTGTTTTATCTACTGTCCTGAGTTACTTGAGTTTTGTTGGAGAGTTTAGATTGTTTTTGATGCAGCATGGTCGATGATTGATTTTGGTTAGCTATAATTTCCCTCGGTTTTAACACGTTACAACACGAAGAAAGAGCTTATAGTGTCAGAAATCATTTGGCACATACGACATGTAACAAAATTCAATTCATTTAAAATTGCAAACAGTTGAAAACAATTAAAGAACAAATCTTGTATTTTCAGAAAGTTTTAGGAGACAGTAAGTGAAATTTAAATTGATATTTCGCTTTTTGACAAATCAAGACCGTGATTTTTTTTGCATTAGTAATTGATTCTGAACACAATCACATCCTTTGAACATCACTCGACATGCTACTACAAATCCTTTCGCTATAATACCACGCGTCGTACATAAATCACAAAAGGTGAACATATTGTTTCGATGGGCATTGTTGTATTCTTAATCTTTGGCATGAATTTCATGGTTTTAATTTTTGTTAACGCCTTTTCAATGAGCCATGCCTATAATCTGAAGGGGTGATATAAAACTTATTTCTCAATTAGACAGTCCACTTTAACAATATGTGTGCAGAATTACTTTAGAGGTAATACAAAGTTTTGGGAAATTAAGAAAATTGGGTGGATAGTGATTCTTTACAATTTTGATATAATAATGTGGATGCTCCTGTGGATGTATCATATGCACTAGAAAATTCAGCCCCTAAAACACTTCTGCTTTCGAGAACAATTGCATATAAAAATTTACCGGTGCTCCCGGTAAATTTTGATAACTTTCAAATAGCGCCTACGGCCGTACAATGGTAGCTGTGACCATGAAAATCTCATATGTAGTTATGATGTATAATTTCCAAACGGGAATAGCTAATCGGTCGATTTTAGTCAAGAAACATTGTTTTATAGCTTAATAAATATATTGACCTTGAGAAGGAGCTTTACAACATAAAGAGTTTATTATTCACAATTTCATAACGTTAGACTCGATTTCAACCGCGACAACGATCACTGAATATTGTAGGATCGCATATGCTTCCAATATGTTCATTTGAACCAAATTCATGACCCCATACCAAAACTTTGTATTACCTTTAAGCGTTCGAATAATTATTGAGAAAAACAAATAGGAAATTAGTTCATGCAATGATGAAAAAGTAGTGACAGAATATAAAAACAGTGTATTCGAGAAGTAGGTGAAAATGGAGAATGACCTAGGTAATGTGTGTATGTGTGTATGTGTATAAACATAGGGTAATGTAAATTACTGAAATACATTTAAATAGAAATCAAACATCTAAAGTCCATCGTGTCAGCATATGGTTTACTTTATGAGTATTTCGGTATGTAGATGTCCATGTCATGATTAACAAATACGCTATATGATATACATGTACATCCAAATAATAAGACATCACTACCATGTCATTAGTTCCTTCATTAACATCAGCCACCACTGTTTATTAACATCAAGATAAAATCCAGGTAAAATCTTCAAATAAAAATATAACACTTGTATGGTAAAATGAAACAACCGAAGTAACATGAAATACTATTACTGTTTGCAATGTGCACTTCATAAACAAATATTTCATAAATAAGCCACACTTTTTCCAACTCCATTCAGCGTCTTGAAGTAAACATGTTGACAATAATGTACGAAGTCAAAGATAACATAGCATTTCACCAATTAGAAATGCCTACAGGAAAATATCTACAATGGCTTAATTACACATCAATGTGGTCAGAAAAATCCAACCCTGAAATAAAAAAAACACATTTGATTCCTTAGATGAACAAAGATGTTTCCACATAATATATAATAATAATATTCAGCTTTTATATAGCGCTTAATACATTTTGGACGTCTCTAAGCGCTTTACAGATATACTTTTACCCGGTCATTGGATTCAGTGCTTGCCCGCACACACTGTGTGCACAATCTTCACTCCCTGGAGAGCATTCCAGCCAGGCGTTACTCGACGCTCAAAACTGTTTGACCAACAGTGACGGTCGCATCCTACCGGGTACCCATTTTAACACCTGGGTGGAGAGTAGCAAATGTAGGTTAATATCTTGCCAAAGGATATTAGTGCCGTGTCAGGATTTGAACCCTCGACCTTCACATCTGCAGTCAAGCACCTTAAACCACTTGATCAAGACACTTATACATAGAAAAGGAAGGTTGTTTTCCAAAGTTTCTGCTTCAGTTACAGAATATGTGTTTTGAATCACATTTCCATTCATATGACACGACTGTTGTCAACTGTATTGACTTTTTTAAACAAAATTTTTAATTTTTCATTCCTCATTCAGCATTATGGGATATAAAATTTATACTTACACATGTACTTTGACACAATAAATACTTTGATTCAATGATTTTGTTAAAGCTTGATCAAAAATCAATCCTAGATTGTGTGCGTGCAAGTTGTTTTGGGGGTTTAAATTTGATAAACATACATTTTCTTTAAATTAGATTTTATTTAATTTTGCTAAATCGATTCATATACATGTACATACAAATTTAAAACTTAAATTTGAAATATTTACAATGTAAATGTCTTCTGTTTAAAAGATACCTAAGAAGCACTTCAGGCCTTGAAAAGCCTTAAAAAGCCTTAAAACACAAGTTACACAAATATTTCTGTAATCCATTCTTCATCTTTGTTGAATGAATGTGAGAGAGCAGTACATTTGATTTCTCACAAAGTAGTTGTAATTATTACCAGAATACATATCAGAATATATATATATGCACAAATTAGCAAAAACACCTTAACAATGAGTGCAAGCTATAAATATTATGTTAAGAATGTTAAGAAAATGTTTATAATTTAAGCAGCGAGATTATCACATCGCATGAAGTAGAAATTGACACTGGGATTTTTGCTTGAGTTTACTAATATGATGCATCAATATACCCATGTCATGCCACAATATGTGATACCTTATTGACAATGGGTTAATCTGAAACCATGATTAAAAAGGGGATATATATAATAAATAAAATGCTCACACCCTATGAGATAGCAGCCATTCAACCATGCATACAAATATTAATCACATTGTCAGTTTACATGAATACTGTACATATAGCATTATTGCGATACCAAAATCTCAATTATTAAACATCAATACTTTAATATTATTCACAAAGGCACTTCCATGCACAAATTTCAACTTTTAAAAATATACTTGAATAATCAAAATCCAATTCTCTTATCAAAAACATGTACAAAACAGGGAATTAATATTGTATTATTAGATTCATTACCATTGTTGCACCATATTTTTAAATATTGATAAGGTTTAGACTCAAGCATTATGGCTACTACGGTACATTGTGAATACATTGAAAACTTAAACACATCACATGACATCCAGCGCACATAACATTCCTACAAAAGGGGTCTGTTTCACCACACATGTAAATATGTCATCATCATCAACAAAACGTGTCAATGGTAACGATTGAATGTTGCAATTTAAACACAAACTTTCAAATCTTATAGTTGGACTCCAATCCAAAATACTGAAGAGTATTGTCATCAAATTTGTACAATTCTGGTTTCATTATTTAGTCAAATAGATCAAATTTAAAATGACAAAGACCATGGACTACATGTGGTACATTAATGTCAATCAATATCAAACGGTGACTGTATCATAACAGCAATTAAAGTATAATGGTCATGATATTCAGAACACTTTTTGGTTATTTAAGACAGTTTTATACTATATTTCACAGTATTCCACTGAATAGTTGAAGGAAATATCAACTTTTTGTAACAGTAAAGGACATGACACAAAATGGACAAGAATTCTGTTTACTCACTGTAAACAGTTTGAAAAGTCTGTGATGGGGGGGGGGGGGTGTTCCAATGAATCTAGTTTAGGTATTAACAGAAGCTTGTAGTCATACACAGATACACATTGCAAAACAATTGGATCATATATTTCCTTGTTACAATTAAAAATGTAGCGTAACAGACGTTACATTTTTGTTCACTTTTTAAAAACCCTGTAAGGAAATACTACCTTTGTGTACACAGCTGAAATGTTTAAAATCAACATTAAAATATGCTGCAATTCAGGCATAATAATATAGAGTAAGTTAAATAATGATGAATATATCAACACAAATACCAATACTGGTCAACATTTGCAGCATCAGTATATTAGTCTTGTATTCAGAGGGAAAGGTACTGGTACATGTATTTATCAACAAAAACGTAAGAAAGTAGATTAAAATCGTTACAACTGTCCCAAATATGCCACATTAAAGAAATAGCAGAATTTGCCAGAACTACTATGATGCAGTTTTACCAGACACCAAAAGAAAAGAGTGTAGAACGCCATTGTATATAAGTTACGAGAAATAAAACTGTATATATATATATTACTTGTAATGGTAGAATAGTCAAAAGCCAGAATAGCGAGTCTTGTACATATATTTTGTTTAAACGTCTATCTACTTTGTGCAGACTTAGAATGTATGTATAATACCGGTACATGCAAATATGTTTCTTTGTGTATTCTCTGATACCCTGAGAGACCAATACATATACTTCTGTAACTTTGACTGTTTTGTACGACTAGGTGGTGAGGTACATGGAAGTTCAGGGTTCCTCTACATCCGTTCACACACTGAATTGAAAGAGACATTTAACAATATGCTTACCAACAAAAACATGAATTCCATATATCTCGGCTTACATATACAATATTACCATGTATGACTCACCGAGAGGAATGATGGATTATCACACGTATACAAGCACAAATCGAACATGAACAACCTGTCTCAAATAACTATCAAAGCTGGGATTAAACCACTTGAAAATGAACATTAATTGAAAATGAAACCATCCTAATCTTAACAGGCCAAGATCATGAAGATCACTTTGAACCCCCACCTCCACCCCCTTGAAATACTGTCCAGTTTATATTGAATTCAGCTTTCTATGATCTCCTTTTAAAAGTAAGACTACGTTGATCGATTAGGTCCCCCATTGAGCTTGAAACTACCGCTAGGTATCTTCTCCTTTAATTTATCTGTGAGTTCTTTAATAAGTGAAGCAGTCTTCTGATGACCGTGTTGGGCAGCTAACTCAGCTGCAGTGAAGCCTTCTCCATTGGGTTTGTTGGCTGGGATCACATGAGATTCTAGTAAGTACTGTATTGCTTCAAGTTGGTTGTTGATTGCAGCCTGATAGGGGAAGAATAGAACAAAAAATGATTCAGTCTCTAGTAAGTACCACAGTCTGCACAAAATGGTGATAGACTGAACACATTCTACATGTCCAACTACTGATCCCTATCAGCCTATCTAATTTTTAAATAGTACTCTGTCTTCATAAGAAAGTATAACCATTATCCTATCATCAGATCCATGATTACAAACAATGATTACAAGCAATGTGTGCACCATCTCCCGTACATTGAGAAATGATTTTTACGATGGCTACTGGTCACTAAAGTGCACCGTACACTATACGATCTGACTACAATTCAAATTGAAATTTTTTAGATCTTAATGATTCAAGGATCTGAATAGTCATATGCTCAATAAAATCTGAGTTTCAAGGGGTTTTAAGCTTCTTTGAGAAGGAAAAGCTAAATCGGCTCAGATTTCCAGTGATGTCAGACCATTTGTGCGATTGTCTATGTACGATTTGAAGCCGATTCAGGTTTAATTCTGACTAGAAGGCTTAAATGCACTAATTCCAGTTATTAGTATTCTTATCATCACTCAGAAGTTAAATCAGAACAAATTTATGTTTAGATTTCCATATCAAATGCAACTGCCTTTTCCTTGAAAATCAGATCGCAGGAGGATTTTTTAGTGTAGGGCAGAAGGGAGTCAAGTAGCAAATTAAATCAAAAGAGCTTTCAGCATGCAACCAGAAACCCTTTCTTCTCATAGATGTGATTGAAGGAGAAAAAAAATTAACATTTCCTACATAGAACATACGTGCTATGGATTAGATTTGAATTATCAGCTTTTGACCTACAGTCTAGTAACATATCAATTACACCACTACTATATTATCAAATTCTACTACATACCACATGAAGTGCTGTATTGCCACTATAATCTGTGCACATCATATCCACTCCTGCCATATGGTATGCTTGTAATCCTGTTACATCATTTGTTGCTGCAGCGCTGTAAACAACAACAAAAAGCATGTGAGTACGGTAATGGGTTATGTTCACATCAATGATAACAATATTATGTGCTTCATACTAGCATCTAGTTTGCCCGTAGAATAGCTATTCCATTCTCACTAGCCTTTTCAAATAAATAACTTCGGTAATCAGTCCAAGAACCATGTTCCTTTATATATGAGGAGTGATGTTAACATACTAGAATGGTACTTGCCTAACCCATTGACTACTGTATTCTCTTTTGCCATAAGCAAAATACTTGGGCAACCTGGTTCCAGGAAGTAGTGGGTTAATTGCCAGGGCTTTTGTGATACCGTATTTGGCGGCGATAAGGCCGCACCGCTGCATAGGCCGCACCCCAACTTTGACATTTCAAAGAGGGAAAAAAAAAAAACGGACAAAACAAAATAATCATAATTTTGTCTTAAAAAACTTATAATTTACCGGAAGTTTAGCTAAAAAAGCGATCGCAGGCAGATTTGGTGTCCGATATACCCCTACCACAATGTACGGTGTAATACAAAATTGCATGAAATGGAAAAAAAAAATGGCAACTTCGGATGGATGCTTCGCGGCAGGTCCGTTAAACGGTCCCTTCCTTTCCTTTTGCAATGCATTGGCACGAACTTAGATCAAGATATATCGGCAAATGTTGTTTTTAGGAAGTTATTTTCGTCTTCATGTCAACATTGCAAGATAAAATTGTCGGTAAGATGTTTGAAAATGTCCTGTACCATAGTGGTATAGTTTTTTTACCGTTTCTAGTCCCATATGTGCAAATTCGTGTTGGTTTTGACTTTCGTTTTTTTTTTTTTTTACTCTTTCGTCGTAAAGGCCGCACCCGACTTTTTGATATTTTCTTTTCCAAAAATACTGCGGCCTTTACGCCGGCAAATACGGTATGATGTACTATGTTAGATGAAAATGTTTCCTACATGATATTGTGTTCATCCATCTTACCTGCATAGAAGGACAGCCAGTTCAAAGGGACTCTCATTGATCAGGTGACCACCACACTGCTTGATTATCTCTATGGTGTCAAGTTTTCTACAGAAAGTAAGAAAGTAACAGAGTTCAAGAAAATACTTCATAGTGCTATCCCTCGACACTTCAGCCATTTGAAATTATTTTTGTTTTTACATACAGAAGAAATTTACAACTCATGCAACAGAATAGCTTCTGGAAGTGCACTTGTTATATGATATTTTCTTTTTCGGTATTCTTAGCTCAATCATCATAACTTGCCATGGACGAGTTTAGGAAGATTTACAAAAACTAAGCATCATTAAACAGTAATTGCATGATTCAGCTAGTGAGCATCTAAAACAAGAGTAAGCTTGTATATCAATATCTTGCAACATGAGACAAAAAGAAAATAAATCTATCAAACAGAATTCATGCTTCAGATTGACAATTTCCAAATATATTGGTTGCCTTTTTATATGAACCACATTTCAGGGACCCACATTTTCATTAGCCATTTCAACTATTTTATGGTCTCTAATCACCATGTTTCCCCCTATAAATGTTGTTTCAGAAATGATAATAAACTAATTCATACATTCATTCAATCTAGATAGATGGGGCAGACATGCAACGACATCCAAATTACGTACCACTTTAACTACTACTTTTGATATATGCCTGTCTACCATAGCAAGTGTGGAAGAACATCTGATAAAAAAATATTCCCTGAAAGCATTGCTCTTCAAATGCCTTAATATCCTAAATATGGCATGTAACGGCATAAAAATTGGGACAGATTTTTATGCCTCATGTTCGAGTAGTCCCATTTACATCTTTCTGTGTACAGTGCTTGTAACTTTACATAGACTGGGCTAAATTTCTTATCATTTTGATGATTCCAGAACCTTGCAGTACACACTAATACTATATACCATATGATCAACCTTTTCTGACCGATTCCACACTGTTTCTTTCACAATGCAATCGCATGACCAGAACTCAACTCTATCTTTAAGTGGTCAACTGTATTCCTTTGAAGAGCCACGGGAAGAATGCAACTTTGCTACAATGCCCAAAGGCCCATCAAAGAAACACTTACCTATTTCTAATGCTGTCCATGAAAGGAGTATTACCAAACCTATCTCTGGCATAGATAGAACAGCCATTCTCTAGGAGGAACCGAACAACCTCTGTATGACCTTCACTGGCTGCAAGATGAAGAGCTGTGCGACCATCATAGTCATGTCCTGTTAAGTTAGCACCCTAGGGGGATTATAGGAGACACCCACAGATCAACATCAACTTAATATCTTCCTTCCTTCTGTTGCTCTCATGACACAATCATAAACCCAATCAGCTTATCTAGGGAGTGATATACAGGGGGGGGGATCCATTCCAGAAGGGGAGGAAGAATATACCAGGGCAGCTTAATGCAACAAGCCTGGATTCACAGTATTTAGAATTGCTCATTTCACTGACAATCATTAACAGCTCAGTTTCCAGTGAAAATTACCATAAAGACATAAACATGGCCACTGAATGTATATGACTGAAAAATATTGCATAATAGTAATTTCCCTGTTTCCAGAGACAACAAATCTACAACACAGTAACAACATCCTACATCAACCCTCCCTTTAGTGGTTAAATGCTCAACTCTAATGATCTGCTATCTTCAACAAAATGGTTTGAAATTAGTCCCCAAGTCGTTTCAGTTTGGTAAACCAGACTCTGATCACTACCATCAGAGCCTGGATGTATTTTTCTCATCTGGTGCACTGATCTCTACATGTGAGACAGCAGTATACCTAAAACTTGCCTTATACAGGTTAGAGAGATGACTAGAATTAAAATTTTACAATCATGCCACAGTCCATTCTCCAATAAAAGATATTAATATTCTTGCAAAATGGACTTTAAAAATAGAAATCCCAAAATCCATGATGAATAACGATATGTTTTATTTCAAAATAAACCGTGGCTCAATTTTTTTTAGCAATCTTCCCAACCTGCTCATGCCAGCTCTTGGGTTTGTAAAAATTCAATCCCAGTGTTGTGATAGAAATTTACTGGGGCATAAGGACCCAACTGGTTTTCAGCCATCGGGCCCCAGTTTAAAAAGAAAACATGATGACCCAGACCTATTTCAAATTATTTTGTATACTCACAGAAGGAAACACATATATTAACACTAAATCATTCTTATCCGCAAGTGTACCAGGGTTCTTGTTAATAGCCGGCAACCGGCAATCGTAGCCGGCTGTAAGCCTCTCCAAAAAAAAAAAATAATAATACAAAAATCACATCATATTCGGTCAAGTCGCTATCTCAAACCCTGCTGGTCTTCAGACTGTCGGGCTGAGCATTCCCAGCCCCGGACTATGGCACAAATTGGGTCATCCTGATAAACAGAGACCACTAATAAACAACATAAAACATGTCTTATTATTCCTCATCTGAACTTGATATCATGATTAACCTTGCAAAGTTACTCTGTGAAGATAGCTGATCTGTGACGTGTTTATATATGCCTTTGCAATGCAATGTTTGCACATGGTCAGGGAGAGAGCTCCCTGCATGTATCATTGCCATATGAAATTATGTGGAAGTGTGTATCACACACACCCAAGACACACCCTGCAATGAGCTGATCCAAGTTAGTGACCAATGAGGAAGGTTCTCTAGCTATGTGGGTGGAGTTTGATACCAGCATAAATTACAGGTTGGTGACCGCGCGTGCTTTCACCGTACCCAGTTCAGTGGGAGGTCAAGAAGCCACGCCCACAAGTGTGCATGTGACAAGCATGAGCTCTCCATCTGTGTGTATGTACAGTGTATTTGGGCGCCGGAGGTTTGTGTGTACATGTGTGTGTGACTGAGAGAGCACGCATGGGCTAGCATGTCCCTGCATGTCCCTGCACAAGTAAGACAAGTGAGACTCGATAGAAAGGATGGCTGTGTTAATCGGCTGAATTGAAGAATGATCAAAAACTTAAATTACTCACAATATCCAAGACTTTGTTGATTGATATTTCTAAAAATTCAATTATTATTGTTATCAATATTTTTGTATTTTATTTATATATGAACATTATTTTAGGGGGCGAGTCGGCAAGGGATGGATATTAATATTGAGAGAGAGAGAGAGACTCGGGGGAGAAGGGATGTGAGAGGAACTGACCATCGAATGTGTAAACATTTAGAAAGTTGTGAGCTGAGAGTGCAGTAATAAGAAAAGGTACATGAGCGATGAACACATTGCAGAGAGAAGGGAATAAAGAGGGTGAGAAAAGAGAGAAGGGGGCTGGTTGTTTTATTGTTTACAAATTCATTCATGGGAATTACTGCTGCCAGAAAGCTGGCGCGCAGCGGCCAGGGTGTAACATTACACTGCGGTTTCTTTGATTATCTTTATCATCGGCTATTAGCACATTCCAAAATGTATGCAAATAACGGTTAACCGGAGCGAGAAATGCTAAACGGTTTTGATGAATGCGGTCGGATAACCGTCGGTTAAACGGTTTGACTCAGGCCTAGTGTGAAACTGTGATTGATTTGGCGATGCACGATTCGATTCAGAATACGAGCGCTGCACAACCGGTGCGGCACGCTATACACATACACTGTCACAGAGACTAGACCGTAGACGTACGTTCGTAAACAAGCTCAAGCCAGCGAACTCCGCTCGCAATAATTTAAAGAGGCCAGCTCCAGAGCTCGCTCTGCGTCCAAATGATCACCCGCATTGGCATTGCTATTTATACTTCGTAATCCTAAGTTAGATCTACCGTATTGTGAATAAAAAATGAAAATTTGTACTCATATGTACTCAGAACTTTGTCCAACACCGATATAATCCTTATATCTATTTGATAATTGTTTCAATACAACAACAAAAAGGTTTTTTTCTGGATCTTTTCTTTTCGTGTTGTAACATTTTTACTTTTACTTTTAGCGATCTATTTTACCGATTCGAAAAACAGAGGTGGCATATTGCATATAAACGTTAAGCGCATGGCGATTGGAAGAAAAGTACCGAAAACTATTTTTTTTCGTAGGCCTAGAGTCTATAGAAATAATTAATAATTTTTTTTTTTTTAATTTTTTATCGCAAACGATTTTCTTCACTGACAAGGTCCTGTAAACGTCAGTTAACTGTTTTTGCCCAGGACTACCTTGTATCATTATCATGTAATTCAAAATTGTAGATTCATCACAAATATGATTGATTTATCAGAAACAATAATGGAGCATTTTCATTTCATATTGTATATCATATGAAAAGTAAGTTATTCAGCCAAAATATTCATGATCTTTATCATTAAACTATGGCTCATACAGTGTGGTCATATCTTCAAAAATAAGGCTAAGATAGCACCAGAGAGCATCTAAAACCCTAAAGCTTCCAGGGCCCTTGGGCGGGCCCTGGACCCCGGCCGCAAGGGACTTCGCGCTTCGCGCTCGTGATGTGCGCTACGCGCACAGAGATTTTTCTTTTGCAATTTTAGTAGCCTCCTGTAAATCATAAATAGCCTGCTATCAGAAAAATTAACAAGAACCCTGGTGTACCTTATTCTATTTCCAAATCCAATTCACAGAATGAGCCCTTCTAAGCTGGAATTATTTGTAGTACAACTCGTTCTCATTTTGAAATAGCAGAGGTCTTTGCAAAAGCATTGGTGTATGTATTAAGTGTAAGTATTAAATCTCTATGGGTGTAACTTACGGTTTCCTGCATGTACTTGATTGCGTTTAAGTCTCCATTTCTAGCTGCAGCACACAATAGGGGTGGGAAAAGAGTCTCACTCACAGCTTGCACTTCCTGCAGTATTAACAACATAATGATATATTGTACAATCATGTATCGAATGTTTCCATAGGATGAAATAAACCAACTACTATATTATTCACCATCCTTACATTTGGGGCTTCCAACACTTTAAGAGGGGCTTTAAAGGATAACATATAACTCCTTGAAAGTCATGATAAGGTCCTATGTAGGACCACTCTTGTTTTCCATATACATGTATCTATCATATTACCCAAATGGCATTGCCATTGTTAGTAATGATATGGAAAATATACCTAAATAGGTTAATGAAAACCAATTACTCCTTACTGCTGATCAACCAAAATGCAAATGTAATTGGATCAAAGAAGAATGTTAATAGTGATTGATAATAATTATAGTTAGTAAAATATTTTTCACTCAAACTGAACAGATGTTAAGAAAGAGTGAAAGTGATAAAATTAAAAAGGTGGTCTGGTTGATGAAGAGTTACACTGGACAGAATAGGTGGACAAACTTATCAAGACCATTCTACAAAGTATTGGTGTTATTAAGTGTAGTGAAATATTTCCAGCAAGATCTGTCACACCAGTGTTCTACCTCATTTTGTTTCCTCCTTGATTCGTGCTGAATGATTTCAAATACAAACAATTAAAATACAAAACGTTAAAATTGGAGCTGCTGTAAGGTTTGGAAAAGGTCTGATGTATCTTTGAATGACCTGTTTAATCTTCGGGATATATACCTCTTTAGACACATTTTGAGGACTTTGAACATCCAGTGATGATACATGCTACTGCGCCAGCATAAAGAATGACATAGTGTCAGTGTATTACATGATCACAAATACAAGACAAGCTGAAAAAGGATGCATTGTTTGTATCAAAATCTGGGAAAAACATAAACATGGTCCTTTAGTTAATAGCACTGTGGCATGGAATTAGCTTATCCATATTTCTGTTATGAGCACAGTTAAATGTTTGTCTTGACTACGTGACTCACTTTGCTACTTCCAATCCTCAATGTGTCTACCACAGCTCTGATGAATTCGCTGTCCTCAAATGTGAATGTTCTGCCTGTAGCCGTAGAAACCGATATCTCCCCTCGAAGATTCCGTTTGAGTTGTCTTCTCTTCTCTTCAAGTGAGAAGTTAGGCTGTCCTAGGATGTAGCTGAGTTTACTGAGGGCTGCTTCAGGGGTTATATCAGATCCTGGTATCACTCCTGCATCTAACAGCACCTACAAGAAACGAAAAAAATTCTGTTCTCAAACAATGATTATAAATACCAGTTACTCCACCCAGTTTTCCACAAAAAAAATCTTCCAATAATCTTCCCTTTGGACTACTGCAGTACTCTACTTTCTGACTTGATACAAATATTTCATATGCGACTCAAATTGGGAAAGTATCAGACAAAATTTTAATTATTGAAGATTCAAGAAATGAAATCATGAATTGCTTCTCAATTAGAAATTAAGTATGGTTTATGGTAGGAAACATAATGGGCACTGATTCTTAAAAAACTAGATGGAATTTTGACTGCGCGCAGTCGAAAATGATGCCTCCGCCATAGAGCAATTTAAACAAGTTTGGAGTTTAAATCTCCAGTGGTTCTTGAGATATCATGATAACAATCTCAATGTATGGAATTTCATAAGTTGACCTCTGTGACCCTTGACCTTTGACCTACGTGCTCCAAAATCTAATCAGATTGTCTTCCTATGGTGATACACACTATCATTAAGTTTGAAGTTTAAATCTCCAGTGGTTCTTGAGATATTATGATATGGTGATACATACTATCATTAAGTTTGAAGTGAAAATTCTCCAGTGGTTCTTGAGATATCGCGATAACGATCTCAATGTATGGAATTTCATAAGTTGACCTCTGTGACCCTTGACCTTTGACCTACGTGCTCCAAAATCTAATCAGATTGTCTTCCTATGGTGATACACACTATCATTAAGTTTGAAGTTTAAATCTCCAGTGGTTCTTGAGATATTATGATAACAATCTCAATGTATGGAATTTCATAAGTTGACCTCTGTGACCCTTGACCTTTGACCTACGTGCTCCAAAATCTAATCAGATCGTCTTCCTATGGTGATACATACTATCCTTAAGTTTGAAGTTTTTACATCTCCAGTGGTTCTTGAGATATCATGATAACAATCTCAATGTATGGAATTTCATAAGTTGACCTCTATGACCCTTGACCTTTGACCTACGTGCTCCAAAATGTAATCAGATTGTTTTCCTATAGTGATACACACTATCACTAAGTTTGAAGTTTAAATCTCCAGTGGTTCTTGAGATATCATGATAACAATCTCAATGTATGGAATTGCATAAGTTGACCTCTGTGACCCTTGACCTTTGACATACGTGCTCCAAAATCTAATCAGATCGTCTTCCTATGGTGATACATACTATCCTTAAGTTTGAAGTTTAAATCTCAAATGGTTCTTGAGATATCGCGCTAACTCAATACAAGGAATTTCATAAGTTGACCTCTGTGACCTGTGACCTTTGACCTACGTACTCCAAAATCTAATCAGATCGTCTTCCTATGGTGATAAATACTATTCCCGAGTCTTAAGTTTAAATCTTAAATGGTTCTTGAGATATTGTGATAACGGTCAAACGGGACGGACGTACGGACGGACGTACGGACGTACGGACGTACAGACGTACGGACGTACGGACGGACAACCCGAAAACATGATGCCTCCGGCACCACCTTCGGTGGCGGAGGCATAAAAATTGTTGAACTCTCCATGGACTTAAAATCAGTGTTTCTCAAAACTGATTGGCCACTTACTATAATATGCAGTAAAAAATTCCCAAGCAAAAACCAAAACCATCTCTTTGACTGCACATATCTTTGTTTGTGTACTTCTCATTAATTGCAGAAATGTTTGACTGACCAGTTTTTGGAGTGTTTGTACGCTTGCTTACCTTTCCTGTTTGATATGATGCTGATACACCTCCACTAGAACACTGGGTGCAATTAAGGATGATCATGCCTCTATCTGCAGCAGTTTGGATCTCAGCTATTATATCTCTTCTATCATCTGGACAGTTCCCTGCACCATACGTCTGTAGAACAATACCTTCCATTGGAGGTTGCAGGAAAGCTCTTACCTACAACAAGAAGAAAATAATGAAATCAGTGTATGGATGTCGGCTACAAGATCATTGGAGCATTGTCCCAGAACATATTCTATAGTTTTTGAGCGTCAAGTAACGCCTGGCTGGAATGCTCCCCAGGGAGTGGCAAGCATTGAATCCAATGACCGGGGTAATAGTATAGCTGTAAAGCACTTAGAGACATCGTAGACATATTAAACGCTAGATAAAAGCGGACTATTATTATTATTTTTATAACACACCTTATTGGGGTTGGAGGACCACTCTAGCATGTTCAAAAGTAAACTAATTAGAAATGTATCAATGAAGATCAATTCAAGTTTGAAAAAGATAATCCTCAATTACCATGATGGATGGATCACAGAAACTGAGAAGGAATGATCCTGAGCATTCCTTCTTTCCGTTATCCAATTGATAATAAATCAAAAATAGAAACTTTTAAGCTTCCAAGTTCATTACTTGTTAATTTTTATTAAAAGTATTTGTACACAAAATATGTTTTTCAGTTTTAAACAAAAATGACCAATTGATTTGTGGAAAGCCTTTACATATTTGATTTCATCTGACGAGGCGAGACTGATGTACTGGATGCCATGTGAACCATGTGAACCAGACCATATCGTTACGTATTGTAGTATATAAATAATACACAGCAGTGAGGGCATTAGTAAGAATTACCCATACAAGGTACCTTTGGAACAGTCTAACACGACCGAGGCGATAGCTGAGGGTGTTTGGACTGTTTTTAAGGTACCGAGTGTGGGTAATTTTACTAATGCCTGAACAAAATGTGTATTATATGTTCTATAAGACTATGTTTCATATTTTTTTATAAAATTATGTTTTATAACATGATTCGTGCCTTTGAATGTTTTTTTAAACAGATATATGGCTCCATACAAATGCTGTGAATCATCATCATCATAATGATTTTGATAATGACCGGTCCATACCATTGGACAATGACCGGTCATTATCCAAATTTACACGTTAGGCAAAAGAAATGCCTGGTCAATCACGTGTACGCTTTAAACCAATCATTTGATTAGGATTTAGGATCCACGTCATCATCTTATAATTAGCTCTATCTCACTATACAAAGATCATGGAAAGTGAACAAACTGGAGGAAAGGCACCAGGAAAGACTGATGTACAATGGATGCCATACCATACCATGGCAAAGGCTTATCATGCTGTACAACTTCCAAGATCATGTCTAATTTATGTGAGAAACTTACCGTTTCAGCTGTGATACTTGGGAATAACCTAAGAAGTCCTACATTCCTGGTCATGTTGGTGTTCACTCGAAAGGCTGCCAAAGTGTTCATTCTGAATATACTCGACCAATTTACTAAAATCAAATAAATAAAAGAAACATAAATAAAACATTTAATATTGTCTCCATTAATCTTAATATGAGAGTATTTGAATGCAATGACCAAGTTTCTAATCTATATCTTTAACCCCACTTAAGAGTTACCATAGTTTCAGAACAATAGCAGCATCAATAGTAGAAGCAGACAGTGGAAGTGGAAAAGAAGAAATAGAAGAAAAGAAAAAGAAGAAGATGCAGAAGGAGAGGAAGAAGAAGAAGAAGAAAAATTAGTAATAGTAGTAGAAAGTAGTAGTAATAGAAAGTAGTCGTAGTAGTAGTAGTAGTAGTAGTAGTAGAAGTAGTAGTAGTAGAAGCAGCAGTATCAATTAAGTTATCAACAGCAGGAGCAGAAGCAATATAAGCACCAATAGAAGCAGGAATAACAGAAGAATGTTAATTAGTATTACAGAGCTGCCAACCTTGTGCGACCAAAAAAAGGAATCATGATGGCAAAAAAAAGGAATTTCAAGCTAAAAAAAGGAATTCATTAAAACGTACTTACAACAATGCACGACACACTTCCAATGCAGAAATGTCCATTCCTTATGCTGTTTTTTTCCATACAAGCAGGGTTTTTTTTAATTGTTTTAATTTTGGTATTATCAGTACCGGTATTTCATTTTTGTTGTTGATATTTTTCTCTTCAAGTATGTATTCAAGTATGTTTTAAACTTAGTTTTCTATTGAATTTGTGATCAAATCAACATTTTAGGGCAGTTGTTTGATGTGCAGTATGCAAACAAAAAAATTAAAACAAAAAAAAAATTATAAAAATCATTAAAAAAAATTAAAAAACCGGATTTATGAAGAAAAAACGTAATACAGTAATTTGGAGGAAAAAACGGAGTAATTCCGGCAAAAACAGAATGGTTGGCAGCTCTGGTATTACAGTAGTAATATAGAACGGTGACAATAAAATGGATTGTACAACTATAAATAAAGCAGGTGGGTATTCTTCATGGCTTTTGGCTTACCTGTGATATCAACTGCCATTGTAAGAAGTGGAGCTAAATTTGGAGAATCAAAAGCTCTGAAGCTTTCACTGGATATCTTCACACATCTGTTACCACGATACAGCTTGTTATTGAAGTACAGAGTTACCTGGCAATGAAAACAAACATACCTGTTATGTTCACTCAATAAAACCAGACAAATCATTACTTTCCATAATATAAATAAGCACTGATTACACTAAATTAGTTCAAAAATTGACTTGTTATACCTCTGGTATGACATAATGTCCAGCGATATAGACAGCACCAAGAAAGTTGTCCCTTCCATCACTGCGCAGTTCAGAGAGTGGTACTTGCGATCCTGTCAGGATGACAGGCTTTCCAAGATTCTCCAGCGCGAAGGAGAGTGCTGATGCAGTGTATGCCATGGTGTCTGTACCGTGGATGATGACGAAGCCATCGTAGAGACGATAGTTCTCTCTGATGTTCTCAACCATTTCCAACCAATCATTGACATTCACATTGCTCGAGTCTTTAAGGGTTTCATATTCCTTTAGGTAGAAGAACACTCTTCGGCCCTTGGAGATTCTTTAGAAGAGAAAAAATAGAAGAGGAAAAAATAGCAGTTCAAACATAACTTATATTCAGAAGGAAATACAATTACATGTAAAATGCAAGTATTGATATATCTGTACATTTGTCTACATAGATCTCTTGTTATCCTTTTGTTCTTATTGTTCCATGTTTACTTCTTATAGTTTACAATATATCCTCAGGATATTTTAATGAAAAAAATAATGATTTCGACGATGAGTAGAAAAAGGATAAGGGTAAGAATGATGATAAAGGTGATAATATTGATGGTGATAACTGTGATGATGAAGATGACACCCAGCAATAATAAGGTGCCATATAATAATAAGATATCAACCAGAGTACATGTAGTTGACTTTCTAGGATAATATAAATTTGTCAGACATACAAGACAGACAGACACATACTGATATACAAGAAGCCATCATCATCATATCAGTGCCTGTCACTTAAAGGGGCCTGAACATATTGACACCTAAATCTGCCCCCCCCCCTTCCAAAAAAAAATAATAATAATGAAGAAAAAAAAAAAAATAATAATAATGACTAAGATTTTAAAAATACTAACAAAAATAATAAATGATAACGAATAAATAAATATATAAATTATAATAATAATAGTGCTATTGCTAAACATATCCATTGGCAGATACTATGAGATCATTGAAATGTAACTTGCAAGCATCCATGTGATCACCAGGCGCAAACGACTACCCAGGCCAATGAAAGTATGATATACTGGAACTGTGGTATTATGACAGACAGAACTATTAACGGCAACAAGCCAGACATCATCATTAGAGATGGTAGTTAAGTTAACATTATCGAAAAAGGCCATCCCTAATGACCTTGACACCGCAGTCAGGGAAAGAGACTTACGGCTTAAAGACCAAGATCTAAATATAGAGATAGAGAGAAATTGGAACTTCCAAGCAGAGGTGACTCCAATAATCATTGAACACACCACCTGGTGAAGAAGGCAATCACCAAGAATTCCAAGAATCTACACATCTACAACATGCAGAAGGCAGTTATACTGGGCACAACGAGACTCAATAGGAAAAGACTTTGACAGTAGAGTATAGCATAAAGTTGCACTTTTTCACACTCAATCCTTTTTTGTTAAAATAAAGTTGATCAAGAAAAAAAACAGACTTGATCCGTTTTTGCAGAATACTAATAATAATACAAAATAATAGTAAAATAATAAAATAAAATAAAAATTATGAAAAGCAAAACCATCCCCTACTAAAAAGCATACAGCCCAACATTTCATATTCAATTACCAGGAGTTGCATAATAATTCAACCCAGTACCAGTATATGATATGCAACACCTGGATTTCGAAACATCTAACATATACATGTATATTACCAATCATTTCTGAAGAGGTTCTATTTGCATAAAAAGACAAGGCAAGAGTCAATTTGGGTTCCCTACATTATTAAGTATTGATATTATTTTCAAGCAAGTTATGCCTAAATTTTTGGTGATAGACATACATACCAAATTCTTTGGTATCCTTGTTGTTGATATGATATATGGGACAAAATACCTCAGACTTGGTCTCAATTTTCTCAAATAAGTCTAAAATACTCCCAATGATAAAACTTACGGAAGAACAAATGAATTCAACTCTTCTTTATCGAGGCCTATTTCTTTGGCATATTCAGCATCATACAGCATTGGCAGGGTTCGAATCACCTCTCCCATATAATCCCGGACAGGTATGTAAACTGCAGACAGAGAGAAGAAAAAGAATGGGAAAGAAATACCATATGAAATACCTGCATGTACAATGTATTGTAGTACACACTAGATGATAGAGGTAGTTATTACATTTCACTAGGGAACAAAAATGTTTCACAGAAGTAAAATTAAATGGGAGACAGGGAGAGCCAAGTGAAGTGACTCTTCATTGTAGATCACCTACTTAGCAACCCAAGACAAAAATCCTTGTTCCATATGAAAATTATTGTCAAGGCATGACATTATTTTTTCTCGTATTTGTTACGCTGCAGAATAATTACCCTTTTTGCCTGAACTGAGACTATCAGCACTTTCGTTACAGCGCAAAACAAGACCGTACGAAGGTACATCAACCATGTTGGTTGATCCTAGTTTTTCCTTCATTTATATGCAAAAACTGAAGGTATGTTTAATTCCGTGCTATTATTCTTATGAGTGTATGTTATGCTAGGATTGTACGTGTATCTTTAATGTTTTTGAGGTTTGTAGGACAAATTTGGGCCTCTTTTGAAGTTTGGATAGTGGTAAAAGTCTGTATTGGTTTTGACTGTGCTTACGGTACTTGTGAAAGTGATTGATAATTTGTAAAATAATTCTTGGTTATATACTTCAAGGAAGTGTAAGAGATGCTGAAATATCTCATGATAGTTTATAAGTTATCTGGAGACGTTCATTATTGTTTTGGTGTCATATTTCATAAATTCGGGATGACACGTGAGACCTATTTTTCTTACGCTATTTTAGGACTTCAGTGAATTGTAGTACCTATACGTACAGATTATATAGCGGAGGGATATTTTTAGACGCCAGGTTTAGTGATTCGCCTTACGGTTAGTCTTGTTTATGTCGCCCTTGGTAATATCGAGTTATTCTTTTAATACTTGAAAAGGGGATTTTTGTAATGTGATTTATAGTATGCTGAATGGAGTTTTTATGTAATTCAGAAACGAGACAAAACAACACATTTTATTTTGCTTAAAGAAGACACTTTTTATTAGAGTAAAGAAGTGAAATGAATAGTTATTTGTTAAGAGTTCGAATGTGGATTTTTACTTCTAGTTGCTTTACACTATAGTCTTAAACTTAATTACACCCTTGTAGGTCATGTATTTACTCTAGTTTGCATACAAAGAATGTAATCTAAGGAAAAAGGAACAATTTGGGTATTTGAATTAATAGTCATTCTTTGTTTATTTTTGTTTCTTTACAGGATTCACACGATTGTTGAATGTGCTTTACAGCGCCACAACTATTAAAGGGAAGCTATTCAAGTCACGCCTCCTGTGTGGTTATTATAACAACGTGGAAGTTTAAACACAGTCTTATAACAATTATGTTTTGAGGTAAAGGGATGACTAAGATTATTCTTATTCATGCAATAAAAACATTACATACATATATCTAGACCTTCCCCTTCTGGCTTTAGACTGACCCACTTCCTTTCTCTACATCCTTGTTCCATATGAAAATTATGTTTTGAGGTAAAGGGATGACTAAGATTATTCTTATTCATGCAATAAAAACATTACATACATATATCTAGACCTTCCCCTTCTGGCTTTAGTCTGACCCACTTCCTTTCTCTACATCATTCTCTTATCTGAGGCTTAATCAATTCTTGTGGAAATATCTATTAAAGAAAGACAAACATTAGAAATATGGTATCTTGTGCAAATATGCATCTCTCTCATATAGAGACACTATGACCATGACAGACAAAGAAAGCGGACAAAATATACAGTTCCTCAGGTAGACAAAGGAACTTCCCTTCACTGCTATTATGTAAAAAGGTGAATATGCATGTGACTCCTGTTCTACACGTTTTTACATAAAAGCAGTGAAGGGATGTTCCTTTGTCTACCTGAGGAACTGTATATTTTGTCCGCTTTCTTTGTCAGTCATGTTCATATAGAGAGGTACATGTGTACATGTAATCAGAAAGCAGTTACACACCATATGCCCTCAGGCCTCAGCCATAGTGTGCATACGATAACTCAAGTCCTTCATACACACGGTGCTGAAATTGCAGCTTGGGTAAACTTTTGTTAACTGTAAAAGATATGAAAGATAAGGTCAACAGCTCTTGGCATCTTTATATTTATAAGCTGCAAACTATTAATGGTCATGCCTGTAGCTTAAGGTTTTATAAGCATGTTTAAGTTCTCTACATCAATTTTAAGATTACAAAAATTAATTGTTGAAGAAAATAATGAAGTGTTGTTGTCAAGATCACATTTTTTTTTAATGTGTTGATCTTGGTGTTGTTTGATTCATGTATAATTTTGTTTCCTTCGTTTTACTAGCTCACACGAGTATGGCCACTGCTTCATTGTGGCATATATTTCTTCAATAAATTACTCATGAGATTTTACCTGAAACTAATGTTCTGTATTTTCAAATCAATGTGACCAAACCAGATATTTATTTGCTCAGATATCACATTGTGTCCCATGCAACCGTTCCCCATTAATGAAATGTACCCAATAAAAATCAAAACAAATCCACACACACAAAATCTTCATGATTGGTAATATAGCATCAATACAATATCAAAGTTAGATTTTTTGTAGCTTTTTAACAAATATTGTCATGAGAATACTCACATTGAGCAATATACATCATCAGTGTAAATCACTTTCTGAGAAGCACCCTAAATGAGGATCAAAGTCTAGAGTAGGTTTGATACCATATACAGGTTAACCTGTCTAATATCTCTGATCTTTGAACAGTTTTATATGTTATCATTTTTACACCAAATTCAAGTTTGGACTTCTTAGACTTTTTTTAGCCAAAAAGGAAAAGGCTAAGAAAAAAAAAACTTCTGATAATGGAACATGTTACAGAACAATATTTTCATTCAAAGAAAAGAAAAGAAACTTTAGGAACCCTGAAATGTACACAAGGGCACATTTCCAGATGAGTATCCCTTTCTTTTGTCTGGGCCAAAGGAGATGACATAACACTGCACAGCACTGCAAGAGAAACAAGGAAACGACCAAGGAAAAAAAACTCCCCCAAAACAAGGCGTATCTTCTTATCGATATCACCAGTGAATTTGATACCCTTTTTCAAATTTTTCAAACTTTTTTAATAAAAAAAATAAGGTCCACCCTAGAATTAGCCTTAGACCTTAACCCAATACATGTTTTTACGCACATTTAAAAATACTTACACATTTTTGGATTAACAGAATTCAACATTAACATTAACATTTTGTACATTAATCTGTTAGATATTTATTTGTTTGACTATACATGTACATATTCATTGCCTTACTTCTTGCATTTGCAACGTTTTACATATTATTGTATAATTCACTGTATATTTATTGTTGTTTTTATGTTTGTGGACCCCTTTGAAAATCAGCTGAAAGGGCCATCCACCCTATGAGAGGAAATAAACAAATAAATAAACAGGCTACATTAAGTATCAGGACAACTACCCCCTGCACAATCACCCACCCCCCCCCCCAAAAAAAAAAAAATAATAATTAAAAAAAAATAAAAATAAAAATTACCAACTGAAAACTACCCCCCAAAAAAAAAAATTAACCCCCAGAAATGTTACCCCCTAGGACAGTTACCCCCCCCCCCCCCCCGAGGACGATTATCCCCCACCCCTGCAAATTATCATCAGTGATCATGTTTCTAAAGCAGTAATAGAGTCTAGATATCTAGTAGGCCCTATAGGGTCTATGCCTAATGTAATGGTTGCAAGCGAGTGAGGAAGAAAGACAATTTATCTCTAAAATAGATATCCTCATTGAATTCCACACTCTAGCAGTTTCTAATATTTGTTTTTCACGAAATTGAGGTTATTCAGAATAATGACTTTTATTTTATTTTGTATTAGGGGTCTAATTAGACTAGACTCTAGGTCTAGTTCTTAGTAACTAAAACGTTAAAATTCTCTCGCGGGACCGGCCCGGCCCAGCCCAGTGTGCCGCGGCACCCCGGTTGAAAAACTTGAAAAACGGCCAACATGCATGTGTCAATATATTTATGTTGCCTAGATCTATAGCCTAGGCTCTAGCTGTCAAGTAAAGTGAAATTTTCCCTCGTTAATCAAGTGATCATGAAGTTAATATATTACAGTGTAGCTGGAACTAACACAACTAAGTATACTTTACTTACCTCCATCAACTTTCTTCATTCCAATTGTACCACCAACATAAATAACGAGAACATTTGCCTCTGTCCCGTCTTGAATTGGAAATTGAGAAAGTACCGATGCACTTCGTCTGATCTCTACCAGGCTAACTTGCTTCTTTGGTACGAATTTTGCATCAGGTGTCGGAGGAGGAGGAGGGGAGGGTTGTGGAGCCATTGCGATGGTCGTCTCGCCGTCACCCAATTCCTAATTAATTGGACTCTGGTCCTAGTAGAAAAATGCTAGACAAAATGATACGGGCATCGACAAGAACATCATAGTGGTCTGCTGCACCAGATCGAGCTAGCTGTTTACGTTTACATGTACATACACGCGCGCGCACGCTTCAGCTGCGTACACCGTAGTTCTGCATGATGTGCTGCATATAAAAGTTTTTATAATGTTGTGCCCACATACTTGCGTGTAAAATCTTTGCGGAGGTGGAATGGGCCGGGGAATGTAGGGGTGAAATCCCCACATTATTCATGGGGCTTATTTCACGAGAAATACAAAAACATGTATCTTTAAATTCAAATGACCAGAGGCGGGGCAACCAGCTCCGGGGGCATTTAACCGGGGGGGCCGGGGCGTTATTTTCTTCTGCGGCACAGATTGGGGCTTTTTTTTAAAAAGGGGGTCTTGATTAACCCTAAACTCTCCCATAGGCTCAACACGCACCTAACCCCAATCTGTGCCGCCCGAAAAAAATAACGCATCCGGGGGACACTATGGAGTGGTGAAGTGTGACGTCATCAAACTACTTTTTTAAAGAATTTCTCAATTTGAACTTTATTTTCCGAAAGAGCATAAAAAATGATGTCCAAATGTCGAAAACCAAGTATTGGCTGAGATATGACCATCTGAATAAATAGATTTTCCGAGGACTCAGTGTTATTTATTATGCTCTGCATGGTTCATTATTCAGATGGTCTTCATTCAGAAAATGAAGTTCAAATTGAGAAATTCTAAAAATAGATTTTCATGATGTCACAGCTTCGGTACTCTCTAGGGGCATATATGGCCCCTATCCCACTTTTTCTAAAGTACCCCTTGAGCCTTTTTACTTCTTATAAGTGCTCAGCTCCAGCGATGCTATGCCTGTGCAAGTTCAGTGGTATTATACATTATCCTTGTCATTTCAAATCAAATAAGTGGGAATTAAAGGACAAAAATGTTTGCAAATTTGCAATATCAGCTTATACAGGCTCGTAAACAGGCATTATCTTATCTCTCCCTCTCTTTCCCTTTATCTCTCTTTTTCTCTACCTCTCTCCCTTTCTCTCCCTCTTTCTTTCTCTCTCATACTCCGCTCATACTTCTCCTGGATCTCCTGTGCTGTCTGTACTATTTTCCCTCCCTACCTCTCTTCTATATTTCCCTCCAACCTTTTTGTTCTCTCTTCTCTCTTATTTTGAACGATCTTTTCATAATATGTCATAATATGATTGTGGAATAGATTTAAGCAACTGTTAGCTGTTTAGCGAATTTTATTTACTTGTATATAGGTGTACATTTATTTAGAAAATTCATTCACTGTGTGATATGTCTTCATACGATTTTCTGGATAATCACTGTAGTTTATATAATAATTATGTTTGCATAAGTATTTATTTTTTTACGCAATGTACACAATTCTGCAATACAGCTATCTGGCTGCAAATGAATTTTCAATAAAACCATTACCACCAGTCCACCACCGACGATATACATGAATCTGTTGGAATTCTCGAAACTCGAAATGCGAGGGACGAGGGAGCAGTGGCGTAATGAGCAAAAACTTTTTTTTTGGGGGGGGGGCAGAATAAAATCCGCATCACCATCACTCTTACATGTTACGCAGGCCCTGCGAAAGTTTTTCAAAGTTGGAGGGGGGGCTAAAGTATTTATGATCAGGTAGATCAAAGCAAAGAAAAGTGGAGCGTAAATTGACGTGGGGTCCAGTGGCAAAGCCCCGGCGGGTGTCAAGGGGCGGAACCTCATGAAGCTCAGGGGTTTTAGTTATTTAATTACGGTCAGATGAGCATATTTTGATACCTTATTTGTGACACTGGCATGCAAGTCACTTATCGGAGTGGGGTCCAGGGGACTGAGCCCCCAGAAGCTCAGGAGTTTTAGGCATTAAATTACGATCAGATGAGCATCCATGTATGCAGGGGCCGCCTTAGGGCCCTTGGTGGGGTCCAGGGGGCAGAGCCCCCAGAAGCTCAGGTAATACTCATGTCATTTCAACAACATTAATAAATCACTGGTATCGAATTAGAAATAAACCACGTTTTAATTTCATTTGGGGGGGACTGTCCCCCCAAATCCCCCCCCCCCCCCCATACCAGTACGCAAGTGCGAGGTAGCATAGTGAATGAGAGGGGTGAAGGTGACGGAACCTCCTCACAGGTTCCTTAGCAAAACTATAGTATAAAAACGAGCAATATATTTTTTTCACACTTCAGTTTCTCGGTATTAACTTGTACATTTTGAAGGATAATTATGTGAGCGAGCGTAGCGACCGCGTGAGAAGATTTTTGCTTTTTTAAATTTTTTGTCTAAACGCTGCATTCTTGGGCCCTCCAGAGCATGAGTCTTTAGTCAGTATTTGCTATACATTTTTGGGGGCACTTTTTCAAATTTTAAGGGGGGACGACCCCCCCCCCCTAAAATTGAGGGGGGACTGACAGGTCACTACTTGACGGGGGTCCAGGGGCAGAACCCCCCCCCCCCCCCCCCCGCGGAAGTTCAGGTTTTATTTAAGTATTTAATAACGATCAGATAAGCATCCAGGGGTAGGGTCCAGGGGGCAGAGTCCCCGGAAGCTCAGAGGTTTTAGGTATTTAATTACAGTCAGATGAGCCCATCTTAGGGCCCTTGGTGGGGTCCAGGGGAGGAGCCCCCGTAATTAAGTTCAGGGGTTTAGGCATTTGATTACGGTCAGATGAGCATATTGATACCTCATTTGTGACATTGGCAGGTCACTCATTTTTCTCTCTCTCTTTCTTTCTTTTCAAAAAAGCGAGAGAGTCTCGAGCACCGCCGTTTTGCACGGGCCCTGACATGAAGGCTTCTAAATAAGCATATTTTTTCGCATGACAGTAAATTTGGGAAATTTTCCAGCAAACGCATTAAAAGGTATGATTTACACAAAAATTGAGAAAAAATACCGAAAAAAATCATGTCATTTCAGCAACAATTTTAAATCACATGTATCGTATTAGAAATACCCTCCCCCCCCCCCCCTTCCCCATCAGTACGCCAGTGCTCAGGGGCCCTGTAATAAAAAACATACACGCTAAACTTTCCCATCCTCTCACAATATTTCCACGATATGCGCGTATCGCTATTATAATTTTATTTTTTTATTATAGTTTTATTTTAACAGGGTGGTCTCATTCAAGTTCATTTCTGAGCCTGCTCTCCCAGAGAGCCCTGTATTTACATAAAAACATGTACAATAATAACATGAATTCAAAACATATATACAAAGATAAAATATACATGGTATATACAATAATTAAACATAGGTAACGAAAAACACGCATTAACAATAAATTATAAGGAAAAAAAATACAACTATCAAATTGAGAAAACTAGATGAATGAAATGTAATAAATAAATGTAATAAATAAATAAGAACCTCCATTGATAAATATAGGTGGATGCGGAATGTTAACTTTCCTTTTCTTTGAATGCAGTGGAATATAATTTATATGTGATTAAATTCTGGTTTTGTTATTTTTTATGTTCCTTTTGGTTAAAAAATACAAACCATCTTTACTCCTTCACTGCTTTTTTTTTTTGGGGGGGGGGGGGCAAAAGTGCTTTTTGCTCCCCCATTTTTAGGTTGGGGGAGGGGTGATATTTAGTGAGGTTTTTTTTTACATGTACCTATCCTGCTCCATCTATCAAGATCGATTATTTCGGATAGGCCGAGGAGGGCGACATATTTCAATCCCTCTGATTAATCGTCCTCTTTCTCCTTGCGATCCGCCATCATGGGTTTCCAGAATATTTGGTACTCACATCCAAGGAAATATGGACCTGGTTCCCGCTGCTGGTAATGACATAATTAAAAAAATTATAAATATTATAAAACGGTGAACATGTTGGCTGTGGCATTTTTGTTTGAAAGGGTATCATTACGGGACGAATGAGAGATAAATTGGGCGACAATGCTGCCGTGCGTGGCGGACAAATGGCTACCATTGCAGTGCGAGTGCAGCGTAATGCATTACACGCGCGCTTATGATATTGCCATGCCCATGCCATGCCATGTGTAGTGAAATGTCCATGCCGGGTGAGGGCAACCATGGAGAGACTTCAATGACAATGCAATGAGTGACATTTGATATCGATGGTAAACGCTTATCAGGGCAGCATGGTGCCAATGCTTGTGAGAGTTGTGATTTTTTTTAATGTGAGTGAAAATAAACCTAGATCTACCTTGGGAGTTAACGTTTGCTAGTGGACTCTTTTTATCTATTCAGGCGCTGGTCCGAGAATAAGGATTGGGCGCTTGTTCAGAAACGTATCCAAAATTTGACCCGTAACTCTGGCGTGGAGATACCCTACTAAAACATACCCAAAATGAAGTAAATATTCATTAAATGTCCAAATAAAGATCATGAGTTAAGTCGTTATTTTTATTATCTGTTTCTTGTTAATTTTGGAGTATTTTTCGGGAAAACGTTGATATTAGTATACACTTTTCACAGGTTTCATGGCAAACCGCTGCACAATACAAGTACATACCGATGGTGGGTTGCGGGTGGGCACTCGCCTGTGTGGAGTTATCTGCCGGATCCTATTACGGTAGATAACTTCACACAGGCGCGCGTCCGCCCGCAACCCACCACCGGTACTCAATTTGTCATCGTTTACGAGGATATTCTCGTTTTTGCGGACGGTCCTCATTCCCGGACCAGCGCCCCTACTCCAGACCTGCCAACCAGTACGATTTAGTCGTATTTAGTACAATTTTTAGAAGCAAATATGACAGTATGATTTTCCTGAATAAAATATGATTTTCAACAAAAAAACAAAATACTATTTTATTTTTATTTTTTTAATATTTTTTTTTTTGTATTTTGTGTGTTAGCTATTTTCAATGGCAAAATGCCCATTCTGTCCTGTAAAGTATCCTACAAGCATCTCACATTGGAAATTTGGGGATGTTCATTGGTTCATCGAACACAACTGTCGTGACGAAATAATGTATATTCAACAAATGATCCATAAAAAAATTCTTCCTGTATGTAGGAATTGTAAGAGGCATTGATCCACGTAACAGTCCGTGTTTATTTTTAATAATACAACTTTTGTGAGTAAAATACAACTTTTGGGATTAAAGAATACAGTTTTCGGACTCCAGAGGTTGGCAGGGCTGCTACTCAGCGGAAAATGCAAATACACACATTTGCCAATTTGAAACTCTTATGATAATAGCACTTAGTTTAGTGTATCAAAGTGGCTTCCTAAGACTTTTGTGTGCATGTCCAGACCCATTTTTTAATCTGCTTGAGACTTGAGTGTTTGGCTATTGAAACAAACATTCTGGTTTGAATTCTATGGATTAAAATGGCATCGCAATACACTCCTTCTTATTGCATTGCCCTGTAATGTAACTGACGCTTTTAGAGTTATAGAAATTTTGACAATGATTGTCGTTATGATTTGAATCCACTTTAAAAACCTTTTATAACACTTCTGAATTTTATTTTCTTCTATTACTCTTTTCAGCCGTGTATGTGGCAACAGGCATGGACTGATCCGTAAATATGCCCTCAACATATGCAGACAGTGCTTCAGGCAATACGCCAAGGATATTGGGTTTGAGAAGGTATGTATAGTATGTTATTCTAATAAGTTATTATAAGATTGAAAAATAGTATGTAAGCTTTCCTATATATTTATTCCAATGTGGGAGAAGTAACTGTTTTTTTTGTCCAATTCTAGTGATTCAAAAGATGGTATAAAATAAGATTTCCTTTTTACAACAATCCACCTTTCAGAATATGCATGCTTTCTTCCACAATGCCCATCACCAGTAGTCTGCTTTACCTCCCGGCCCCCCCCCCCCCACTCCGAGAACGGACGGACCCCATGCGTGTTGCCAAAATGTCCTTTTCGTAACAAAAGAAAAAGGTGGAGCCGTATTGACTTCACACACCAGACTTTTGCTGAAAAGGGGGGGGTGCTAAAAAAGGCTTGTATACAAAAGAAAAAGGTCGAGCCGTATTGACTTTACACACCGGACTTTTGCTAAAAAGGGGGGGTCGGTTGGAACACGCATATGCGTACCCTAAATAACACTGAGTGGGGGGGCCGGGCTTTACCTACAGCAGTCTTTTTCATTGTGCAGCTGTTAACATATTCAGCCTCAAGATACATACATGAATATTTGCTGCATGAAATGAGAGAGTATCTTGATAGTGCCATAATGTGTACAGTAACAACAGCGTACTAAATTTATCTGAGTTAAGTCCTATACTACATCTAGTAAACTCTTTGAACACCAACTAAATATATGTATATGTTCTTGTTCTTGCATCAGATGGACTAACTTGGGATCAGTCATTCTTGCACCACCTTCAGATGGACATGGCATCATTGCTTTGTGATCGTCTAGCATCAATGGCTCGACTTCCTTTTTGTATTCAACCAATGTACAGAGGTTAACCATCGCTGTTTATCTATCTGATGTCACCAAGCATTGGATGATGGCTGGATTGAGTTCATCAGTGCCCGAAAACCACCTCCATCGAGCAATGGATCTGAAATATGGTTCATTGAAATGACATTGAAGAACTGTTCCCATAAAGGTGTTTGACATGTCAATTTGAAGATGATGCAATGAAGAATAAAAAGTAAAATAAAACAAAATGGCATCCTTTTATTTTTTGTGTACCAGTTCATCTTTGATTTTGTGTTGAAAAGGGGGCACATGGACAAAAGAATAAATCCTACATTGAGGATATTTTTTGTTTTAATCTTAAAGAACTAGAAACGAGAGGTGTCGTTCAGGACATCTGTGTGTCCTGTACGACACTGACTCCTGATGATCTTTCTTGTTTTTTCCATTTTGTGCACAGACGAAAACCACTTGGTTAACTTGAGATGGCAATTGACTTTAGTCAATTTCTGGCATCACTATGTAATGACCAGAACAAAATATTTCATCAATTATTTATATAGCTTTTAGGCTTGAAAATATTATTGAAATGTGCTCCTTTTCATTCACAAAATTAACCATTTCGTCCTTGTTTTCACAAAGTGACGGTAGTGAGGAAAATCGTAACGCAAAGTGAATGCAATTTTTTTTCACTACCGTCACTTCGTGAAAATAGCGACGATTTGTGTGTATTTTGAGAGAGCTAGATAGAAGCAGCGATATCATAATGTCGGTCACATTCTAAGAACCTTGGTGTGAATTGTGAGGGACAGGAATGAAAGTATTCTAAACTTTTGGGGATTTCTTTGTCCGAGTCTTCGTTGGGAAGACATTTCAGTGTTAATAATATTGATACAAGAGTGAGAGCATGGACCTACGAAGTAGTAGGTCCATGGTGAGAGATAGTTGACTTTCGCTCAAGAGGTTACAGAGTGGGATTAAGTGAAAGATGTCAGCCGTAGGGAGATTCTTTACATTCAATACATTGTTTATTTTACTTTATTTATTGGTCTGTACGCGATTATACATCGTACAATCCAGGAATGCATGCTAAAATAATAATGATTCCATCATGTTTTCAGATAATACGCTACAAAACCGTGGGCGAGGGCAAGATACGGGACATTAGATGTACAATATCTTTCAATAATACAGTTAGTTGTAGGAAAACTGGACATGCTACTTTTTTTCTATTATGTTTTTTGATCAGGATTCAACAAATTTACCTTGGAGAATGTTTCCTACCATGAACAAATGGTGTGCATATTATTTTGTTGGTACATTTTAATACTAAGAAAGGCTTGTGTTCATGAAATAAAACTTAAAGCTTCAGTTAACAGCCAAGTTTATCATCTAATTTGCAATGAGCAGTGAAAAATATCAACCTTCTTATATCCTACAGAGTGATAGAAGGTGAAATTCCTCATTTTCATAATTTTGTTTTTATAGGAATACAGGTGTTGTCTCATTCACCATATATTAGGTTTAAATGAATTATAGTTTGCTTTTCTGACTGAAGGCCTACCGTAAGTGTGTGTGAGACATTAAACTTGTACTTCCTTTAAAGGCACACTGTCCTACTTGTAGCTACTTGCTCCCTCTATATAGAAGACTTCCCAAATCGGTGCCTGTTGTTGGTCCCCGATGATCCACTTTTTCTTGTGTTAAATGAGAGCTGAGTTAATGAGATAGCCACCTGTCACAGTGACCTCGATGGCTCACTGGGTGGTCTAATCCCTTCTAGCTGAAGTAGTAAAGCCTCCCTTTAAGTCTCGCTCTAAGTAAACCTCTGAAGCATGTTGATACATTACATGTACATTTTTCATCAAAATGCACTAAACAACTTACAATGAAGGTTATTTACATATTTGCCTCTAAATCTAGAAAAATGGAATGGGCTACCATAAGATGACAAATAAATATGCGTGACCAACATTTTGATTTCAAAACACAATATCCACAACGAGCCTTTCAAGACAAACCTACAAACTGTAATGATTTTTTTTCTCCTGCCCCACCCCCTTGGTTATTTTGTCCCTTTTCACTCTCATTTGGCTGTATTTTCCTCTGCATCTTTCTCATTTTATTCTCATCTCTCTTTCTCCCCCTCCCCCCTCTCTCTCCATCACATTTGTTTGTTTCATCTCAATCTCGTCTCTTTCACCCACTCTTTCTCTTTCTCTTTCTCTCTCTCTCTCTCTCTCTCTCTCTCTGTTTCTCCTTATAAGTCTTTCTTCTGTTTTCATTCCTTTGTTTTTATTTCCTGGGGATCCCTCCAATTAAAAAGAAAAGAAAATGGAAATGGGAAAGATAACCTATTTCCTTCAAATCTTAGAGCAAGATATCCCCACCTCCATCACAACATGGTCATCGTCTCCTTGATTATCTTTAAAATAATCAACTCAATTATTCGACAGAAAGAGATGATGCAACCAATTGAAACCCTCACTACAATGTTCACACTTAACCTAGGTAAAAAATTAAAATCATGATAGGGGAGGGATTGTCAAGAACAGATTTTTATATATATTTTTTTTTGGGGGGGGCACAAATATAATTGGGGAAAAATCTTAAATGGAAATTAGAATAGATAAAAATGGACACATTCTGAATGTGATTTCCTATCAAATGGAAGATATCGGATGACAAGACCTATACAAAATGAGTATTGCGATAAAAATACTTTCAACATTTCACAAGGATTACATGATGATATCATTTTTAGTGTTGAGTGCAGTGGGATTGCGTAAGCCAAACTCCTCGTCGCGCTAGCGCTAGCCATATCAAGAGAGGGCGTGAAAATTTTTGCGACAAATGTTATTCACGTGTACAACTAAGTGGACTCCCGGGAATTTATTCTGTCTCAGAGACTGAGAGACGAATTAATCACTTTTTCTAATTATTCAGAGTTGCAATACTTTGGAAAATGTTGGCATTAGTTTCAAACACTTCAAATCCGCCTATAGGTAAGTTCATTTTATTTATGAATTATTTGTATGTGTGTGTTTTGACTGATTACTTCTGTTCGATCTCTGAGTCCGAGCTCGCTCTTCGCGAAGGCTCCGCGGGGCGCGGGTGCAGTCAGACGCAGAGCCGAGCGCATCCCCAGAGTACTAGTACAGGGTGCAGAGCTGTGTGTGTGTGTGTAAGGCGAGTCTGCAGTGTAAGTCGCGATTTTGTAATGTGACTACCGGTACAAGTACAAACAAATATACAATTGATGAGTGTGATCAGCGCTCAAAATACACGGGGGCGGTGGGCGATTCGCCCCTGTGAGCTACAAAATCGCCCCCGTCAGGTTGCTCACGGGGGCGATTGCAAAATTAAAAATCGCTCCGGTGGAATTATGAAATAAAGATAATCTTTTCTGTTTTTAGGTCTAGAAAGAAAGTCTACAATTTTCAAACCTTAAACCAATGAAATGGAACTAAGAGCGTGCAAGATTTCTCGTTTTATGAGTAGGCCTATTATTACCGATTCAGCTCGCAGTGCAGTGCTGCCGTCAGCAGTGGTTATAGGCTTACTGCGCCGTTAGTAGCGGTGCGTGTGCACGCTGCCGCGCCATGTCTGCTGGAGCTGGAGGCGATCGGGCAAGGGCAGAAACATGGTCATGGCCTGGAGAAGTTTTTTGTTGTCAGCAAATAATGAACCTAGACCAGTAAATCAATATTAGGGACTTTTAGATTTGCACGATGAGAACGTGGACTGCAACGTGTGACCTCCTTTTAAGGCACTGCCAATGCTTAAAAGGACGTCATATGTGATTGCCAGTGCCTTAAAAGGACGTAACACGTCCACGTCCACGCAAATCTAAAAGTCCCTTTTGAGGAGAAGAGGAAGACCAAAATGTCGTGGAATGATATGGTAACATGGGCAGATCTACGGCGGGGGGGGGGGGGGGGGGGGGGGGGTAGGGGGTTTAACCCCCTCCTCCCACTCCCACCCCCCCCCCCCCCCCCCGGCCCCCTTGGGCTGCCAAGTGAAAATGTGATATTAAAGCAGGGGGGGGGGAGGGGGATTCTGGAGAGGAGGACTACTAATCTATTTTATTTTTTTCAGGGGGCGGGGGGAAGTGAAGCACCGTTTTAGCATGACTTTCTTTTTAACTCTTACTTTCACCTATCTCAGATAACCCTAAGTTTTTGGTTGCTGCTTTATATGTAGTTGATAATGCATGATTAAAATAAAGAGAGAGAGAGAGAAAACCACCATCATTTTGCAATGGTTCAGGGTTCGTTTAATGTACATTTGAAACCATTTCTTAGCGTCTCAACCCTAAAAAAATAGCAAAACTATTTTTGAGGAAAAGCATTATACTGAATTAAATAAAGAATAATAGCTTTATATTGGATCATACTAATACTGATACGGGCTAAAGACAATGTGGTATTTGTATAGAGGTATTCCAAAATGAAATTCTGATAATCAACATTTGTTCTGGTATCATATGTATATACGCATAATACAACTGATCTTTATGATTTCTTAACGTGACATAGCTTCTTCTCCCTCTGCAAACAAAACAGAAAACAAGGTTATTTAATAAAAGGACCATGCGACAAATAATCATTGTGATTCAAATTGATGCAAGGATTTTTTTGAATAAGCAATGCTTTTCACCAGAATCTTCTTTGTAAAAACGACTTTTACAAATCTCAGCCATTCAATTATGCCACTGTGCTGTAAGATCACTTTGAGATTAGGAGAAGTGTATTATGTAATGGGTATTTTAAATTTAATGGAACGTCTCAACTCAGTAAGCATGGCTGAGATTTGTAAAAGTTGTTTTTACAAAGAAGATTCGGGTGAATAGCAGTGCTTATTCAAACCAATATTCGCATCAATTTGAATCACAATCATTATTTGTCGCTTAATCCCTTTTAATGACCATGTTTTCTTTTTCGTTTGCAAGGGGAGAAGAAGATATGTCACGTTAAAGACATCATAAAGATCAGTGTTGTATGCGTATATATTATACAGGCCAGTAACAGCTATGTAGCTTGTAAATTTGTAAGAGGGAAAATGCTGATTGAAATGATAATGATGAAATAGCAAATAATTGAGGAGTATCATAGGTACCAATTCAATGGATATCCGTCAGTAATAAAAGAGCCCCCGTGGGAAGGCTCACGGGGGCTCTTTTTTCGGGGGAAGAGCCCCCGTGGACAAAAAATTAATTTGAGCCCTGAGTGTGATTGAATGAATGATAATACAAACTTTGGGGCGCTAGTTTAGAAGTCTATATCAAGACTTCGACCCGTAAATCCAGCGCGAAGATACCCTACTAAAAAAAGTAAAACATAGAAAATCAACTAAATCTTCACCAAGCAATTGTTCAATTAATGTTCATGATTTAAAAGTCGTTGTTTCTTACCTGTTTCTTTCTTGTTTTGTGTCAATTTTCTTTTCCTTTTTTAGAGTATTTTTCCTAAAAACAAGGACTTATAATATACACTTTCTCACAGGATTCACGGCAAACTGCTACACAATACATTTGCATCGCCGATGGTGGGGTGTGGGCGTGCGCATGTGTTCAGTAACTTCAGTTAGCGACTGTAATCTAAGCAATTCATCATTACGAACACTATTAACTTAACTGTAGGTGTTATTTTATGACATTCAGCTATATCCTTGTATCTCCCAGTATATCCTGATAAATTGCCAATCCTAACCAGGAGTGTACATGTATGTTTCTTTCTTTTCTCAGCGGCACTCCTCACAGCTGAGTGCGTGACAGGGAAGGTGAAGGTGGAATGGGGATCTGCTAACGCCCTCAAGCTATCTGAGTAAGTTCTTTCCTTAAGACTGCTTTTTCAAATAAAAATTGACAGCATGCTCATGCATGGAATAATAATGGGGTTACAATGCCCCTGTTGCTTCTTATTGAGGAACTGTTTGTAATTTACAGTTTCTTTATGAAGCCCTATCTTTGTCCATGCATCCATCTTGTGCTGAACAATTATTTAATCCTTAGCTTGTTAAAAAACCAGGCAATGACTCCGAAGATGTCTGTCCCAAAATTGCCTTATTTGGAGATGAAATTAATACAAAAATTACAAATGCCCTCTTAAACAGAGTGAAATATTAGCATTAAAGTTAAGCATATGACACTTTTTCTCTCAATAATAATCACCTTGTCCAGCATTCCCGTGGCAAACCATAGGCGAACAGGAATGTTTTTATGAACTGTTAAGAAATTAGCATGTACATGTAATTCTCATTGGTACCTACAGTATATGAACAGCATATAACTTTCCACTGTTTAATAACAATTATTTATGATCCCCTTTCATTTATATTTGTTCTGTTTTATTGCAGTGCTGTGACATTGACATCGTCTACAGCTATCAGTCGTTACCTGGCTAGGACTACTCCTGAGAGTGGTCTCTATGGTAAGACCAGCCTGGAAGCTTCTGAGGTGAGCAATTCCTTTCCTATCTTTTAAAAACAATTGTGAAGACAAGTCTTTTAATCAATATCATACGGTCAGTTTCTATTAGGTCTTATTAGGTCCAATTTGAAGTTAAAAGGCAACAAGTCCTAATTTTGGTCTACATTGGAAGGTATTAATGTAAATGTGATACATGTGTAATTTTTTTTTCTCAATATATTGCAACATAAAATAACTTCCACTTGACAGAAGGAAAACAATATAATTAGCTCAAAACATTGATGTTGCATAACATGAACAGATTACAGTCTTCAAATCCAAGTAAAATGACAAATATTTTATTGTTTGTTTTTATTTACCATGTGTTCTCTTCCTTTATGACATATCAGGTTGACCACTGGTTGGACTTTGCCAACATCCGTGTTGGGTCATCCTCGGACTTTCACCAGGCTGTGGCCTACCTGGACAAGATCCTTGGCCCAAGGACATTCCTGGTTGGACATGAGCTGACCATTGCTGATTTTGCAGTGTGGGGTGCCTTGAAAGGTAATTCAGTCTACATTTTTATTCTAGGTTTCTATTGCATGCAGTGGAACAGATATGGATTAGAATTATTAAAATGATGGCATTCTCAAGCTGTAAATGGTGCTTTAGTTTTAAGGCCTGCGTATGGAGTTCTTCCAAAGCATCCTCTAGCTTGACAACGCCCTCACTCTAAATAAGGAGATTAGAAATATGAATAAAGTTCAGTTGTAATGAACACTTAATTAACCATACTGCATTTTGCCATAAATATTTTGTTGTCAATCTTAATGAGAAATTGCTTAACTAGGATATATCTAGAATATATTTCGGTACCAACAGTTCAGTGTAGATAATTTTATTGTGAAATATAAACTTGAGCTTGTGTAAAGTGAGAGTCTAATTTGTAAAAAAATCATGAGATATATATGCAGAATAGTGTATTTTGTACTTCAGAAGTAGTATTAAATCAGTTATATCATGTGTTCTCTTGTCTTTTATTCTACTTTCCAAAGGGAGTAATCCATGGAGTAAGATGGTGACCCAAGGGAAAGCCCCTACCAACGTGATGCGATGGTTCAGCTTCTTAGGATCCCAAGACCAGTTCCAGAAGGTCATCAATGCCCTACCCGAGTCTGCCAGACAAGAATTGAGTGTATGTATTGAATAAAATAACAATGGTTTTATTACGTTTTTCAGTAGTATTGATCATTAAACATGTACATGTAGGTGTGGAGAATAGACTGAAGAGGACATATGAAGAAATACATGGTTGTGAATACCGTACCTGCAATGTCTAGGTTTATTCAAGGTTTTCTTCCTCGATAATTGTGATTTTGCCTTCTACTGTCCCTTGTACACATGTATTTTGCACATATCTTTATGTTTACCTTTGTTTTTTTCTTATCTCTCTCTCTCTCTCTCTCTCTCTCTCTTTTTCTTTCTCTCTCCTATACTCCACAATCTACCTTCCCAAGAAATATACCAGATAACCCTTTCGCAGCCTATTTTAATGTTTAGCATATCCAAGTGTACATTGGAAGGATCAAGAACATGTTACCTTGTATGTTCTGTTGATGGGTTGGGCATGAAACCTGATTGCTTGTCTTGTTTACATAGAAATCCTATGATGATAGCAGATCAGTGACAGCTGTTTTTATTAGTCATTGAGCCATAGGGTGATATTAGAAATGAACGGAAAGAATATCTCGGGTGTTCTCTGCCTTTATTTTATACTAAGGAAGAAGAAGAATTCATTGGCAATGATAAACTTACAAATATCTATCACATTCCTTACCTATATTGAAAGATATTATCTGACTACTTTAAAGACAATTATGATATATCAACAATTAATTAAATCATATGTTGAAAGGCATTTTATGACAAAAATATGAATTAAAATATACCTTCTGAGAGCGAGAGGACAAATGACCAAAAGAAAAGCAAGAGAGGAAAGAGAGTTGTTCTTTGTATAAGCGTACAAAGCTGTACATGTATAGTTATTTTCTTCAACTCTGAAATGGTGTTGTTTTGGATTTTCTTTGTTTGGTTTTACAGGGATCTGATAATGTGAGTACCACATTGTCAGTGTGTATTGCATATGCCTTATCATTGAAAATGAAAGACATGTTCTTGCATTTAAAATAAATCCATCGTCATGCAATTGAAAATTTTGCTGTTTAAATTCAAGTTTTGCAGTGTTAGCCATTCAATCTTAAACATTTGCAATTTGTAATTTTGTTTTAAATGTTACAGTAACCATTTTAAAATTTCGGCTTTCATTTGCCTTAATTTTACTATTTTCTGAACGTTTAAATTCCACAATTAGTTTTTAGCAGGACTAAGAATATTCATGAAATCAGTCATTGAGAGTGCGACATAATCCCTTTTATAAGCATTTTACTTCCTTCATTATTGTCAACTGCCATTTAAAAAGAAGAAAACTATCCTTCAGTCTAATTAGAACTTTGATGAATTTCATGGAAATTGTAAATAAAACTTCATCAGTTGCAGTGTGAGATATTATCATGGTCATTTGATGTGAAATTGCTATTTTGAATTTCCCTGTACTTCATCATTGAAGATGTATATCTTCTCTTCATTTGTATACAATTTTATGAAATCAGTTTTGTTTAGTTCAGTTCAGTATTAACCCTCAGTTGCCCTTGTTAATTGAAACTGTTTGCTACTTTGCCGTTCATCTGCCCTTGTACATTTCCAGCTGTTCTTCTGGATTTACAGTATGTCAATTGCTATTCATTTTACTCAAATTACTTGTTACAGAGATACTTTTTACTTTCATTTCCCATTGTCATTAATGCTAAAGTTGAGCAAGAAAGACTGATATTTTCAATATTATTCCCCAAATTTATTGAGTTCATACACATATTGTCTTGCATTCATTGTACATGTATATTATTCATTTTGCCTCAATCCCCCTTTCTGTTTTAAAGCTTCAGTGAAATGCTGTCCATTATACGACTGGAGCTTTTACAAAACTATATAAACTATGAAGCTTGGCTGCCTGCTGTACAATTTCACCATAACTATTGGTTGTTGCATACTGTTAAAATATTTGTCACTCCAATGGTGACTCATTAATTAGCTGTGAAGTTAATGTCATTAAATGATTCCTTCAGTAGTTCACAAACTCAGTATCATGTACAAGAATCCAAGAGGAACACAAACTTGTGTATGATGAGATACATTATCTATCTATCTCTCTTGTTTTACAGAGCAAGAAGAAGGATGTAGGTGGGTACGTAGAGCTTCCAGGAGCCGAGATGGGCAAGGTTGTAGTCAGGTTCCCACCAGAAGCTAGTGGGTAAGTACAAAACATGAAAAGTCTACTAAGGTACACTTAGTACAGTGGGTAAGACATTTATTATTGCCTAATCTAAATCTGTATGAATGAAGATTACTTTTAATTCAAAATTGTGAACTATTTATGTGAGATGTGTATGGAAACAACAAGTCATACTTTCTAACATCTTACATTATATGTAGTTCAGGGTGATTGAAGTCATATAAATGAAGATTAATTAGTTAATCTCTGTTTAAAAATTCAAAAAGGAAAACCCTATACATAATATTTTGCTACATTTCCAAGACCAGGTAAGTTGTTGCTGTGTCACAGTATGCCTAATTTACAGAGATTGTTGTAATAATAAGAATAATAACACAGTGCCTTTACAGCACATACAACTACTATAGCGTCTCTATGTGCTCAAGAAGAGAGATATAAAAGGAAGAAATATGTGCAGTAAATGCTGACTGTAACTCTTTCAAATGCTGTTTAGATATGTATTCTTTAAGGAGAGTTTTAAACTTATATAAGATTGCTGTATAACTGATAGTATCACAGAACATTCCTAAGAGCCTTCATATATGCAAGTTTCTTGTGAAATAATAAATGCCAGTGATTACACAATGCATACTCTTAATCCAAATCATTGTTTGGCAAGAAAAACCTTGTTCTTTTATTCAATCTAAACAATGTTTGTATGTAGAACAAATCCATGTTATCTATTATATTAATTTGTTTTCATCATCTTTCAATCAGATATCTGCACATTGGTCATGCTAAGGCAGCCTTATTGAACCAGTATTACCAGCTGGCCTTTGAAGGCAAGTTGGTCATGAGATTTGATGATACCAACCCTGCCAAGGAGAACATGGAATTTGAGAAGGTCAGTTGGCTGCCATTCATTTCTCCTTAATTTCCATGACCTGTGAAAAGTCCCAATCAAAATGGAGGAAATTTGCTTTTATATTTCATTGTATGGAAAAAAATGTATACAAGAAGAATTTTAAAAAGGGCAATAGTTGTTTTTCGGTTGGGACATTTACTCTAAAGATTTGAGCCCTTTCTGTGGTCATGATCTTGTTGCAATTCTTGCGCCATCAAACCAGATATATTCACCCATACTTCGAACTGTTGTGAATTTGTAATTCTTATTTTCTTTTCTCTCAGGTTATCCTAGGAGATGTTGCCATGCAGGGTATCAAACCAGACATCTTTACGGATACTGTGGACTCCACTGACTTTATTAATCTCACGTTATGATCTGATCATTCTTGGATTGTTCTTTCCTCATATTACCCTGGAAGATGTGGCCTTGCATGGCATCAAACCAGCCAAGGCCCACTCGGCCACCACCCCACCCCCCCCCCCTGGATCCGCACCTGCTCTTGTGATCTGATCATTCTTCTGTTGTCTTTTCTCTCAGGTTATCCTTGGAAGATGTTGCCATGCTTGGCATCAAACCAGACATCTTCACCCAACCCTTAGACTCTTGAGATCTGATCATTCTTCTGTTGTCTTTTCTCTTAGGTTATCCTTGAAGATGTAGCAATGCTTGGTATCAAACCAGACATCTTCACCCAACCCTTAGACTCTTGCGATCTGATCATTCTTCTGTTGTCTTTTCTCTCAGGTTATCCTTGAAGATGTTGCCATGCTTGGCATCAAACCAGACATCTTCACCCAACCCTTAGACTCTTGCGATCTGATCATTCTTATGTTGTCTTTTCTCTCAGGTTATCCTTGAAGATGTTGCCATGCTTGGTATCAAACCAGACATCTTCACCCAACCCTTAGACTCTTGCGATCTGATCATTCTTATGTTGTCTTTTCTCTCAGGTTATCCTTGAAGATGTAGCAATGCTTGGTATCAAACCAGACATCTTCACCCAACCCTTAGACTCTTGCGATCTGATCATTCTTCTGTTGTCTTTTCTCTCAGGTTATCCTTGAAGATGTTGCCATGCTTGGCATCAAACCAGACATCTTCACCCAACCCTTAGACTCTTGTGATCTGATCATTCTTATGTTGTCTTTTCTCTCAGGTTATCCTTGAAGATGTAGCCATGCTTGGTATCAAACCAGACATCTTCACCCATACGTCTGATTCCTTTGATCTGATCCAATCCTATGCTGAGAAGCTGATCAAGGAAGGCAAGGCCTACGCTGATGACACCGAGCCTGAGGCCATGAAGAAGGAGCGAGAGCAGAGGGTATACTCCAAGAACTGGCATAATTGTAAGTCTCCTTAACTGCCCAGAACTAAAAGGATTCAAATCTGAGTATTGTAAGCAGGCTTATTTGTTATTGAATGGGTATGCTCACTATGCTGTAATAAAGTATACTTGTAACTCTACAACTACAGTAATCTTTCATTGCCTAGAGCTAGAAGCTTGTAAGTCTAAATAATGTTGACTGTTATTGACTCTTAGTGCTGTCAATCTATTTCTTCAAGACAATATGTCATGATGTTGAATGTTATGTCATGGGACATTATTACTGCGATTTATAGTATCTTTATAAAAAATTGAGTGTGCTTAAAGCAGGAAGTAAATTATTTGGTAGTATCAAGATAATCTAAAGTATTTTTATTTGTTCTTTATTTCTAATTCATAGAACAGAAGTTGAGAATGAATTGATATATTAAAAGGCATTAAAATGAACCATGTAAGATCACTCGCAAGAAATAACTAAAGATCTCTATCCTAGTAACTCCCTATGTCTCGTGATTAGAGGTTTTAACTGATGAAATGTCTTTTTAAAGTCAAATAATGACAATATCTGTGAGCTTATAAGCTGCTAATGTCCTTTCTTGATGTTTTTTTTCCAGCTGTAGAGAAGAACTTTGAGATGTGGAACGAGATGGTGAAGGGAAGCGCCACAGGTCAGAAATGTTGTCTTCGGCTCAAGATTGACATGAAGTCTGACAACGGCTGTCTGAGGGATCCAACCATGTACCGCTGTAAGAATGAAGTCCATGTACGCACTGGTACCAAGTACAAGTAAGTCATCCAGTCATTGGACCATTTTTGAAATAACAATTAAGGATTCAAATTTCAGGACACAAGTGGGATCTCCTCTATGAATCATTTGGATGAAAACAGCTTCCAATGAAGTCATTTGCTTTGTAAAATATGACAGGAGATTTTTTTTAAAGGAAGAAATACAATCATTTAGAAAATTAGGAGAGATTTATGTGATTTTGTCACCTCTCTTTTGTGTAATACTCAACTTACAGAGAAGAAAACTTAACAGCAGCTTAGAACCATTGTTATCTTCATATTATGAATTGTGAATTGAAAAAAACACATGAGTTACCTCTGGAAGATCGTGTCATATATCATACATTCTGATCTGATATTTGTTTTTCTTGTTCTTTCTTCTGCCAGGGTGTATCCAACCTATGACTTTGCTTGCCCGATCGTTGATAGCGTGGAGGGGGTGACACACGCTCTACGTACCACTGAATATCATGACAGAGATCCACAGTTTGATTTCATCATTGATGTGCTAGGTCTACGCAAACCACATGTATGGGAGTATAGCAGACTCAACCTACAATATACTCTGCTCTCTAAGAGAAAGCTCACCTGGTTTGTGGAGAATGGATTGGTAGATGGATGGTAAGTGGAAGGGAAAGTGATAACGGTCATAATTTTAGTTTACAGAGAACACAGAAACATTAAAAGTTACACAAAGTGCATTTGTTTTCAAAATCTCTTGGTTAAAATGATCCACTGGAGTAAATAATACAAATAGAATAAAAACTAAGAGTAAATTTTGTAAGTCTAATTCCTTATCTGTTAGGGAATGTGCATGTTTTGTGCAATAGAAATCTGTTAAAGAGAAGGTTGAGTTCTGGGAAGAGGTGAAAAATAATTTGTGAGCACTATCATTCTTATTATGCAAGTGTGGAAGAACATCAGATAAGACATGTTCCCTGAAAAGCATGGCTCTTCAAATGCCTTTATATTCTAAATATGTGATGTAACATCGTAAAAGTCGGGGGTAGGATTTTTACGCCACGTGTTCATGTAGTCCCATATACTTCTTTCTGTGTACAGTGTTTGTAACTTTACCAAGACTTGGCCAAATTTCTTATCATTTTGATGATTTCAGAACCCTGCAATACACACAAATTTTTATATGCTAGGTGATCAACCTTTTCTGGTCGATTCCACACCGTTTCTTTCACAATGCAATCGCATGACCAGAACTCAACTTCATCTTTAAAGCACAACCTTAAGTTTTCTAAATGTTTATGTTGAGCTATTTATGGGCTAAAATAGGGCATTAGTGATTTTTAAAGGCATACACATTGCTAAAGAGCACAGTTTTTCTCTGTTTCACAATATGCAAAGATCTTTTTTCTCATTTAGATCTATATGTGCAGTTGTGTAAAACTAACACATTTATAGCTTCCACAGAGATCTGTAAACAAAATTATATGGACAAAATAAAATATCAACTTGCATAGGTACTGTCTTAACTTTTTTTTAAAATATGTTTTGTGTCTCAGGGATGATCCTCGGTTCCCAACTGTACGTGGCATCCTCAGGAGAGGCATGACTGTGGAGGGACTGAAGCTCTTCATCAATGCTCAGGTATGCACATGGTATTTACTGAGAGTGAGAGATGGGAGGGGAGAGGGGAAGAGATGATGGAGGGAGTGGTATGTTTATTGAGGGACTGAAACTGTTCATCAATGCTCAGGTATTTACATCTTATTTACAGAGTGTGAGAGAGGTGCAAATAAAATAAAATAAATGGCTCAGAGAGGGGGAGAAAGGAAGGGGAAGGGGGGGTTGTTTATGGAGGAACTTGGAGGCCGCCATCCTTATCAAGCTTTGCTTATGATTGCGGTCTCCTGCACTTTTCCAACAGAATAGTTGGGATAATAGTTTAAATTTATGATAATATGTTATGAAAATATTAAGTTTTGTTATTATATGTACATATATTATGTAAAAAAACATTTTGACATGAAGAAATTATTGTTTGTATATATTGTATTATACCTTACATTTATATATTCTTTGTTATTCGAAAATGCAGAAATCAAATCAAATCAAAACTGAAACTGTTCGTCATTGCCCAGTTAGTTATATGAGAGAGAGAAAGAGTGTTTGTGTGTTTTTCTCTCAGCATTAAGCTACAGGACATACATAAATATATTTAAAATAAAAAAAAAACAATCCTGTTGTACTATTTCAGCACACCTCATACCTATCTCATTAAATCAACTTAACTTATGTCAGGCCAGTTGCTTCTACTCGATTCAGTGCAGTACTGTGAAGTATAATGATAGCAATCAAGTTCTTATGAATATAAAACTGTAATAGTACAAATTTAATCAAATCAATAAATTCCAATATCTCATTTTGATTAGAATAATTGTTTTATTTCAATATGAAGGGATCCTCGAGATCTGTTGTGATGATGGAATGGGATAAGCTATGGAGCTTCAACCGAAAGGTCATTGACCCCATCGCTCCAAGGTTCACAGGTGTTGTTCGAGATGGAGCTGTTCCAGTCACAGTATCCAATGCCCCGGAAGAGTGTAGAGAGGTAGCAAAACATCCCAAGGTAGGCCTTAGGAATCACCTGATACTGAGAGTGATTGATAATGAAGTGGTTATAAATATAGCTTGTTTTCTGTAGGTTAATTGTGACTTCATTTGCATTACACCATTCCTGCACTTTCAATAAATTTTCACTTACAATGGTCCAAAAACAGAGCCTAAGTTGAGGGACACTACATGTTATATCCAAAACAATGAATGATGCAATGAATGAGACAGAACATGAAGTTGGTGTTAACCCTAAGTACTAGTGATATTGACACTTATTGACTTTTCATTGAGATGACATGGTTTTGAGGAAGAGGTGTGTGTAGTTATGATTTTAACAAATATGTATCAAATCAGATGTGATTGTTAATGTTACAGCCACTTTTTAGCATCGTCATCTAAAGACTTGACACAGGGTTAAACTCTTGGTGGTAGTATAGCCTGACCAGATAGCTAACCACTAGACAAATGAATCCTTATCCTCAGCTCTCACAGACTAGCTAAAGTTGTTGATAACTTTATTTAGATGAAAGAAATCCCCAAAACATGATTTTTGAGGTGTAATCTTCATGTCTTCCACTGCTTGTTCGCATTTGCATATTGAGTTGACTAGATCTATCATCATCTAGTGCCGTCCTTTTGGAAGGGGTTGGCGGCTATTCACCTCCATCACCTTCTGTCATGTACCCTTGTTCTAACATTTTTCTTAGTTAAGACCAGTCCATTTCTTGACTAGGTCACATGGTCTTAATTTGTAACTAATTTAGTCTTGTCATTATTTCCAGAATGCTGATGTAGGCATGAAGAAGATGTGGATCAGTAAGAAGGTCTTCATTGACCAGGAAGATGCAGCAACCTTCTCAGATGGTCAAATTGTGACCTTCATCAATTGGGGCAACCTCAACATCAAGAAGATTGTCAAGTAAGGGTCAAATTGAAACTGATTTCTGTATAGCATCTCTGTTACAGTTTTTGTGTATTGTAATATATGTATTATGAGATGAATGTATGTATTTTCTGGCTACTTACAGAGAAGATTTTTCCCCATTAATTTGTACAATGTATTCTAAATGCTAATTTTCAACAACTACAACAGCAAAAACAAAAATCAATTTACACATGTAGAATTTTTAAGCAAACTATGATACATATCTTGCACCAATTTAACCTTCTGCAACTTCCAGTGCACTTATATAATATTTAAGTTGTAAGTAACTTTTAAATGTCTTCATTTTTCAGGGCATCAGATGGGAAAGTTCAGTCAGTTGAGGCAGAGTTTGATGCAGATAACAAGGTTTGTCCATGTTCATGTTCATCTAAAATACCTTGATTTACAGTCTTTCACTCAATTACTATTTATTGTTTCTCATTAAAATCAGTGATAATAATTGGACTTTCAATTTTGATAAATATCCAGTCACTAATGGTACTTTTACGCTATTTTATCTGTCATGGCATGTAGAGTAATGGTGCCACATGTTATTGTCTGAATTGTCAAAATATGATTTGCTTTGGGGTGGCCATCAGAAGCCTCCATGATCCACTATGATGACATCATAGCTTGCCATTTAACAAACATTTGTCGTAAATTTGTAGTAGATTTATTTTGTCATCCTATTTAAACATTTCTTTCTTGTAGAACTTCAAGAACACAATCAAAGTGACATGGTTGGGCGAGACCGAGAAGGCTCCGTTCATAGAGGCTGTCATGATCCATTATGATAACATCATCACCAAGGGCATTCTGGGTAAAGATGAAGACTTCAAGGACTACGTCAACAAGAAATCAAGGGTAAGAAGAGTTCATGGAATTTAATTGTAGTGCTTGTGTATTTATAGATTTAATGTTTACATAATATTTGTGTATTCAGCGGTATAGATTTTCTAATGTTTCCCAATCATCATTGTATGTGAGTTATGTTTTTACACATTGTACAGTTGAAAACTATACCTACTTTGTGCATCAAGAGATAACTATTATGTTCAGATTATTTTATGAACTTTCTTTCATTTAATGTGCCTACAGTTATTTTTCCTTCTGCTAATTAGTGATGAAAGAGTGTTTAAATATATGTATATATTATCAGATGTACTGTGCCATTAGAGCAAAAAGAGTTGTCAAGAAATGTTGTTTTTCATTATTCTTGGAAGTATAGTTATTATCATTGGCAAGAGCACTGTTTGATATTGATGAAGGCTCATGACTCTCAGAAAGGTCCTGGGTTCAATCCCTGCCTAGTGCTTACATCAAAGGGCAAGGTGTTTTACACAAAACTATCCTCCTTGACCTAGATGTATGGCATTGGTACCTAGTAGTGTTCAGGTACTACTGGTTATGATGGTTGCAGCCTGTGGAAGAGCAGTTTTAATATCGATGAGGCTACCCTGGGTGAATTAAGCCATATTTTTAATTGTTGTTATTGTTTTATATAATGTAGGAGGATACAAGTATCATTGGTGACCCTGAGCTAGCATCAGTCAAGAAAGGTGAAATCGTCCAGATCCAGAGGAAAGGTTTCTTCATTTGTGATCAGGCATATGAACCACAGAGGTAAAGATCAATCCAAGACAACCCTTGTTTACCATAACATTTTTTAAAGTGCTGTTGAATTGCACTTTAAGTTCAATATAGTAATCTGGGACCAGTTTCTCCAAAGTTTTGTCAGGCTAGGTTTGTAGACGTACCTTTGAAAGAAGTATCATTTCTATAATACGCATTTCAAATGGGATGTCCAGGAAGTTAGGCTTGTGACAGTTTCAAGAAACTAGTCCCTGTTATCAGAAGGTGCAGGAGACTTCAGGGTACAAAATGTGAAAGAGGAAACAAGAAAGAAAGGGGAGGAAAAAAACACTTTCTGTTCTGAGAAGTGATAAAAGTTACACTATTTTTCATATCATGGGAACCTATGTATTGATAGCTCAGAGAGTTTTAGAGTAGTGAAGTTCTTTGCTTGGAAGAATGCAGGTTTTAAATTGTTTCAAATGCATATCACAATATTCAATAACCACTTTACTTTGCTATAAAATGACATTGAAATTAAGTTGTTAGAATTTGAACAAAGTTGAATTGCACCTGGATTACTAGAGATATCCAAGTGCTAAAAATCAGGGGCTTGAAAGAAGAAAGTTCTGTTAATAGGATCTGTATCAATAGCTTCAGCACGTTCTATCATTTGTTCTTTGTACATGATTTTACTTTTCAGTCGACACACAAGTCGTGCTACACCGTGTATCCTGATCAACATCCCTGATGGTCATACCAAGAGCCAAACTTCTTCAGGTTCAGCAGCTGCAGCAGCTGATAAGGTCAGGGTACATCACAAACTTACTCACCTTGGGAATGATAACAGTCTTTGATGAAAACTGTCTTTGCTTGAGTTTTTGTGTGTTGTTTTGTTTCTCCTTACTTATATTTCTTATACTGAGCACTTTAATACCATTTTGTATTTTTATTTGTATGTCAGAGACTCGGGAGTACCTCCGATATTGTTATCTTGTTCATGTATACCTGTAATCTATGAATAATGACTAGTCAAAAGAGTACAATTATACCTTCTTTGGATGCTTTTAGTAATGTTTGATGATAAAGTAGGTTATTTTGCGGACAAGTTTGGTTTAGTTCTTGCTTAACGAGTAATGAGAGGAACAAATATCACATGATATGTTAATTTATCTTTATTTCTCAACCTAAATAAATTCCACTGTTTCTCTGAAGTGTCTTGAATCTTGAATGGCACACTAATCTTGGTTACAATGTTTTCTATTCTAATCTGTCAGGGTAAGAAAGCGCCAAAACAGAGTAAGAAGGAGACGGTGAAGAGTGCCCCTGCAGCTGTGGCGCCCTCTACGGGAGATGGCAGTGACTTGGTCGCAAAGATCACAGCTCAAGGTGACAAGGTCAGAGCCCTCAAGTCCGCCAAGGCCCCAAAGGTAAAATATTTGATTCTAGTCCATTCTTATTTTGAACTTAAAGTGACATTTAGTATAATGTTCCTATACTTCTGGCAGGTATCATATATAAGCTCTTTATCCATTGTTCAATATCGTATTCAGACATACAAATTCAAGAGGACCTCAACACACACAAATTTTATTCAATTTTTAGTATAAACAAAGGAACTTCAACAACTGTTTTTCTTGTATTCTTTTAAGTTATAAGTTATGCTAATTCTTTGTATCCAAGATTTGAATCATCAGGAATCCTCATAAGATTGAATAAAAGTTAATTCCCAAATTTGACCCTCCCGATTTGTATAAAGTATTGTTATTTACATTTCCACTGTTTTACTCTCTTGTAGACTGAAATAGATGCTGTAGTTAAGGTCCTTCTTGCACTGAAGGCAGACTATAAGAATCAGACTGGACAGGACTATAAACCAGGAGCAGCCCCAGCCAAGGCCGCCGAGACTGCGGAGACCCCTAAAGCCGAGACTGGTGGTGTAGATGGTTTGGTGGCCAAGATCACAGAGCAAGGGGACAAAGTCAGGACTCTCAAGAGCAACAAAGCTGCCAAGGTAGAAACCTGTGTGTCTAGTACATTCCTCATCTTATGTAGTAACCATCCTGTTCTTATGAATAATAATAATAATAAAGACATTTATAACGCGCAACATATCCGACCAGAGGGTGCTCAAGGCGCTTACAATAAGTTGCATATAAACTATACTTATACTATACAATTATGCTTACATTACATTGTACATTGTGAAAAAGATGATCTTTGTTAACGTTAGATAAGATAAGTTTACAGACTGATTTACAGTCCTTTAGTGTGTTTGGGAGACTGTTCCATAATTGGGGAGCTGCTGAGGCAAATGCTCGATCTCCCCATGATCGTCTGGTCTTAGGGATGATCAGAGTTGATGTATTGGAAGAACGGAGACCAGAATGGGTATATAAAACTATGATAAAGTTCAAGGTTGAGTGTTTGATCACAGACACATGACATTCAAATAGAGGACTTCCCTATTGACCTTGTTTCTCCTATTTTGTATACTTTGCCACCAAAGGTGGTGCTGGAGTCATGTTTTGTCTTCTTCCACCCGCATTGTTTTAGTTCTTTGTTATCATGATGCTCTTTCATACTTCATATCACAATTCCTTCATCTTTCTCTTTCTTACAGGCTGAGATTGATGCCGCAGTGAAGACTCTGCTAGCTCACAAGGCAGACTACAAGAAAGCGACTGGCAAGGACTACAAACCAGGAGCAGCTCCTGCCTCCTCCGCTCCTGCCGTCAAAAAGGAGAATGCTCCTCCTGCATCGGGAGGTCCAGAGGTAGACGCCATTGTTGCAAAGATCACGACCCAGGGAGATAAAGTCCGTACACTCAAGTCAAGTAAAGCTGACAAGGTATGTCAAATGTTTTTATCAAGATGATCGTGATGTCACTTTAATACTAGGAAGATTGTATACATAGACTGCTCGCAACATGCTGATTATTCCAATATTTACTCATCCATTGACAACTGAATTCTTTCATTCCCAAAGACTGTATACAGGAATTACCAAGTACCTGTAGGTGATACATTAACCAAATATCCAAGATGTAATTCTGAAAAGAAATATAATGTACTGTACTTTTTGTCAATAATATAGCTCTTGATATTTACCTAAGGAATGCTGAGAAAAGAAAAGAACATTTAATAGTAATAGGCATTTCTATAGCGCCGTCTATCTAGAAATTCTATTCTGAGGCGCATTTATTATTACCCCGGCTTTAGCCTAGCTGGCATTACAGCGCTCCAGCATTTCAAGGAATTAATTCCTGCCAGGTACCCATTTACATCACCTGGGTTGAGTGTGGCAAATGTAGATCAATGTCTTGCCAACGGACATTAGTGCCGCGGCAGGACTCGAACTGCAAACCTTGTGATCGACAGTCCAGCGACGTATCCACTCGACCACGCTCTTCTACTATAAGATAAGGATAGAGAATTCTTACAGTTCCCTTGTGAACAAAAATATTATTTTTATGCTCTTTTATATTTACTCCAAAGATATTGTTCAAAATATGTAATTACTTCCTACTTGTACTGTCCACTCTCAGCTTTAATTTGATTTAATTTATATATTCTTGTGAAATATTCAGGGAGAAATAGATGCTGCAGTGAAGACTCTGCTAGCTCACAAGGCAGATTACAAGAAAGCGACTGGCAAGGACTACAAACCAGGAGCAGCTCCTGCCTCCTCCGCTCCTGCTGTCAAGAAGGAGAATGCTCCTCCTGCATCAGGAGGTCCAGAGGTAGACACCATTGTTGCAAAGATCACAAGCCAGGGAGATAAAGTCCGTACACTCAAGTCAAGTAAAGCTGACAAGGTATGTCAGACACGGGTCAAATATTTTTATGCCTCCTCTACAAAGTAGCCAGTGGCATTATGTTTTCGGGTTGTCCGTCCGTACGTCCCGTCCTCGTGATCGCGTTATCTCAAGAACCAAATTGTAGATTACCACCAAATTTGGGTCATGTATGTATCTTGCAGAGCTAATGAATTGATTAGATTTTGGAGTCATGAGGTCAAAGGTCACAGGGCTAATTATGTAAGCGAAAATAGCTTGTGATCACATTGTCAATGCTGACGGATGGATTACTATCAAACTTGGGACATGTATGTATCTAGCAGAGCCAATGAACTGATTAGATTCTAGGTTCATGAGGCCAAAGTTCAAAGGGTCATACATGTATATGAAAAATCACTTTTAACCACGGATAATTAATGGATTACAATCGAACTTGAAATTTTAAAATTGCTTCTGTTTTGGTTAGTAAAATCGCTCTGTGGCAGAGGCATCATTTTTGACTGCATTGCAGTGGAACATCCATCTAGTTATCAAGATGATCATGATGTCAGTTAATACTAGAAAGTTTGTAGCATTAAGCATTAAGAATGTGTTATTCCTTCCTACTGGTACTGTACACTCTCAGCTTTAATTTTGATATAATTTGCATATTTATATATTCTTGTGAAATATTCAGGGAGAAATAGATGCTGCAGTGAAGACTCTGCTAGCTCACAAGGCAGACTACAAGAAAGCGACTGGCAAGGACTACAAACCAGGAGCAGCTCCTGCCTCCTCCGCTCCTGCCGTCAAGAAGGAGAATGCTCCTCCTGCATCAGGAGGTCCAGAGGTAGACACCATTGTTGCAAAGATCACAAGCCAGGGAGATAAAGTCCGTACACTCAAGTCAAGCAAAGCTGACAAGGTATGTCAGAAGCATGTCAAATGTTTTTATCAAGATGATCATGATGTCAGTCAATAATAGAAAGTTTGTTTACATACTCTGCTTGCAGCATGCAGATATTGGCAATATTAACTTCATTCATTAACACTGAATTCTTTTATTCCCATATATAAAGGAATCACCAAGTTCCTATAGGCGATGCATTAAACAAATATCCAAGATGCAACTCTGGAAAGAAATGTCCTGTACTGTACTTTTTGGTAGAAAGTACATTAGAGGTGATAAAGATATAGCTTTTATAATTACTGCCAAGGAGGGAAAGAACATTTCTAAGATAAAGATTTGTAAAGAACGCTTGTGAAAAAAAAAAATTGATTCTAGTTCATATTTATTCTAAAAATATTGTTCAATGTGTGTAAATACTTCTTACTTGTACTGAATTCTCTCAGTTTTAATTTAATGTAATCTCTATATTTATATATTCTCATGAAACATTCAGGGAGACATAGATGCCGCAGTGAAAGCACTGCTAGAATTGAAAGCTGACTACAAGGGTCTGACTGGCTCAGACTACAAGCCTCCAGGCGGCTCCTGCGATAGAGGCAAGAGCAAGGAGAAGAAAGAGAAGCAGAACAAGGCAGGTGGAGCCAAGCAGAAAGGAGGTGGAGCAGAGAGTAAGGAGAGCACGGCTGAGGGAGACTCTAAGAAGCAGACTAGACTAGGACTAGAAGCAAAGAAGGGAGAAGATCTCAGTGAATGGTATTCACAGGTAGGTTTGCTTTATCCACCGCTTTATCATGAAATATCAGGTAAAATTACTGTAAATCCAGCTTTTTATGAAGATTTTTTATACTTTGCAACTCTAATGTAGTTGACATACATTGTCATGGAAATATGACCAATTCATACCAAAGTAGTATAGGCATTAAACAAACCACTAAACAAATTCCAAATTAATATTTTGCTTTTTAAATTCATAGATGGTTCTTGCATATTGCATAAGCTTCTTCTGTTTGTGTTTGCAAATACATTCTTGAAATAATACAAAAGGAAGCCTTAATAATATTCAAAGGTAACATTCTGGTAGAATTTTCCTTATTTCCTTTTTTGGTAAAGATATTTTTTTAAAGCATAATTATGTGTATAACAACAGAATGACTTATATCAAAAATACTGAATACAGCAGTGACATTTTCCAAAAACACGAAATTCAATAGAACTGTATAAATTGTGCATTAAACAACCCAATTATGCTTGAAATGTGTGTTGCTGTGCCTGTTTCTAGGTAATCACCAAGTCTGAGATGATTGAGTACTATGATGTGAGCGGTTGCTACGTGCTTCGTCCCTGGTCCTACTCCATCTGGGAGAAGATCGTTGCTTTCTTTGACGCTGGGATCAAGGAGCTTGGGGTGGAGAACACCTACTTCCCCATCTTTGTATCCCAGGCAGCGCTGGAACGTGAGAAGGAACATATCGCTGACTTCTCACCAGAGGTATGTTCACACTGTCAGGTTTCATGTTTTCTCTTTCTAACTTATCACTCTGAGAAAACTTATCAAAAGAGCTGTTCTCGTGATTTTAGTTCTAAATGCTAAGGATATTGTGAATTTACATACATCTACAATGTCTATGAGCACTTTACAGATATATTGTCACCTAATAAGGGAGTTTACAGATACAATCTGCGCATGGGCAGATAAAGGTCATTTGTACCAAAAAGGTAAAAACCCACATAGATGAATACTGGATATGCGCTCATGAAAGTTACGTAACATTATTCATTTATGCACCAACGGTACATTCTATGATACGCAGGTGGAAGTATTCTTTTCAAGAGGGCAAACAGAAGGTATTCATGAAGCACATCTAGGACTTTGGCAGTTATTATTCTAATATGCTCAGAGTGGAACTTCTCCATGTGTAAAAGATCTGTGGATATTTGGGGTCATTTGTACCATGTGCTATCTGTAAACTCCCTTATTCATTGGATTTGTGCAGTACGTGTGGTTTATTACTTCTACCAAATGTTGACAAAATAAGTTCTTGAGTCATTTAGTGCAGTGTGTCTATATTTTTTATCTATATTCATGTGTTTTTTGGGTTATTTGTAATTGTTATTGCATTGATTATTGTGTAAAACAACATTGCGCAAACATAATTTTATTTAGAGATTAAAGTGAGATTTCATGGTTCTTTGCAGGTTGCCTGGGTAACTAGAAGTGGTCAATCTGAGCTCGCTGAACCAATTGCCATCCGACCAACCAGTGAAACTGGTAAGAAAATAAATTTACTTTCTTCTATTCTTCTTTTCAAGTTCGAAGTATGACTTTCTGTCCCCTTACATGCCTGTGTGTTACATGTATGTTATTTATGCTTGAGTATAGTAATGATAGACTAATGTCATGTATACCTCTGATACATGGTCTTGGCACAGCCCTTGTTTTGTGCTTGGACCTGAACTTTATTGATCACACCAGCATTCTTATATGTCATTTCATTTTACACATTTAAGTACCCTATTGGCTCTACAAATACTCTTGTTTTGGGGTGAAAAGAGCAAGAATAATAACAAAAACAACTTCGTGTCTAATGGGATTCTGTGTATATGTCAAGGCTTGGGGGTGAAATAAATATTTGAAATATTTTAATTCTCGAATTACAAGCATATAAACCATTTTAACTACAATGTGTATGTAATTGTTTTATGTTTCAGCGATGTACACGTCCTATTCTAAGTGGGTGCAGTCGCACAGAGATCTACCCATCAAACTCAACCAGTGGTGCAACGTTGTGGTGAGTACATTCAATGATGCTGCTGTTATGTGATGCATTAGAGATTGTAGTCCAGATACAAACAATGGAAATTATAGTAAATATGTCTGAAGTGAACAAGACAGTTATGTGCATGGCTAACAAGCACTTTGGTACACACTCAAAATTGATTGTGTCTCTGGATTCATGATGCTTTCACTGTCATAACTAAGAAGATAATTAATGACTTAGTTACTTTAGACTAGTTACATAGTGTAAGAACTACTTTGGCTAAGTGTGAATACTGTTTGCATTAATTAATGCTTCAAATAAACCAGACATTGCGTTCCAACTATGCTAATGTGTGAACAAAAAGAGTGGCATGTATCTACAAGCCTAGTAGGCAATCTAGAGTAATATACATGAAATTTACAAAGCAGTATACATAAAATGTAAAAGATAGATATACAAGTTTACTTCAATTTTAAGACAGTTTTACCTATTACCTTTAACAATATGAATATTACTTGTGTTTAATAACAGAGATGGGAGTTCAAGCATCCGCAGCCCTTCCTGCGCACTCGTGAGTTCCTGTGGCAGGAAGGCCATACAGCATGGGCTAACAGGGAGGAATGCGTGGAGGAAGTCTACACCATCTTAGAGCTCTATGCACAGGTGTATGAACACCTGCTAGCCATCCCGGTGGTCAGGGGCGAGAAGACCCTCAAAGAGAAGTTTGCTGGTGGTGATTTCACTACCACCGTGGAAGCCTTCATCAAGGCCAGTGGTAGAGCTATTCAGGTAAGTTATCTATATATCTATGAGAACTAATATTCAAATACACGAAAGAGTCCAAAACACAACTGTGCATTTCATTTTAAGTTTAGTTTTCACTATGGAGAATGACTTTTCCATTCCATTATGTAACAATGTGAACTGCCATGTTCCTTACTGTGTGATTCCCATGGTATTTGCTTTTTCTGAGAACAAAGATTGTTCTATGCACTCCTGCATGAGTAGTTACAGTTATCAGTGACATTATACCATACAAGAGTTCTCCTATTCTCTTCCCAAAGCACATATCATTCCACTTGCATCCAAGGGAGAATAACAAATATCTCAAGGCCCTATATTTTCAAGCTTAAAATCTATTCATTAATACTGACAGCTTCTTCCTTGAAGATGGCGTTTTAATCAAGTAAAATTAAGGATTAAAACCATGAATTTAAAGATTTAATCTTGATCTTGAATGTATTTTTTTAATTTCGTTAATAGGGAGCTACATCTCACCATCTAGGACAGAACTTTGCCAAGATGTTTGACATCAAGTTTGAGGATCCTGATGTGGTGAGTAGTGACTTAATGCCTTATATTGCATAGTGGAGGTCAATGAAAAACAATTAATTTGTTCTTAAAGATGAAGAAGAGATGTAATCCATCAAAAAATTTATCTGAAGTGCCTGAGAGTATGGATACTGTTTAGATTATAATCGTTAAAATTAAGAAAATATAGAATTCAAAAGACTTCATATAAATATGAAACAATTTTTTCTTGTGGAAAAATCTTCCGTATAAGTTTTTCTACAAGGCCACTCCTTCCTTGCATCAGTTATAATAACAAATTAAATTGATGAATAACAAGTATTAATTCTCTTTCTTCAATTACAAGGTTTCCAAGTTAAATAGTAAAGTTTTGGATGATTGGTCATTAGTAGAAGGTGTGGACAAGCAGGGGGAAAGGGGGGGGGGGGCTAAAAATATCCCAGTTCAGTATTAAAAGGCTGGTGGAGTTTTAAAAAAAAGGTTATATGATGTCAATTAAATCTCATTACCAAGTAATTTATCTTCCTTCTCTTAGCCGAATGCCCACAAGTATGTGTTCCAGAACTCGTGGGGTATAACCACCCGAACCATTGGTGTGATGTGTATGGTGCATGGAGATGATCAAGGTCTGGTGCTGCCACCAAGAGTAGCTTGTGTTCAGGTAAGGTTCTTCAATTTATCCTGGTTTACTAATGTTGTGTACATTTTACAGGATGTTTCTCATTTCTGGTGCAGACTATAACATAGCATTGTGAGTTGAATGACTTCCAATTAGAAAGATGTAGAAGACATATTCTCCATGTGATATTTACCAGATTAAAATAGTTCAATCTATTTAAAGTGTAAAAGGCCATCTAGGCAATCAATAACTCTTTTTCAAAACCTTTTATGCAGTTATTTTCTGAAATCCCCTATGCTTGGTAAAAATTCAATTGGTATTATGCACTTGCAAGACTCCTCTCTCTCTCTCTCTTTATGTTCATATTATATTACTATGTTCACTTTATGGTTTGGATTGATAGGCTATCGTCATACCGTGTGGCATCACAGCCAAGACTACCGATGAGCAGAAAAACAAACTTCTAGACAAGTGCCATAACTATGTGAAGATCCTGAAGGCTGGTGGAATCAGAGCTCAGAGTGATCTCAGAGATAACTACTCTCCTGGATGGAAGTTCAACCATTGGGAACTCAAGGTTAGTCATTAAGTTTCTCTCTGGTCTAATTTCTTTCTCTACTGCCCTCCATTATTTTTTTTTGCAAAGACTGTCAATGTAAGAAGTTACAATAAATTAGAGTTGTGTCAAAATTTGTGATGTTGAAATGTTTCTACAACACAAACTGTAGTGATAAATTCACCCCTGTCAATTCCTTCTCTATCCGAATTCTTAACACCAATGCTTGACCGAACATACCCAACTCTAACCCTCAACCTAACCCCAAACCTCGTTTCAACTCTAATCCTAAATCTCTGATGAAACCCATCCAACAAGAGATGTCACCATCAGAAATTCATGGAGTCAGAATTGTTAAATGTTTGTTGATTGTCTTCATTTTATTTGGTTATCATATCGGCTAGAATCCAACAAAAGGAGCCAAGCATGTATCATTTAAAGTGCTTTCACTGGGACTAGGTAATTTGAATGTGTGCTGTAACAATGTAACATCAGGTCAGGTTCTGTGTCCGGTACATGTTAATTCCAAGATTCCATTGCTCCAGCCACTTTGCTATTGACCATTTCATGTAATTGATATATAATTTCTATTAATCTTTAACCTTGTTTGAATGTAGGGAGTGCCAGTCCGTATTGAGATTGGACCACGTGACATGAGCAAGCAGGAGTTCATCGCTTGCAGACGAGACAATGGAGCCAAGACCACCTTCCCTGAGGCTCAATCAGTTGCCAAGGTTACTGAGCTGCTCGATCAGATCCAAAATGACATGTTTGCTAAGTAAGTCATTGATTGCCATGGAATTGAAGTTGATGTTCTCAATTATATATGGTTAAACAAATATAAGACATTAATATTAGAGCTATTTCCCCCCCCCCCCTCTCTCTCTCTCTTTCTCTAACACTCTCTCATTCCCTCTCTTTCACTCTCTCTCACTCTCTCTCTCACTGCCTCTACCTTCATCATATTAATCATACATCAGTGGAGCATAATATATTTGTGTTATTCTATGAAAATATTTGCCCATTCCCCATGTGATGATTGTTAAACAAAATTCTTTTTGTATATTTTTCTTCTCAGTGCTAAGAAGGATCTTGATGGTCACATTGCAGTGACCAGCTCCTGGAACGAGTTCTGCGATAGACTGGATGAAAAGAAGGTAAATACATTCCTTTCTAGGGAATTTGTATGAATACTTGTGTTACCAATCAATTATTCATGTTTTCTATTTAAAGACCCTTTGATTGATTAAATTAAAACAGAGGTGGAAATGCAAAGGACATGTTTTGAGCACCGGCACTGCACATATGTTCTTGAGCAAGACATTTTATCTACATTGCTCCTCTGCACCCACATCTTAAATGGGTACCCAATAGAATACAAACGTATTTTTGGTTGGATTAGCAAAAGGCAACCAGCTGGAATGCTCCCAGTCAGTAGAGAATATGCACTGTAATGTGCAGAATAAGAATTCAATCCAATGACCGGGTTATAATAATGCTGTAAGCGCTTTGGTATAATTGGTAGTTCTAGGAGACGGTTTGAATTTATGAGAAGCTCAAATAAGAGGGGAGCATGAGAGGATCTAGCTGAACAAATAAGCACATTCCCTAATATGTTTTACCAAATTTAATATTCCTGTGAAACCAGAAACTATCACAAGCACTCGGTCGAGATCCATGAGATTCATGAAAACTTCACACCGCAAAATAATTAATTGATAGTGAATCCAACTATAACATGATTATTGTTTTTATATTCAGCTTCTCCTTGTTCCATACTGCGGTGATATTCCATGTGAAGACAGGATCAAGAAAGACAGTGCAAGGTAAGCTCCTACCTCCTTTTTTTTTCTTCACATCCCTCGTTTTCTTTTTCTTGAAGTCTGTCATGACATTCATTATTCTACATATTTCTGCAGAGGATCTCAACTTTACTTGTGATGTAAATGAAATGTGTTGTCTTGTTTTGCAATTAGGAGCTTGCATAACAAAGAACCCAAAGTGTAAATTTGATATCTAGATGAAACATTGTACTATATGTTTAGGAGCTTCTTCAGTACCATATCTAAACTTCAAGAGAAAATCCAGATTGAATCAGTCAAATGAATGGCAGTAGAGTGCCATGAAATCTTGATTCACTCTATAATAAGTTGAAGTTCAAAAGATCATTCTATAATAAGATTAAGACAAAAAATGGAAGATGAATACATTTATCTAAGAACTGTAGAGATATCTCGATCAAGGACTATGGATTTCTTCACCGGTTTGTTAAAAACGCAAACCAAAGGCAAGGCTACATATGAAATCCAATAGTTCATAATATGAGATTTCAATGAAGCCTAATTATGTCCTCTTGTTTCCATCCATTCACAGAGACCGAGATATGGTAGAAGGGGCTCCCTCTATGGGTGCGAAAGCATTGTGCATCCCATTCAAGCAGCCAGCGGAGATCGCTCCTGGTACGCACTGCATACTCCCAGACTGTAAGAATGATGCCAAGAAGTACACGCTCTTTGGACGTAGCTACTAGAGTGATCCACCCCTTCCACCCTGACACAATATAAACCACTGCCCCCCCCCCCCTCCCCTATTTAATCATGTGCACTCATATTCCTATCCAATCCTTGCCCCATTAAGGCTATCAAAATGAATTTTGATACTCATTGGTACATACTTTTCTATTTAATGGCAGTTACTAAGATTAAATACTGTAAACATGCTCCTTTTTGTTATGAGGTGTTCATTATTGACCATTACAGTATGGTGTGCCATTCTGCTAGGATATGCCTGTTGGGTACACACTTTTAGAAAGTAGCTTAAAAATTTATTTATTTTCCTCACTAATTCTTAGCTCTGTTGCAAGTCTGAAAGAAATCTTGGTCGAAATTGTTTTCTATTATTTTTGTGTAATGAATGAACTAGGGTCAGTGTTAATTAATATGACTTCATTTGGTGCACACTTTATAATATTGTATATGAAATTATGGACCCATATTTTTTCATATACATTCAAGACATATTTTTCTTAGGCTGATATTTAACTAACCTAGTAAGTTTAGATCTTATTGTAATAGACAAGAAGTATACAGGTAATCCAGGTATTAAGTTATTTTCATGTTTTATTCGAAGCACTGAACTAGAGCTTTTTTTTAAACACAAAAACACGAACACACAACAAAGAATTGATACTTTAACTTCCAATGAATGACATGCATGAGGGAATTACATTATAACTAAGAGCAAATTTCTCTTGGCCACGAAACATACCAATACAGTTTATCATTCCGTGTTTGGGACAGTACCATGTCAGCAATAGAGAAAAAACTCAGCTAATTGTTGAGTTACTTATATCTACTACCACACATATATGAATAATATGTTTCATATTTGATTCCATATCAATATTTGTTGCTGAAGTTTGGATCCTAACACATAATTATTATGAACTTTCCAAATCACAAGTTGTGTAGAACGATGTAATGGGACCGAAATTTGTTTAAAACTTGCCATTCTGTCACCAACATTCTTTTGTTGCTCATATTTTCTTGGAAAGGACAAAGTTCTTTGTGATAGTAATATTTCCTTAATTTGGCTGGGCTACTTAACAAATATTGGGAGGATATTGTGAATTGATATACCATTTTAATTTTAGTCTATATCATACTTGTATGCCCTTCTTTATGAATATGCCTAGCTGTCATTCATGTAGCCGGGACATGTTAAATTCAGGCATGACATTTTATTTGGTTCATCAGAAATATATCTATTGCAGTTTCCTCAAGATTACTATACTCAATTAATACTCGGTATTCAACTCAAAAGTATATCATTGAAAGCACTTTCTACATTGCCTTGGTTCAGGAGCAATGACTTGGTCGTGACAGTTAAAAATCAAAAGCATTTGTCGCATTTTCTTAACAGGAATGAAAGTATCACATGTGATGACAGATGATTGCTAGTGAAAGTTTCAAACTTTCAAATCATGTTGAATTTCAGAATTCATAATATATCCACCGTGCATTGAAATTTATTGCATAAGGAGCATTATTTATAGATGTTTTAGCAGAAAATAAAATTTACTTTGATATCCCTATCTCTCAATGCATTTTCTATCAAATTGTTTTAATTTGTATCTCCTTCATTAGTTTATGATTGATTGACTAGTTGGTAGATTTATTGACTCTGTGATTGTACTGTACAGGATTTGATTGTTTTGATTGATATGCTTAATTTATTTAATTGAGTGGCTGACTTATTTATTTATTTGATTCATCAAGTTGATTGACTGATTGATCAATTTAATTGATTGGCTAACTGATTATTGATTGACCATTTGATTCATTTGACTGAAAAATTAGCCAAGATGGCTGATGACAATCTATATTAATCAATTTTACGCTGTGTCATTTACATTAAAATAGGTTCATAAACAGTTTGCTACAAACACCTGCAAGAACTGTCAGTAACAAGAAATAGTCCAATATTTCAGTGCATATTTTACATTAGCCATGCTAAACTTTAGACTTTCATTCCAATTGTTTTGTACAAAAAATAAATTGTTACAAAGGTTAATTTGCTAACCTTAATGAGACATGGATATATATATATATATATATATGTAACTAATATAGACTTTGATACATAGTTTGATAACATACAATTCAATAACATCCCTTTATTTCATAATTCACTTCAGGGCCCCATTTCATCAAACTTGTTATCAATAACAAATAATAGAACTCTTTGACAAATACGCTCTCGGCCAATCAGTCGCCACGATTACAGTAGCTTGTAACAGTTATTGCAACTTGTTAATGATAACAAGGTTTATGAGAAAGCCCGGAAATAATGTAGTTTTGCAGATTGTGAAGATGCCTAACATCAAAGGTACTGTTTCTCTACCAAACGCCCGATATTGAACACGCGATATACATGTAACGTCACAGAAATCATTGTTTCATTCAAGACTTCTACTATCAAATATCTCCGTAGAAATAGATTCCCCTCTCTTCCATCTTCTTAATTTTCTTAGCTTTCTTAACGTTCTTTTGACGTCATAACTCCTTGACCACACCGAACGATTTCGAACGATCTTTAGGATGTAGTAAAGGAGCATTTTCATTTGGTATCCCATCGCTTGGCATCATACCGGAGAACGTGCTTGGACGAACGCGTCTGATTCGGGTAACATTTCCATTGGTAGTGCGGAATATTAGAAGGGTTGGTATGAACATGATGGCACTCTCTACGGTCAGGAGGAAACAATGCCACTCTGGAAAAGAAAAAACGACTGTATGAATACATCAGAAATTAAAAAAATATAGAGTGAATGCTGCTTAAAAAAGAAAAAATCACAAACATTAAGAATCTTACTGAAAATTTTAGTGTACACTGCTAACAGAAGACATGCGTATGTGTTCGGACGTTAGCACACATAAACTATATATCTTGATGCCTTTTAATAGTACACTCGGCCACCCCCCCCCCCCCCTTCTCCTGTCCCTGTTTCTCTTTTTCTCTTCTTTTTTTTCTTCTCCCCTTCTTACTGTTTCTTATTCCTTTAATTCCTTTTTTTTCCCTTCCTTTTCTTCTTAGTCTTCTTTCTTGTCCTTTTTCTCCGCCTTATTCTTATCTTCTTCTCCTCTTTGTCCTTTTTTTCTTTTTCTTCCTCTATGATTTACCAGTCCTTTTTAAGAGATGTTCTTTCGGAAGGGTTCACGTTCAACAATTTTTTGAAAATTTCTAAATTTATTCATCCCTCATAAAACTATTATACAACCGACTTACGGTATCCCCTGTCGGGCGTGTCGAACGGTTTATTGCACTTGATGACGTCGAATCGAGTGAGGATGATGAGGAGAACGGATTGGACGTTGCTGAGAATGAGAGCCGTCTGCACACACAGAAACTTGATTTGGATTCTGTATGGTTTCAGAAAGTTTTTACTGGCAGAGAAGAAAACGATGAGGGCTGAGACAGCAAAGATGGCCGATACTAGTGTGATGCAGTTTAATATGAGCGTGGTAGTCGCGGCGACGTCCTTGATAAAATGAATAAAAATGCATGAATAATAACATCAACACATATATTCGACCAGCATAAAAAAGCATTAACTTATTTCTAATGACGAAGTGTCTGAAATATTGTTTTATATAGAATTAAATTATGTCGGTAGAAGTGCTCAAAATTTTAGTGAAAGCTTAGAATATAAAAGTCGGCCAGTGTCCTGAAAATGTCTAGAATATTCAAGTTTCCTTCTTCCTCTCCCCTCCCCCTCTCTATCTCTCCCCTCCCCTCTCTCTCTTTGTCTTCTCTCTGTCTCTCTCTCTCTCTCTCTCTCTCTCTCTCTCTCTCTCTCTCTCTTTTTCCTATCTCTCTCCCATCATACCTATTACATTCCTTACGATTATGACTTTTTGGTACCTGCATGCCTATGTAGCGTCCTGGGCTCCGTTATACAAAATATGCCGCCTAGATAGCTATTGATCGTACGATTGATTATTGCGATTGATTGCACATAATGATCAAAGAATCAATCGCAATATCAATCGTACGATCAATTTCTAAGCTTTGTCTTACAGGGCCACGCTCTACAAACTCCTGCGACTAGCTACTTGAGTGATTCACACCAACATGGCAACAATACAGCATGACCGAATAGAGAACATTTTCGTTGTGTATTCGAAATAAACATTGATTTGAAAGACCCGATGACCATGATGACAATAAATATCCACGTTTGGAGCCAATCCATACAGCCTCTGATTTATTTAAGTTAAGTTTACAACCCAAAAAAAAAATATTTAAAAATAAAATGAAAATAAAAATAAAAATATTTTTTTTTTTTTACCGGGTTTTCATTGAGTGAGCCATCGATTTTGAGTACCTCCGTGATGAAGAGAATAACAGGTCTAATGATAGCAGTCTGTAGAACACACGTCTCCAATATACGGTAGTTTCTCCTTCAGATTGAAAGCAACAAAATGTGTCACAGAACGAGTTGGCAATGTTACATTGATGATTTCATGATAAAAGGTCTGAATAACATAAATTCAAAAGACAATATTTTCGTGTGTGTGACTTACTTGATATACATTTTATTTCTGTTTAAATGCAAACTTAAACAAAGTTCTAAAGGACTGAAATTAAGTACAGTGAAACCTGTCTATACAGGACCACCCAAGACAGACCAAAAAAGTGGTCTTTACAGACAGGTGGTCTTTACGTACAGGTTCCTTTAGTACAGTCATGTTTCAATGAGAAATGATTTTCAAGGGGGGAGTGTGATCTTTGTAGACAGGTGGTCGTTAACTCAGGTTTGACCAGACAGATTTGACTGTATATAGATAACAGGTAACTATCTCACCTATACCTTTCTGTGCATGTGTTTTATGAGCAATGTAAATGTTTAACACAAAGACTTTCATGTAAACTGCTTTTTCGAAGCTAGTTATGTTTGTTTCATCATTACTGACTCGGAACATTAGCGTAAAACCAGCATTTGCATATGATGGATAATGTAGACAAAATGAAAATAATGACAAATTGAATAAGAAAAAGAAACCATCTGCCAATGTTCCCCGATTAATGGAATAATTAATTAACTTTATGGAAGCGTCTTTATACTAACGTTAAGGCCCACCGTGAATGTTCGTCGTATAAATGTTATGGTTATACGTAACATGTACTATACACAACATGATTTCAAAAGAGAGAATCCTTAAACTGGAAGCTCTAACCTTGTCATTTCGAATTTTGGTAAGCACTGGAACAGACATAACAGTGGTGGTCTAGCGAGAGAAAACCTTGTTCCATTCATGGTAATGATCATGGCATCGAGACCACCGAAATAGTCAACAATCAAGGTGATGAACTGGTAAAGGCAGACGGCGAAAAAACTAAGAAACAAACAGTAACACGAATAATTTAGAAATATAATTGTTAGGCATCTTGAATTCATAACACCTTTATAACCAATTTATAGTTTATAAGAATAAAACTGATTATTAAAATGTTTAGAAGATGAAAATCAGCAAATAGAGAATAAAGTACAAATCAGAATTGAGGTTTTATGACAAAAATAAGTTTTTAAAAATTGTATAAGAAATAAATTTATCATGATTGATTGACTATTGATTGATCGATTTTATACGCTAAGCCTCCAACATGCAACAATATAAAAGAATTACATATCAAAATTAAGTCAGCTTGAACAGGACAACCCACGAAATAATGTCATGTTCCAATTGTTAAACGTAGTTGTGAAGATCGAAAATCTCCGTTTTCTTGAAATGGAAGACATTGAATATGATTAATATTCATTTCTTGTTTCTGTTACTTTAATCAGTGGGTACAATTATTATCTCAGTCGGGAAATAAGGCTTGCTCATTAGACTTGATCTTTGATCAGGTAAGCCGATAAATTAAACTAAATTACCTTTCAGTGTCCTTACGTTATCGCGAGATTGTTGACTCAAATATACATTATCTCATTTTGTTTCAATGATCTGACGTCTTTTGACATTTTGCCCTTAGTACTGGATGTTTGTTTTATAACTAGTTACTTATCTCAGTGTTTACATTATAGTTAGAGAAGATCAATGATATCATATTTACAATGCTAAAACTTAAGGGGAATATATCCAGGTCCAATAAAACTTATATAGCTTTTCTACAAAAAAACTGATTGAATGTATAGGCCTATATAGACCTATTCACCTGCAAGTTACATATTCAACAGGCAATTCTTAATTACTATTCATAAATTCACAAGTCAATCACTATTCTAATTTCTATTTATATTATTGGTATTTTTTCAATTAATATTTTTCTGTTATCGTTCCATATTAACTCTGATTGCTTTTTAATTACATTTTATTTCATTGAGGAATGTGATCTCTTCCTTGAACTACAATTTTAATCGGATGGTAGAGTAAATGCAACAAGAATCAACATCTAGTTTTGAATAGAAGCATGATCAGACAGAACGAAACGGTCTACGTTTGATGCTGTTCTACAATATCATTTTCTAAATCGATCTATGAGCCTTCAATAAATTTGTATATATAGACGTATGAAATAATACAAAATTGCGAATGCACAATGGTAAAAAAAAAATGCTCGTCATGAAGTGCAGAAGTTTGAGGCAAAGTTGTACAAGGTAATATCATAAAAGAAAACAGGAGAAGATAAACATGAAATAAAATTACTAACGAATACAAATAAATTGACTTGAAATGAAAATCAATTAAAGTGCTTACGCTGTTCCAGTGAGAGTACATAATCCAGCTGCCCTTGGGATGTAAAGACCGAGTAAACATGTTGCACAGAAAACCTGGAGGTTGATTGAACATTAGTTTTATCTTCATAACCAATAATGATACCTACAACAACAACAATAATGACATGGTTGCATGAGATATGTATGTACTAAAAGCAATATATTCACAAATTGGGCCCATCTAATATCAGACTCCCTGCAACCACACGGTAACCATAGTAACCAGGTATCATCAATCCGCAGTGAATGAGGATAGGTGATTTAATCATAATCATCAATCAGAGGACCATGTGATTGAACACCCGAATCCATAATTCATTATCAATTCATTGTTACACTGTCAGAACCTACACTTATGAACAAAATCCGACCATAATTATGTTGCCGATAAAACGGCTTTCGGTTCTATGATGAAAAGAGCATGTGCCATTATCGTTCCCTCTTCTTTGTATTGTGGTATGTGATTAAGTTCGTTATAAATTCTCAATGTATAGCGAGTCATTAGCAATGTCATTACTGTTATTACCTGTTGTATTATCACTTGGATGATTCACTGCTCGTCTGACGTTTAATGATCGACTGATTAATTATCTTGTACTACCGGAATCAATTTCATCTCACACAATGGTGCCCTCTATACGGTATTTAGGGTCGGTGCCGCAAATTCATTTCAGAATGGGAAACAAAAATAAACATTATGACAGCCAAGGCTAAACGCCCCTCACAAAAAAATAGTCTGAAGGTCTCACTTAACCCATCCAGAAAAATAACCATACACAACGTAACTACATCAATGGTGAGCCGTACTATCTGACACATTAAACATAGTTTAATCGTGTTTTAATATTCTTAAACTAATATAGGACAATCGATGTCATCGATATACTGTGTGTAATAGAGAGTAATTCTTTTCATCTCTTGACTGGGGGAAGGGGGAGGTATGTAACAAATATCCCATCAAAATGTAATCATTTGATAAATATATGTTTGCTTTCATCGGTTATCTTTGTATCTATAATTGATGATAATGATAATGATGATAATATTACTAATACTACTTATTACTACTAATGATAATATTAAGAAGAAGAAGAAGAAGAAGAAGAAGAAGAAGAAGAAGAAAAGCAAGAAGAAGAAGACATGGGGAGAGAGTTGCAAATGTAGAACGTTAGTCGGGCTTGGATTCGAACCGTCAACCCTTGGATCGAGAGTCAAGTAAATAAACCACTATACCACGACACATCCACAATCTAATTAGCTGTTCGATTAATACTACCCAAAGTGTTAATCATTATGGTAGCCCTTATACTTACCGGATAGATGCCTATAAGCCAGACAATACTTGTTCGTCGATCACTATAGGGTATATACCTTAACACCCACAGCCAAGCTTCGAAGAATAGAATCACTTCTATCAATGTGATGATACTACATGTGATTAAGATCGGTAGCATCTGAGGGTTGTCCTCTAAAAGATCTTGAAATGAAAAAAAAGGAGAAATTTCCCATCAATCTGTAGTTTTTGATCGCTTTTACCCAAAACCCTTCGCAAAGAATGTATTTTGCTTTTCACACTCTTTTTGTCCCACTACAAATTATTTTGGAATAGAAATATGTGAATTGGTTATTTTGACAATTTTGGCATACTAGGTCGAAATTTGACATAAAAATGGATTTTATTTGATTCATCAATGTAATATAATATATTTCATTTTACCAACAGTTTCTTTAAAAAGTCCCATTTTTTGAAAACCGTCACAAATCTCTTTCCAAATGCCACTCTAATCAACCCCGGCCAATCGCATTGTAATCAGAGAGCGGAAAGCGTTCTTCCGTATAAATATCCGAGTGTATTAATGGTTACAAAACTTGGGATACAGAGAAGAGACCGGACAGAATCTATTTCCGTATAAATTCACCGAGCAAAGCGGGTTCTATACAACTAGTAATGAGATAATTCGAAAAAAAACAACAATATTATTGAACTAGATATCGATTCCGTTGTTTACAGGTCATTAAAAATCACAATGCTTATAATAGCAAGCATCATCTGCAGACACACTGATTATTGACGCAAAAGGAAGATCTAGATAGCAAGGCGTTGTGAAGTGCGTTCATCATCATTTACTAGAAATTTGACTCAGGAAACACGTTTGTGTTCATTTCATCATCATATACACACAAATTTCATTCTGGTATTCATGTAAGCAGATAAATATAATGATAATTGTCATACTTTCCAGCATTTCATTTGCCAGTGGAGTGTAGGAGCAGTTGTTTGCCATGGTTCGGTCATAAATCTCGCTCGTTCAGTTGATAATTGATCGTTAGAGTCCGATTTGAGAATGTCATTGATAGTTCAGTATCGGTACTCCAGTATACAGACAAGCGCACATAATCATACAAATAATCACATCCTTGTGACACGATGGTGTTATATCCAAGTTAAAACACTTTAGAGGTATAACAGCGTTGTGTAGAATCGTCGACCACTGTCTTGTTGAATAGAGCGATCTAGATTTGTGTGAAAAAGCACGATGCACTTTAGCCTTAGCGTGTGATATTGACATTTCAGTGGCAAGGGGTTCCGATAGGACTGAAAACCTTGTGTTTGTAAGAGCTTTTATTTATTTTAAAGACTTAGATCTCGAGGAAGATCAACATCGATGCATATGGAGCTCTCGAGTTCAGGGGTGTTGCCAGACCAGTTGACTGCAGGGGGGGGGGGGGCGGAAAATATGCCAATAAGTTATAGGGTAAACATGTCAAGCAATTATGTTTTCACAAAATTGCCGACATAGAAGTTTGAATTGGGTGTGACGGTTCTGGGATAATTACCCCCTGGGCAATCACCCCCGGAAACTACTACCGGGACAATTACCCCTCCCCCCCTCAAGGACAATTACTCCCCGGAAAATCACCCCCCCCCCCCCTCCCTAAGGAAAACCACCCCGAGGATAATTTACTCCGGAAAATTACCCCCCCCCCCCCCCCCCGTGGACAATAAAATTACACCCGAAAAAATTATTATTTTATTCAAACCAACTTATTATCAGGGTGGACTTCCCATTTAATGAACAGGGGGTGGCCTAAAATTTGGGTGGTGGTCGTCCTTGGCTGTCCTGGGGGTGGTTGTACTTATATATTTGTCCTTTTTTTTTTTTTATTATTGTCCTTTGTGGGTAGTTTCCGGGGGGTAATTTCCCGGGGGTGATTGTCCAGGGGTAATTGTCTTGCATGATACGGCTCGGGTCACATCCACATTCGTACCATCTTGCGACTCTTCTGCTCAAATGCATGCGAGTACTGTGACATTTCCTCCAGTACGTAGGCTTACAATAAAAGGGAAGTTATTTGGGGGATAATGGTATGAACAAGGAGTCATGAATTAACCTACAGTATATTGAGTAAAGGATGTAATAGTTGGAACTCCTATGTAAATATCGTCCTCACACAGGGCTAAACACCGATTAATAGATAAACTAATCGAAAACTAAACTAAGTCATGGAGCTAGACCTCTGTAGACAAAGTGAACTTTGAACATTTTCATCATTGAAAAATCCCAAGACAAGTGATGTTATGAGCTGAATTGCAGGCACCGATAATGCATGGGAGTTTCAATTAAAGAGTGCAATGTGTATACGCGCTCAATATGTCTGCTTTTATTGTGAATTATTAAAAAATATAATTGATCATAATTTGGCATCAATATTTTTAGAGGTTATTGGCAGTGTACTTAATGAAGTCATTATAACCTCATCACCTGGCTACATTTTGAAGGTTACCGAGAGAGCTAGCGCTTACTTGATTGAACTTCGCACATCATTATTATGCCCAGTACCATTTTGACATTCAAAACCCATTTGCAGCAGTGGCGGATCCAGCAATTTCTTACCGGGGGGGGGGGCACAAAATTGCATGGGGTGAAATATATGAAAAACGATAGAGCGAGGCGTCAGCGGCGAGGGAGCGGAGCGACCAAGCGGGAGTGGGTCTAGCCGTCTGGGAGGGGGTCAGAACCCCTCTAGAGTAGAAAGCATTTGCAATTATAGTACCACAATAGGCGCATTTTTAGGCACTTCCTGAAGTAATATGACCATAAAAAGCAGTGCATGATAACGTCTTTTTAAATCAAGAAATAGTTTAATATACAGTTCCGGGGGGGGGGGTTGACCCAATGACGATGCGAAAACTGTGTGGGTCTGGACACAATCATGATGGCGTTTTTCTACGCACATCACATTTTCACTTAGCAGCCCAAGGGGGGGGGGGGGGGTTAAACCCCTTAACCCCCTCCCCCGTTGATCCGCCACTGCCAATAGTAGGGATTTCTTTCGTTTTACTTCTCATTATTCTTCTTTCCCCCCTTTTTTATCCTCCGTCTTTCACACCTTCTTCCTTTTCCGCCTTTGCTCTCCTCTCTCTTCCCCTTTCTTTCTTTCCCCTCCTTTTTCTCCTCTCCCCTTTTCTCTCCTCCCTTTTTTCTTCTTCTTCCTCTCTTCCCTTTTCTTTCTTTTCCCCCTCCTTTTTCTCCTTTTCTCTCTTTTCTTTTCCCCCGAGTCCCCCCTTTTTTTTTTACCGGGGGGAGGGGGGCACGTGCCCCCTAGATCCGCTACTGTGCAGTATCGGTATATTATCTTCGATACATCCCATTACATGTATTTTATTTTCAGTTAAAAAATTACGATATTTTTTTTGCTACTCTCCACCTAGGTGTTAAATGGGTACTCGGTAGGATGCGACCGTCATTGTTGGTCAAACAGCTTGTGAGCGTCATGTAACGCCCGGCTGGAATGCTCCCCAGGGAGTGGAGATTGTGCACACAGTGTGTGCGGGCAAGCACTGAATCCAATGACCGGGGTAATAGTATATCTGTAAAAGCGCTTAGAGATTTTGTATTAAGCGCTATATAATTTTTTTTTTTTATATATATATTTGTTTACAGTTTTTTAATGTACAAATTTGTTTCCTCCTGAATCGGGGGTAAGAAGGCATTAAAGGTTCATTTTCCTTATCCTGATCTAAAGATTACATTAACGATTTTGTTTCCCTTCATGATTTTATATAAATATATACTGTATAATCACTTTCGCAATTTTATTGTAACGAAGGTGACTATTGATGTGCGGTCTTCATACTTTTCAAAGAATACGTATACTCATTACTTGCTGGTGAGATACAGAGCAGAACAAATGATAATGTGTTTTTAAAATTAAAAAATGACGAAGGAAACCGAACAGAGCAGAAAGTAGATTGCTCTTTGACAATTTAGATAATTGCCTCTAACTTCATGATAAATTGATGGTTTAACGTTTGTTTACTGGTTTGAGAGAGCATGAAAATGATGATTGGAAATCGGCCAAAGCGGTTAATGGATTTGATCAGTGATCTGAAGTGTGAATACCAACTATGTCATTAAATTATTAATGAAAACACTTTATGCGTTATTCGGTCGTTGGATTAAGTTATCCCTGAAAACCATTCAGCCTAAAAGAAATAGGACTTAAAGATGTGCGTGGTTTACATTTGTTTGTCGAGCTGAGCTTTAATTATGTTACATTGTTAGAATGTTGAGGCAGAAGAATAGGCAGAAGAATAGTTTCATTATTTCATTATAGTTTTTCAGTAATACAATTATAATGTTTATTTCTTTTTAGTTAGTGGATATTCTATTTTCAAGGGATTGATTAAGCCTTGCAAGCAACTTTGTTATGTTAAGTAGACCCACCATTTAAAAAGGCACAACCCAGCCCCCCCCCCCCCCCTTACCCATGTCAGTGTATTCACTCTGCTCGTTGTTACATGTAGGCCAATGCCTATAATGATTACTATGGCATTTTTCCATGCACTTTTTCACTTTGTTCATCAAACGATCGCTATAGTTTTTTCACGATGGTATACCAAGTCATCGCTTTTCCAAACTTTGTACACATCAAACTGTAAAACGCCACATCTATAGGCCAGTTTCTTATTATAAATAACCTTGTATCGAAAGTTGTGGTTTTGACACTTCAAAAGGAAATCAATACTTTTCATGTTGAACTTTTTATCATGTCTGTACACCCACACGGCACACGAGGACAATAATAGATTTGGGGGCTGACCCTAAGCTCAGCAGACCAAGCAACGACTATAAACAGGCTACCTAGCAACCTCCTTCTGTCACCGCTTCATCGCACCGGAGACACAGCTTTCAGAATGTGTCCATGCACACACAGCGCAGACGACCGCTATATGCTAACATTGGTTTGTACGCGGAGTATACATCGTTTACTCCCGATACACCTGTACAGCCTTGGTAATTGGTTTCTTCATTGATTTTAGTCGGTTTTTTATAGTTGTTGGAAAGTTGGAGAAGTGTGACACGCTATATTTTATTTTATTCATGTAATCCGGAGAAGTTTCACCATGTCTTCTAAAGGTACCGAGCAGGATATATATCACCTTGCTCATGCAGGATATGCACAAAAACTGAATGAATATTTGTCGAAAACTGCGAATAAAGTAAACATCAACGAATTCTCGAAGGATGGAGCTACACCTCTGATTTTGAGCGTACAGGGGTCTCGAGTCGACCCCGCAGCTCAGGGGACGAGCCACATCGAGTGTTGTGAACTTCTCGTAAGTCATGGGGCTAATCCTAATTTATCGGATAAATTAGGAAGGACTGCGCTTCATTGGGCCGTATTCTACAAGAAGTCAGAGTTTGTCAAAGTTTTATTGAAAGGAGAAGGTGATGTCACTAAAGAAGACAAAAAGGGACAGAATGTCATGCAGTTTGCAATAAGAATGAATGCCGCAAGGTGTTTGCAACTTATTTGTGAAACTTTGAAAGATGCTTCAGCTGCAAAGGTAAGATTTATTTTACACATATTTACGTTTGAGTACAGTAATTTGTTCAAACTTTTTCCATTTTCAAATGAAAATCTTGCTTTATTATGATCCTTCCATCCCATGTTGCTCTTTTGATTAGGTCTATTCAGAAATTGATATTTTGAATATAAGATTATCAATTTAGACCTACCTTTCAATAGGTCTACTTTTAAATTTCAATTTTCATCTTAACCTTTGTTGACAATGTTTGGTATTTAAAATGCTTAATGCCTGGTTGGTTTCTTTACCTTTACCGCAAATACTGGAAGAATGCTGAGACAGCAGTCGAGCTTCCAGGTCTATCTTCTTGGTCTATCTTCTTGCACTCATAGTCATACTCTTTAATAATAATTCTGATTATATGCAAGGGAGGCAGAGGGGCAAGAGGTTGCATCTTGACTGGACAATGTACCATGTACAATGTCCCAGGAGCAAAGAAATTGAAAAAAATCAGTTCGAGTATTGAGAGATATGACACTGTTCCTTCCAGCAACGATCAAGCCTGGTTTTGAAGGCGTCTATGGTGGGAGCCTGAACTACTACTTCAGGCAGAGAGTTCCAGTCGTCAATCACTCTGTGACTAAATGTGTTCTTCCTTACATTTGTCCTACACCTCGGCTTTGAAAGCTTGAGACTATGCCCTCTTGTCGGTGTGTCTGCTAGTTGGAAGAAGTGGTCAGGGTTGAGTCTGTCATGCTCATAAATGATCTTGTACACCTGAATCATGTCTCCTCTCCTTCTCCTGTACTCAAGGGATGGTAAGTTTAGGCATTTAAGTCTCTCTATGTAAGGTAGGTGTTTCATTGTGGAGATCATCTTTGTTGCTCTCTTCTGTACTCTCTCCACAGCTTTTGTGTCTGAAATGTACCTTGGCGACCAGATTACATTTCCATACTCAAGGAGGGGGCGCACTAGTCCCTTAAACAGCTTGGGAATGGTGGATGTGTCATGACACTGAAAGGCACGTCTGATGCTGATCAGGACCCTGTTGGCCTTGTTGATGGCATACGACACATGGCTGTGGAACTTCAGTTTGTCATCAACAAGTACCCCCAGATCCTTTGTCTCTCCAACTGTACTCAGGGCTGAACTCCCGATTGTGTAGCGCTCCTGACAGTCTCCAGATCCAAGATGTAAAACACAGCATTTTCTTGCGTTAAACTGGAGTTGCCACTTTGAGGACCAGTCTGTCAATGAGCACAGGTCAGCTTGCAGAAGTTTGCGTTGGTCAGGAGTAGAGACGCATGAGAAAGCCTTGGTGTCATCTGCGTAAATTCTTACAGTGGAGTCCAGCACCTCAGGGAGATCATTGATGTAGAGAACAAACAGTGTTGGGCCGAGTACGCTGCCCTGGGGCACCCCGCTCTTCACGTTGCACCACTGAGATCTGGCATTATTTACCACCACCCTCTGTGTTCGGCCATGAAGGAAATCAGCAATCCATGTTTTGAAGTTCCCTTGGATCTTGTAAGCATCAAGTTTTGACAACAGCCGTTGGTGGGGCACGCTGTCAAATGCCTTTTGAAAGTCTAAGTAGACAACATCAACCTTTTCTCCTTGATCTAGCCAGGCAGTCCATTCCTCAAGAGTGTGGAGCAGTTGTGTAACACATGATCTACCTGGGACAAATCCATGCTGAGAATCACTGAAAAGATCATGTGACATCAAATGTTCAACCACCTTATCTCTGATGAGAGATTCCATGATCTTACAGGGGACTGATGTCAGGCTTATTGGGCGGTAATTGTTAGCATCCAACTTGCTCCCCTTCTTGTGCACAGGAACAACGTGGCTAATTTTCCATGCTGAGGGAAGCTTGCCCTCTTGAAATGACTTGGTAAAGATGATGGCCAATGGAATACACACTGATGCTGCGGTTTCATGTAAAACACAGGGATGGATACCATCCGGTCCAGCACTTTTGAACTTGGAAAGCAAACTAAGTTTGTGATGTACATCATCTGCAGTAATGACAAGTGCTGATAAGCATTCGGGAGGTTGCCTAGATTCCAGAACTGGTATAGCAGAAGTGTCCTCGTCAGTAAAGGTTGTCTCAAAGAAAGTGTTCAAGATATCTGCTTTCTCTTCATCCGATGTAGCGAAGGTTCCATCAGTCTTTCTGAGGTCAGGTAGCCCACCTCTTGTTTTCAGACTATCTTTGGCATATCTCCAGAATGCTTTTGGATTTTTCTTAACATTCTTTGCAAGATCCCTCTCAAAGTTACTGCGCAGCTCTTTTGTGAAAGATTGGAGTGTCTTTGCCAGTCTTTTAGCTCTTGATATGTCTGCTGGGTGCTTGGTAGTTTGGGCTTGTCTCCAAGCACGGTGCTTCTGTGCTTGCAGTTTGAGCGCTTGTTTGTTCATCCAACAGTGCTTTTTCTTTCGTCGGCGTGAAGCAGAACGCGGGATACATTTCATCATCTTTTCTGTTAATGTTGTGTGAAAGAACGACCATGCCTGTTCAGTATCCATATCCTTCATAGTCTCTTCCCACTTGACTTCCTCAAGCTCCTCACAAATGTCATCATATCGCCCAATGTTGTATTGAAACTTTGGAGTTCGTCTGTCTGCTTCTGGAGCCGATAAGGTGATAGTAAAACAGAGCCCAAGGTGGTCACTCAGCCCCAGTGGGGGCAACGAAACAATTTCATCAATCAAGAACTCATTATCTGAAAACACCAAATCCAGGGTGCTGTCTCTCTGACCTTCCCTTTGTCTAGTGGGAAAACTGACATGTTGATATAGGAAGCAGTCGGCTACAGTTTCCATGAACTCTTGATCTACCTCACTTCTTCCAGCATAGGACCCCCAATCAATGTGAGGATAATTGAAGTCCCCGGTGATCAGAAGATTGGTTGAGTTCATATTAGAAACCTCAAGCATCAGATTGCGTAGCTGAAGGTGGTTGTTGACAGAAGGACTTCTGTATATGCATCCAGCGAGTAGTTTCTTGGAACCAGCAAGTCGCAGTGTGATCCACACAGACTCATCAAAATTTGTTTGAATGTCACAGTCCTGTACAAGATGGCAAATTTCATGTGATACGTAAATTGCAACACCTCTCCTTCCATCTGCAACATTTGAGCGAATGTCATATCCATCCAGGAAAAAATCCTGTTCACATACTGGGTTCTTAACATTTTTGGGGCAGACCTCAGTCAGGAAGACCAAGTCCACTCTGTGCACTTCAAGTATCAGTAGCAGTTCATTCCGTTTATTCAAAAGGGAATCACAGTTTGTGTAAAACACCTTCAATTTGCCACACTTCTGGAATTGTGAGTTTGTTTGTTGTAGCCTGGATATGTCACCATCGTTCACATGCCAAGAGCCTCCATCCACGGTTGTAGTTGTAGAAACAGGTGAGCATTCACTGTCACTACTACTACTGGTAGTAGTAGTACTTTCATTCTCACTTCCCTCTATTTCGTGTACAGATAGTTCATTGTCACTCTCCTGATAAATCAGTGCTATATTGGCATCGCTTCTGCTGCATTCATATGCATAACTACTCTTATGACAAGTACCACTTTCACCCTCATCTGCAGTGAGATCATCACTTCTCTCCAGATATGACAATGTTACATCGCTTCTGTTACGTTCATAAAAACTATCATCACTAGCATCAGATTCATTTCTACTACTAAAGTCTTCCCTACTACTGTAAACTGTTGAAGGGTCTAGTCACAGTTCCTTAGAGGTGCTATCCTCTGTGGCCTGCTGCGACTTCAAATCAGGATGGGCTTCACTTTCATGGTTGGGGCTATGAGGCCTGCTTAGTGGTGCCTGATCTTTCTGCTTCCCTGTCACAGGAATACTGGCGTTGTTGGTAGCTGCAGCTACATGTATGGGACGTGGTCCATTATCCAGGAGTGCTGCACCCATGGTGTGAGATTCAGCTTCATTCAAGTTTGCATGGTCTGATACATTTGCAGGTAGAGCATGGTCCAACTTCGACACGTCTGTCTGCACTGCAAAACTATATCCTTCCTTCCGCTTCAAAATCCTTAGCATACCTGATTTTTGGCTATCAGCAATCTGCTTGTTGTCATGTAATTGTGGGAATTTAACATGCTCTTCTTTCTCTCTGACAGTGGTGGGTGGTGTTGTTTTGAAGTGTACCTCTTCATCACTTGAGATGTCTACTACTTCGACTGCAGCAGGTTGCTTTGCTAGAGAGCTAGCTGAGCCTGATGAGTAAGGTGATGAATAGCTAGAGTGGTAATTGGTGTCTCTCACATGTACAATTCTACCACCACGGATTATGCATTTCTCGCCATCAGCCCTTCTCTTTTTCAACTCATCCCGTAGAAGTTTGTGTGTTTTTCTTTCATCAGGTGTCCGGTCTGGGTCAATAAATATCTTGTTGTAGACTCCATGGTGTCTCAGCATCTTGGCTTTGAAGAGAATCTCATCTCTTGGGACAGCCAGCTGAACTAGGAGAACCCTAGGGATGCTATTGTCTCGCTGCTTGTAACCAAGTCTGGTTGTTTTCACAATGTTTATATTCTTGAACTGAAGAACGGTGAGAATTTTCAGAACAAATTGTTGATCATCTTCCTGTCGCTTGTTTTTTGTCTCTGATTTGCTCTCCTCTACATTGTGCAAGATGTTGTTCTTCCTTCTGTCTCGGTCTCTGTACTCTTCCAGGATTGGTATTGCATCTGGGATAGCATCCTGTGGTGAATTTTCTGTTTTCTGATGAGCAGGGGTGTTAGCAACTGGTCCCCTCGTGCGAGGGCAAGCATTCTCAGGGACAGGGAGAGGTGATCTGTATGAAAGATGGTGCAAATCTGCCTTCAGCTGCTCATTATCATTCTCAAGCTTCATTATTTTAGTCTCAATTCTTTGCATCATGTCCAAGACAGGTTTGAAATGATCGGTCTGTGGGCCCGTGACATGATTAGCTTGGTTCGGAGAGGGAGGTACTGTGATTTCAGACTTTATTGAAGTGTAAGGTGTGTGCAATTTCAGTTTGGCTTCTAAATCACATGTCATGCAGAAGAAATGAATAGTACTCCATTTCCCTATGTCCTTGATAACTTTAGCTTCAAGATTCGCACATCGTGGGCATAGCCAGTTCTTACATAATTCACACTGGACTAAAGACCTTGTGCGAGTGCCATGACAACCATCACAACACAGGTCGTTGCTGTCAGCCTGTGGTATATGTGTACCGGTTGGTTTGTCATTCTCTGCTTCCTCCTTTTTCTTTCCTCTTTTGCTCAACGCCACCGAAGGTCTACTGTTGTTGGCCCTGCTCATATTTTTTACTGCAGAGCACTGTCGACCTTGACTGCCCATGCCAGGATGACTGGAGCAAATACTTGAGGATTGACTACTGTTCAGACTTGTGTCTAGTGACAAATTTCCCTTAACTTGCTGCTTTGAGTTTTGACTGAGTGACCTTGTGACCTTTCCACCAAGTACACATGAGGTGCCAGGCTTCAATGATTTTTTACTAAGCTGTGAAGAAGGCTGGGGGCTTGCGTTGCTAGCCATTTGAAAAATATTTGCTGCTGGAAAAGTTACTGCTTGGCCTATAATACTTGAAGGGCTGCAGAGACTATAATAGCAGACAGCTTCAAATCCAGCGCGTACATGTACAAGGGAACATATAACACTAGACCAGATGTACAGTGTACATGTAGGGTAGATCACTAGAAGACATGCGTAAGGATTCTCAAGGCTCAAAAACACCAACAAAGTTATGACAATGAAATTGAAAATGAATCACATGTCAAGCAAGTTACTCATGGTAAAAGCATTCATGAAAAGATAAATTATACTTGCAGAACTACACAACATAGCTACTGCCAGACTGTCCCAGAGTGATGTCCAACTGCATGTAGGATCTATGAATCCAATATGTGGGACCAGAGCAAACATTCAATATAGATGCAGGGTGATTCAGAAAATCCACATCAAAATATTCTTTTCTTTTCTTCTGGCTCCAAACAGACTACTAAAACAGACAATAGTTTTATAATTCAAACTTTGTATGAGATAATTATGAAAACAAGATGGCACCTACAACAACAAATCACTTTATGTCTAGCACTTACCACTAATTTGAAAGTTCACAACAGATTAAAAAAAATCAAATATAAAATTTTAAACAGACTACTTTTGTTATGTTTACATTGCTTTACACTTTTTACATCTTCTTTCTCTATGTTTAACCAGGGAGAGTGTTTTCTAACACTCTCCCTGGTTAAACATAATCTATCCATCTATATATTACTGGGATGATTTTGTTTTATTTCAACCAAAATGTCAGATTTTATCAAAGCCAAGTGCATCTGTTGGTACCCCACTCATCCAAGCCACCAAGCTAGGTCATCAGGAATGTTGTCAGATCTTACTACAGGCTGGAGCTAATATAGACATTCAGGATCAGGCTTACTTTGATAAGACAGCTCTCCTTATTGCTACTGAACTCAACAATGCAGACATTGTAGAAATGCTCATCAAGTAAGTAATCTAATTTTAATACTAATTTATTTCTTATGTATTTATATAAATGGTTTATTGTTAAACTGATTCATTTGTTGTCAATGGTATATTATACATTGCAATAGAAGTAATGAATATAGACATTGTGAGAATGCTCAGTAATCAGATTTTTTAGACTAATGCAATTGTTATTTATGCCATATTTATTCATTTGAAGAATATCTTTCAACTAAAATTTTTTTTTTACATTATAGCCATCAAGTAAATGAGGCTCTACATGTACATGTACATATTTGAGAAACATCTGTGAAAGGAGACGCAAAACATATGTCTTTATACTTAAAAAGTCTTGTACCAAAATGAGGCTCAATGAATTTAATTTCATTAAGTGTAAGAAGATCTGACTGATAAATTAATCAAGTGAATATAATCAAAAAAATATTTTCATCAACTTATGAGTGCAGTTTCTCGAGATTGTCCAATTTTCCAGTTTGTATTTATTAGCATCAAGTGCTTGATACTGAATATAAGTATATAGAAGTTGAATTTTTCCATTTTAAAGATATCGATAGAATTAATTTCTTTTTGTCTACAAAGTACTTGGTGACTATTATTATATTGATGATTAATTGAATTGTATGACCCAAAAACTCTTTCATTTTATTTCAATCTTCAAGCTTTGATCAGATTAGTTTGTAATGGATTGGTTTGTATAGGATTCAATCAATATGTTAACTTACCGTACAGCTATTAGCTGCTGGATATTGATTCCAATCCATTAAATCAACTCAGGCATACACCACTCCCATGACTTATTTATTTGTCCAATTCTCTCCCATTTTTAATGAAAGATGCTAATCAAATTCCATAAAATATCATTAGCATATTTATTAAATGAAGTGACCCAGTAGCACCTTATTCATAAATTATTGATTATTATTCATATCTTGTTCACAGATTAGTTAGCATTATTTGCAAATATATGCAATTTAGATTACCTGTGTGTGGGTGTGGGTGGGTGTGTTTGTGTAAACCATTGATGTTAAAAACATGTTATTGGGCAGACTGCTCCTCTTACATGTACTTCAATGTGTTGCCTGGTGAAGTTGAAGGAGAGTAATAAATTATATTTCATGATTTGTTGGGATGCTGCTATACCATGTAACACTTACAGGTGCATGTTTTTTCAATCATAATTTTGTTTTATATAGACACCGGTGTATACTTGAAGAATATTTGTGATCAAATGCTGGAATTGTGTGTGTTCAGCACATTAACGGCATATATTCACAATACATGGAAAGAACTGCAAATAAAATAACAGTGCATCAAAATATGTCAGGACAGAAAAATGAAACAAACTTATTACTGAAATGCAAATAATTCACACGACTTCTCAATCATATATCTTCAATCCTACAGAATAGTAGTAAATTTCATATTTTGTGAGGAATGTATTACACTGTATGTTCAGTGGTTATAATGTACCTCACATATTACCAGCGCTTTACCAAGAGTCTGCATCTATCAGGCAAATAACCTCAAGGTGAAACTGATTTAATAAAACATTTTACATATATTCTGCATGATTAGCTAATTTGTAACTGATACTAAGAGTCTTTTCCTTTTATCTAGATCAAAAATGAAAAGGTTGATATTTGAAATGTATTCAGCATGAAATTGAGCTTTCCCATCAGGATACCCACATACTCATCAGTCATCCTGTACAGCTTCAGTGCAATAGACCATTCTCCTCTTGGTTATTCTAATTAATTGTCCATCTCATTACCCAAGGTTCAAGCCAACGTCCAATCTGCCTGTAACAGTGTATAATTTACTGTAAATTTTTAATGTAAATTTGCCTTACTATGATAATTACTGTAGAACACAGTGGAAGTGTAGGCATCACTTTGTTGAATATTTGACCTTAAATTTTTAAATGACTAAATAAACGTGAATAGATGTGAACTTCAGTCACATCATTTTGTAGCTTTTGCTGAATTTAATTTTCTAAATTTTCTTTTTTAAATTTCTTTTCAAATTAATAAATGTTGGAATAATGTTTCTTGACTCTTTCAGACTGCAATTGTGATCATGATTGCTGTGATTAAAAAATAGATAAGTGAAAAATGAAATAGAGAGATACATGTACATACCAAGTATTATGAGGTGAAAAGCAGTCAACATCTCTCACCTGTTCTACATTTAAAGTAGTTTGTCTGACCCAGTATCAGTGATTGCTATGTCAGACAACAATAGACAGTATTCAAAGTTGGCAAGTGTATTATTTGCTTCAATTCAAAAATAAATTATCTTATCGTTTGTAAGAAAAAGGACTTTTTGTAATATCCACTGTAAATATTTCCTTTCAATATTTTTTTTTTTGGGGGGGGGGGGATGGCCAGGATATACCTGTGTATAAAAATTGATTGATTTCAAGTTGTAAATGAATGATCCCAATCCTACCCTGAATATTTTAATTGGAATATTGGATGTCCATTTACAATTAAATCCAATTCTTGGCCACAAAATTAGACCAATTGCCTTCACTTCTGCATACATGTACATGTATAGGTAGGTTGCTTGACTTCTATAGTATAATTAGGAGGATTAATGAGTGAAAGTAAACAGACAACCAGAATCAAGGATTTCCGTAATTAGTGATCTTATGCAAACATTATCTGTTAATTGATGTTGAGAAATCATTTTAATGAGATACATGTATTGGTTTTGTTATATTGCAGATATGATGCCAATATCCAAGCTGAAGATTCGCAGGGAAACACTTGCCTGCACCTGTCCTGTTCCCTTACCAACCCCAGATGTCTGGAGCTAATCCTGGAGGGGTGTAAGAAGGCTACCGACCTGGTAGGAAAGAGGAACAAGGCGGGGCTGACACCACTCATGATAGCTTGTCAGCAAGGTCTGGAGAAACATGTGGAATTTCTTCTCAAATATGTGAGTAGATTTTGATTACTTGAGTTAGTATAGTTACGCAAGATTACATGTACATGATGCATATAAGTAAATTCATTGGAAAACATGAAAACTAGAAGAACAAGTTCAAGCATATGCATCCATAATTCATACATAATATAATTCCCAGGAAGCATTACATTTATAAAGTACATGTATGTTCTTCAAACCTGAATGTTCATGTACAATTGCAATTTCAATACTTATAAGTAACCCAATACTTGTAAGTCTATGGCCATGAAATGAAGCCACAAAGTATGAATGTTGGGCAAGAAGATAATTCTGTAAAGAAAGAGATTAGAAATTGTGATATAGAAAGAAAGAAACACACACCCAAACAAAATGTGTAATTTCATATTTGAAGCACTTAATAAACAGTTATTTACAACTGCAGGTATATATGCAGATTCTGATCTTGTGATGACGATATGGTGCATTCAAAATAGGGTATAAAAATTAAATGCAGCACAAATAAAACAGATATTGTTTTTAACACTACATGTACAGTAGGCTTCACAACTGAAGGTTATTCTAATCATATTCATCAGTAATTTGCACAAGGACTTAAATGGCTTTAAAACAACCTTGAGGGATTCGTCGAACGCAAGAGTTTATTTCTGTGGCATGATTGAATGCAGTAATTACCTGAGGTCCATTTGCTCCAGAAACGATTATAAAATTAATGGAGCCTTTGTGTGGTGGCCTTTTATTTGTTAACTGTCAAATCAACCATAGTCCTTTTTGTCATTTACTCGTATCCCTGACATTGTGTAATGACCAAAATGACTTAAAAACACAATGAATTGGTTTGATAATGATTAATGTAACATATTTTGTTACAAAATGGTCACTGACATGCATCTATTGTTATCTGTAATTGATAGTGAAGCTAAAGTGGCATTATAATCAATATCAGGCCTTTTCAAATTATTAATTGAAACCTATTACAGGTGTCATAATTCTGTTCACACTTTGAAATGTCATCACCTTCGGTATGAGAGATATTTAACCATCCTGACTGAAGATGATAATAATAATATAAGCCAGTGTGCCCTGTCACTGCCCTAGTTACATATGACCACAGAGTCCTAGTTTCATAAGACCACAGTCCATTATTTTCATACCAATGTATTACCATTTATGGATCCTTGTTTTTCACATGTCAGATGATTGAACTAGTTTATTGTAATGAATTATATATTATTGACAATTTCATTTACCACTACAAATTCTCTTCTTGGAATTAGCACTACTATAAAGATAACTTTTTAGGTGTTATGTGCATGTGACAAACCTAATGCGACCCAGTTAATTATTTCAACACACACAATAATCAAATAAAAAGCAGGGATAAACTTCCTGATGAATTATTCAAATTCATTACAGTTAGCATTGGGAACTATTGTAGAAGAAGATAGGATTCAATAAATAGTTAACAGGATTATAAAAGTCTACGGTAATTTAAAACAATAATTTTTGCCTATTCATTGTGTGTTTTCAATATCTCTGTATCACAGAAAGTCAACATGAACTTGAAGTATTGAATAGAATAGAGACAAGTGAAAAAAAGAAGGGGAACAAACCCAAACAAAACAAGAAAAAACAAAGAGTTTGTTTAAAGAAATAAGTGCTCACAAATATCAAATGAATAAAATCACATTAGATTACAGCAGGGATATAGATATGTTTTAGTTGATTTTTTAATATGCAGAACAAGAAATTTTTGCCGCTATAAAGAGGGTTGCTGTTCCAGTTTTTTTGTGGAGCTACTACAAAACTTTTTTCTGTTTAGGATAGTCTGATGAATGAATTTACAATGTTTTTTAATTGAACAAAGGTGAGTTGATGTTGTTTATAACTTTGAATTCAATTAATTTTTATTGTGATTGACTAGGAATCACCGGTTGGAGAACAGGATGAGCAAGGCAAGACTGCTCTACACTACGCTACCGAGAAAGGTCTAAGGTCATCGGCAGAGCTCCTTCTAGCAGCAGACTCTGGTCTTCCATGGACCCAGGACTCAGAAGGTCGTACGCCACTTCATCTGGCTGTCATTGAGGGCAAGAAGGACCTTGTGGAGTTCTTGATTGGAAAAAGTGGTGTGAATGCACAGGATAATCAGGGGCACACTCCCATCCATTGGGCTGTGGGTAAGAAAATCTACCTTATTGGGCATAGAGGCATCATTTGTAATTAATGCAATCACATGCCATTAATGTAAATGATGATAATTAAAATTATTGAAGTAATAAATTAAAATCAGTGCAATTATTCTAATTTTGCAATTGTTTGTTGTTGTTGGTTTTTGTTTTGTTTTGTTTTGTATATTACGCAGCATGTACCTGTTACTTCTAACATGTGTGTAAATCCTTGTTTTGGGCATCCTATTAAAAAAGGTGTACATGTACAGTTTTGATTTAATCAGTATACGTTTGATTTTATTGTGCCAGCAAATTATGTTAAAAGGTGACAAAATTAGATTTAGTCTTTTAAAATATTTATTGAAGTATTTTCATTTGGTGTGATTCATGATTTGTAACATTCAGTTACTGCAAATTGGGTTGTATTTCCAAGCTAGCAGGAATAGAGGGAAGCAAAAATGCTCATTCAAGTTAGAAGAGAAAGCATGGTTAATTCATTTACAATAGACCCTAGATTGATGGTTGATTTCACTAGATCAATATTTGTGATTCCAATTATGATTATTAACCCCATTAGAGAGTAGGTCTTCTGTGATTGTTCAGTGGCAATAATGAGTAAACACTACAGAGTCCTAGAGTGAAAGGGTGCCCTCGGTGTGTGTACACAACAATGGGAGCATCACCAATGCTAGGCAAATGCAGTACTGTTCATTGATTTGCAAAATTGATGAAGATGAAAAGTCATTTGATATCAGGATGATAAAATGTTTGAATGACATGTTTAGAGAATAATGTTGAGTGTCTCTAACAATATTCATTTATCCAAAACCCTTACTGGTACATTGAAATAGATTGACTGCATGTATATTTAAAGAGATATCTTGTTGGAAGGGAGCATGTTAAATGTACTCTTACAATTAAATACATAAAGATGATTCCAGTGTCATCTTAAATTTTACAAAGTATCCATTGTGGAATGTTTCTTCAAATAAAAGAATGAGGGATAAATTGTACCATATAGTTAAAAGTACTAGTGGCATAATGACTACACTTTAATGCCAAACTGTTTTTTTTTTAATCATGTGTCTGGCTGTGTTGATATGAATATAATCCTTTCCTGTATGTCAGATAATTGATCTTAATTCATTGCATGCAAAAATTGAATGGGTTCTGTATTAAGGCCATATAATGGGATCTTCCTCTTTTTTTATCTTCCTGCGCTGCCCTATCAATAACTGATAATGATTTATTGAGTAGAGAGACAAATCCTCCGTAATTAAGTGAAATAGATAGATCAGGTTTATAGTGTAATGTCAAAGAAATATATGATTGATCATGAAATAAGAACATTCTCAATCATTATCAGACAGGGGAATTAGGTGTCTAGAAGGCTCAAGGATATATCATCCGTCTGGAGCTAGAAGAGCCTTAACTCTGTATTCTAATAACTGTATGAGTTAATGCCCTTCTGGCTCCAAACAGACGATATTATCTCATACTCTCTATTAAAACTGAGCTTTCAATTAGTACTGAATACTATAAAGAGAGAATCTTTTTGCCGTCATATAATCAATATTGATTTTTAATTTTGATAGGTCAGTGGAATATCTAGGTTTTTCATGCCAGAGGGTGGGAGAGGGGTGGGGGTGGGGGTGGATGGGAGGGGGTTACAAGTCAGACAAATCTCTGACAAACGAAAAACATTCAAAAAAATAAAATGTTATAAAATTTTGCTTTTGCAGGAGCACACATACACCCTTTTGGATCTGCAACTGTAAATATAATGTTCCAATCGCCCATGCTTTGTGTCTAAGAAAAATACATATTTCAATTCGTGAACGCAAAGTAATGGACACTCGGTTATCCTCTTGATGTTGAATTCTATTTCTATCTTTCTAATTTAGTTTGTGGTGTCCATGACCTGATTGATACCCTGGTCGATCATGGAGCCGATCCATCCCTGATCGATGACCACGGTGCTAGCCCCATACATTATGCTGCTCAGATGTGCGGTGATCCAGCCGTGTCAGAGATTGGTATTCTATGTCTTAAGGTATGGGCCATTCTTTGGTTGCCTTTAATAGTATGAAGCACATGATCATGAATTCTTGAAATTATAAATTTGAAACAATGAAGAATAAGGAAATGGATGTTATTTTATAAGAGATCTGTTCATATACCACAAATTGATCTCAACTCTTCACTTTCTACAGGACAAACATATCAAGGTAAAAGAAGGCATCGGCCCTGAAATTGTTGTTCAAATTCTTCTCCTGATAAATCATAAGATTCTGTATTTCAGAAGCCATGAGATATATATATCTGTTGTTCTTTCTTTCTTTATAATTGTTTGTTTGTTTTTGTTGATGAAATTTTTTGATTGAATACATATGCTTCTCTAGGAATTCCTTGCCAATTTCAATATAAAGGTTAAAGCTCATATACATGTAAACAATGGATTCAGATTTGAATTTACATCATTTGATTTGATATTCTTTCATTAAAGGCCTTAATCAAGCGAGGGGCCAAGGTGAATGCCATAGATACGGGTCATAAGACCCCTCTCCTATGGGCATCTAGTGCAGGGAGTAGTGAGGCATGTAAGCTACTCAAGGAAGCTGGAGCTGATGTTACATTGGCTGATCTAGATGGACTTACAGGTATGATATGGAGCCTATATTGGATCATTCTATTTTGTGACGAGACACAAAAAAAAAAAATTCTAACTCAATTGAATACAAAATTAAAACTTTGGAATATTCCTCATTTATTGAAACCGCAAAGAAAAACAAAATTTACTTACTGTCATTGTCATAGTTAGTAATTTCATTATATTAGTGCTAATTCCAAGAAGAGAGTTTGTGGTGCATGGTAAAATGAAATTGTCAATAATATAGAATTCATTACAATAAACTAGTTCAATCATCTGACATGTGTGGGACATTTATGTGAATTCTGTTTTTAAAGAAGAAATATATTTAAATAAATGTTCCTTTTCCCAAACTGCATATATAAGTATTTAAGGAAAAAAAGAGTAATATGATCCAAACGTACATTTGATGAAACAGTGAATATTAATATGCAAATTTTTTATATTGTAATTTCAGCTCTTCACTGTGCAGTGACGTGTGACCATCCAACCTGTGTAGAAACACTCCTTAAAGAATGTGATGCAGTTGTAGACACACCAGATAAGAATGGCTGCACACCCCTCTTCTATGCAGCTTCCATGGACCATGTTGGTAATGTCCAAACATTACTGGAGAGCGGGGCTTCCCCTAACTACACTGATAATAAGGGAAAGAGGTAAGCTGGTAACTTTTCATGTCTTATCTGTGGTGTGCTCAAAGAATTATACTGAATTATAAAATAGCTCTAAGAGCTGACCGGTTAATGTAAAACCAGTCACTCAATTTGTTTGGAAAGGTTTTCAAACTGTTCCTATTCATGTTAATTATGTGAATCATATGTATATCTTTTTCAAATCCTTGCTTCATACCATTTTCCCTCTTGATCTGTCATCCTCCTCTTCCTTCTCTTCCTCCTCCTCCGCTTCCTCTTCTCCTCCCCTTCTCCCTTCTCCTCCCATTTTATCTCTTTCTCTTTAATATTCCATCTCTTCCTCTTGTCTTTTTCATTCTCTCTTTATTTCATTATCCCTTTAATAAACACTCTTCTTTTTTTTAAATACTTTTCTCCTGTGTCTTTCTCTCTTTCTGCTTCATGCTCGATGCATACCTTTAACCCCTTTCTCTCAGATATCTATAAGCTTCCTGCCCCCTCCTTTAACAGTACCGTTAAATAATCATTTCTCCTTTTGCTCTTGCAGCCCGATGCACTGTGCTGCAGGCTCCGCCTCCCTGGATGCTATACGGCTCCTACAGGAGCATAATGGCTCAATGAACCAAGCTGGAGATGAAGGAGAAACTCCCTTTCATGAGGCCATTCAAAAGGGGGATCTGGGTAAGTTAATCTTCACTTCTTCCTTGACATCAATTCAACCTCAAGGCATTGATGGAGACATTTATCATTTCATCCATACAGGTGTAAAATGCATAAAACCTAGTATCGTTGGCTGACTGTTGGGAAAAAATGTAAACTCTTTGTAAACAGTGCTGAATGTTAATGCCCTTCTGGCTCTCAAAAGTACAAGTTTCTAAATTCTTATTTTTTTTTTGGTTATGCAGTAGATGAGATATTAAAAAATTAAGATACTTTGTATTTGTAAACAATTTATCAGTCATGTATTTTTGCAATATGATACTCATTAGATATTCTTTTTGAGCAGCTATCAAGTTATATTATTTTATTGTCATGATTGCAAAATTTCTGCATAATAATCACAATAGGTCATTTATTTAGGGTGCAAATAACAGTAAAAATAAGTTCCCGGTTAATCTCAATTTTTGTTTGTTTCTCTAGACATGATCAAGTTTATGATTGAGGCTGGATGCAAGCCAGACACTCCTGATAAGAATGGCCGTACACCACTCCACATAGCAGCAGGGAATGCCAATGTGGACTTGTGTAGATACCTGGTGGATCTGAAAGCAAACATTGACGCTGGATACAGAAGTGATAATGTTAGTGTAAATAATCATAACAATTAATCTGTTATAGGATGATGGATATGATCCACAAACATTCCTTATCAAGACACAATTTTTTTATAATTTTTTTTGTTTTTGTTTTTGTTTGTTGGGGGGGGGGGGGGGCAAGGATTTCATTCATTGCTGTTGAGTCTTGTGCATAGTCTCATCAAGATTTTGAGCCACCTGTCCTGGGTCATATCTTATGCAAGGATACTTTTTTTCAATTTCTGGTACTTAAGCGATTACAATAATAATAATAATGATAATAATAAAAACGGTGCTTATATTAAAAGCACTAATTACCACCGAAGTCTCTAAGTTCTATAACAAACAAAATACAATGATAAACAATTACATATTAAACAAAACAAAAAGAAAATGCAAATAAACCTACATATGTATTTACTTTTGCTGATTAACAAACTTCAATTTCCATAAAAGATATACATGTACTTTTTTTCTTTCTATCAGTGTAGGTATATGACTGCAGTCAGAAATTGTGCTAATTTTTCTTCTCTTATATTATTATTTTTGCAGGGCTTAAGAATGACTGCCCTAGACTGTGCCTGGGACAGCGGTGCAGTGTCCTGTATGGACTACCTGGCATCCATCGGAGCAAAGAGAGGTAGAGAGCTTGATAATAAAAAGGCCATTAAACCAACCAGCAACTCACTGCATCCTACACAGCCTAGCAATAAGACCAAACAGGACAAGTCCAGCGTTAGTGGACCAAAGACTGTGAATCGACCCACCAGCAGAGATGAGAAACCAGGCAAAGAGGGCGCTAGAGACCGGACAGGAGATGATAGTTTGACATCTCCAAGGAATGAGTCGTCCATCATTGGGAAGAGTCCATACATGAAGGCTCCTCATTCTAGCTATGATCATGCAAAGAAGAGGAATGAAGAAGAACAGAGAGAAGCGGAAGAGAGGAAGAGTCTGAGGTCCACATCAGTGGAAAAGAAAATGGTTGATTGGGAGAGCTACATCGAAGGTATGCCAAATCATCAGGTTTTGTTCTGGTGTACATTTAAGATCCTGGCAAGTGTGTGTCATTCTTTCTGTTTTATCATTATTATTGTTATCATTTATAGGATGTACTTGACAAAAGTTGACATAAGAATATAAAACACTAATGGTTTCTTTTTGTATACACAATATAGGCTGCAATTTCATGTTTATTCAGTCTTTTTATAAAGACTCAATCGTGATTAAGCCAGTGTTAATGGGGCCTTTTCTTAGACAGATTTATTAGAAGGTTTGTGTAGCTCACGTCAAAGAGAGATTACACAAGTTTTATTTGTATATAGCATACATCTATTTTATATGTTTGATTCTACTGATAAGTAAATGGATCCTCTTTGTACTATGTGCTATGTGAATGTTTACTCATTTTTTATTATTCCCCTATCAGAACATGTCAACTTTTTGGATGACTTGCTGGAAGTGAAACATGAGAGGCTTAAAACCGTTCAAACTCATGCCATAGAGGAGAAGGAGTCTCTTGTGAAGAAACTGGAAGAGATCAGAGAAGAGATGGAAAAGAGAGTGGAGAAGAAAAATTCAGAAGCTGAGAAGCTTAGGGTAAGTCTAGATTGTTTGATTATGAGAAGAATAATGTTTGGTCATTTTCATAAAATTATGTTTTGATTTTATTGTATACAACAAATGTAATGTCCAAGTATGTATAATCGTTTTTATACCCTCTGGCATCTGAAAATAGCAAACTAGTTTGATATTTCATTTTACATGCTTTGTATTAATGTTATTCAGACAGAGAGGCTGAGCAGAGTTACGATGTCTCTTTCTCTGGATCACAATGCCATGAGATGGCTAAGGAGAGGAAGCTAATATTGATCATCTAACCATTTTATAGATAAATGCTGTTCAAGATTTGTTAGACCTTACATTTTCAGGTTTAATAAGCCAGTATTTGTACTACATATGCAATAAAAGATAATATCAAGGTTGACCAGACCTGGCTCTTGGACCTAGCGAATCCGCAATATCAGTTCCATCAACATTTTTGTTTCTATAACAGGAAGAGAAGAGAGAACAGCATGCAGAGGAGAAGAGACTTATGGATGAACGATGGAAGAAAATACAACAACATTATTCAGTAAGTACGCTTTAATTTGCATCTGTCACTGTAATATTTTGAATGAGAAATTTTCATTACAAGAACATTTTATATTGATTTGGTAATCTAAATAAAGAGGATGCAAGGAAAGGAGAAGGAATTAACTTTATTTTTTTTTAGCAAAATTTGGTGACTCCGTAATTATATTTAAGAAATAAAACTATACTTTTGTTACATGTAAACTTATTATCAGAATCTACATGTGTTATTTGCATGGCTACACAAATCTATAAGTTGATTGAGTTTTTGAGGGTGTTTGTTTTAGTTTCAATGAATTACCAGCTGATTGATATACCATATGGTATACTAGTCATTAGTTATTCTCTATTACAGAACAAAAACAAAAACTGTGGAAAATCAATAGGGAGGAACAAAGTATTCTATTTGTATTTTGCAAAGTAATAGTTAATCAGAGCCTACAAATATATATCACAGTGAAAAATTAACATTAAATTTAAAATAGCAGTTGTAAGTATCCCAGTATTATAGTTTATGTACATTGTCACTGAAAAACAATTTTCTTCAATGTTTCTCAGTCCTAATTCAATGTGGTATATGTTTCTCCCTAGAACATTGATAACAAAGTGGGTCATCAAATGACGATCCATCGCCAAGCAACACAGTCAATGGACAGTAAAATGGCTAAGATAGAGCAGAAGAGAGTAAGGAGAGAAAAGACTGATATGGAATTAGCCCAAAGGAGATCACGTTCCAGGAATTCTAACCCTGAAGAGTATGTATACAGTATATATATGAAAAATGATCATCTATTATACAGAAAACATTGATTGGTTGTGGTAATCATAGCATGCAGTTTAGGTTTCCACGAACCTTAAAATGTAATAGGGAAGTTGTTATCCAATCCTGTGGACTCCCTGTGTGAAAAATAACTTGACTTGAAAAAGTCCACAAGAGTGGATGATAGCTTGACTACTAAATGTGAAGGTTGTTAGAAGCCTACTTAAACCAAATGTTATGATCATCAATGTTTAGGTAAATATTTTTAACAAATCAACTAACCAAGTAAAACTATTCATTCTCTTTTGAATTTTCACATAGCTACGTATATAATAAACATTTGTAGCATTGTAGAACAGAACTTATACCATGCCTTCTCTGCAGCAAGACCTTAAAGTCAACTATTTTGTAGCATTCAAACTTGCATGACTGCAGAACCCTCATGAAATCTGCAAAGGTTTCTGGTTTTTCAGTAAGTATGTTTCAGTTGAAGATATAATATGTGTTATTTATTCACTTTCAGATAAATATACAATATTTATTGGCTATTAATTCATTCAACTGCTTCAATTTTTTTCCCAGTAATTTAAGAATTCAGAAGCATGTGGACTGGTTAAAACAAAAGAACAAGGACTACTTTGAGAAGAAGAATGCTGTAAAAGTACAAGGACACATCAAAGTTGACAGTGCAGTTCTCAATGCTCACCTCAAAAGTAAGAATATGAAAGTTTATTTTCAGTAAAGAGTAAATTACAACTTAAGGTAATTAAGATCAGTCTTTATACCATTTTAAAGATTCCATTACTTGTTTTCATGATAAAGTAGAGAGCTATGAAAGGAGAGTAGAAATACACAGATTTTATGTGAAGAGAAAGAGAAACAGATTTTCTAGTTAGTACACAAAAATCTTGGAGAGAGACATACGGTACTGGATAGTCTGATCTTGCACCCATCAGAGTAACCTGCAAAAATGAAGAGAAAGCTATAATCACACATTGTTTTCTTATATTTTTAACTGTTGCCATGTCATTTTTTTAAAAACTATTTTGTCATATATTCAAATGATTGAAGACATGGAATAGCTGAAGCTGTTATGGAATAAAAAATTAAATTAGCTTTTCAAAAATTAAATCATAATTCTACAGGAACCTCCAGTCCTAAGTGTCCCAAGTCTCCAGTGCCATCTCGAGTAGATCATTCTCATAGGAGAAGGTCCCCTTCACCACCTCATGATCGCTTACAGTATCAACGTCAGGAGCTGGAGAAGCAGAAAAGACTACTGCAGGAGCATCGAGCCAAGCAGAGACCAGGAACTGTCTCTAGTAGGAGGAGTGCATCCTCAACATCGTCGACCAAACAGTCTACATCATCACCTCATCCTCCTACAAGCTCCTCAAAGGGACCAAGGAGGCAGGATGGAGGCGGTGCTGAAGGGAAAGAGAGCAGGAAGCCTTCCGGTCCTGATGCAATAGGTCCAACCAGTCATCACCTAGCCCAACTCAGGCGTAGCCATGGAGACGGCCTCAACAAAAAGCTCTGGCCAAAGTCATGGGAACTTCATGATAAAAGGGGCAAGCCAAATGATGAGGCAGAAGAGATATTCGATCTCAAAAGTGAGTACTACATATATCTTTCTTTATTTTTTATTCAACAATTCAAGTGGATTTGAAAGAGGGTCATAAAACAAAAATCCCCTGAAATACAACCAATTTTTGACATGGAGAGTTCTATAGAGAAAATTTGATCTACAAAGAGTGATTGCCAAGTTTGTCAGAAGTTTGAAGAATAAAAAAAAACATACTTATGTTCTGATGACTATTTCCTCTTCTCATGATTGGAATGAAACTGATGTAATTTTTTGTTTTTAATATTTTTTGTTTGTAGAACACTTCTCACCCAGATGGGATGGACAGCTAAGACCCAGACACCTCCTCCAATTCAGATCATTAGGTGCCTCCAGACAAGAAGGGCAGACAGAAGCATGATCAAAAGAGACAAAGAAATAACAATCAGTCAATGTGTAAAATTAAACAGTAATGGCCGCAGAGAGAAACAAAAAAATGTTGTACAATGTACATCCCGAGATAACACAGTTTTGCAGCTTTTTGAAGGAAAAAAAAATCATTACGGATACCATCAAGTGCACGCTTCAGCAACATCCATCCCCACTCACAGAGAAAGAGGGGGAGGTGGGTGTTCATGTATTCACACTCATCAGGAGTAGATCCAGAGGAGCCATGAACATTTCAGTCAGAAATTTAATCAAAATTTCAATAAAACTTGAGCCCTTTATCTGCACCTCCAGGATCCAGCAGGATGTCGAAGTCCAGGACAATCCCTGCCTTCATTGCCTATATGCTTTAGTAAAAAAAAGAGAAGAAGATAGTACTGAATTATGGGCTAGATCTAACCCATCAAAAATATAGCCTGTTATAACTTATGATGTGGATGATACTCCGTTGCCCAAAACTTAATTCATTTTCTTTCTTTTAGTCTGGTTTATCTATGTATCCTTTAATCAGTGATAAATAGTATTACATGCCAAATTTATCATGCTTCAGACTTATTACACCTTGCCTTTTTTTTTATATACAATCTTGATTTATAACGATGCTTTATTTATCTTTTTTATATCATTTTCCATAGAGTCATATACACCCTCTAGGAAAATTGCTTATATGTACATTTAATTCACTATTTTTGGATTTTGCATTAATCAGTATTGGATTCGATATTTTCTAGATACATGCCTCGAGTCAGAGAAAATTTGTTTTTCAAACTCAGCAAGACTCTTTTTATGCCTCCGTTACGAAGTAGCCGGAGGCATTATGTTTTCGGGTTGTCCGTCCGTCCGTCCGTCCGTACGTCCGTACGTCCGTACGTCCGTCCGTCCGTCCGTACGTCCCGTTCTCGTGATCGCGTTATCTGAAGAACCGATTGATGGATCCCTGCCAAACTTTGGTCATGTATGTATCTTGCAGAGCCGATGAACTGATTAGATTTTGGGGTCACGAGGTCAAAGGTCAAGGGTCACAGGGTCATTATGTATGCAAAAACAGCTTGTGATCGCGTTATCTGAAGAACCGATTGATGGATTGCTGCCAAACTTTGGTCATGTATGTATCTTGCAGAGCCGATGAACTGATTAGATTTTGGGGTCACGAGGTCAAAGGTCAAGGGTCACAGGGCTCATTATTTATGCAAAAACAGCTTGTGATCGCGTTATCTGAAGAACCGATTGATGGATTCCTGCCAAACTTTGGTCATGTATGTATCTTGCAAAGCCGATGAACTGATTAGATTTTGGGGTCAGTAGGTCAAAGGTCAAGGGTCACAGGGCTCATTATGTATGCAAAAATAGCTTGTGATCGCATTATCATTAGAACAGATTGATGGATTCCTACCAAACTTAGATCATGTATGTATCTTGCAGAGCCAATGAACTGAGTAGATTCTTGGGTCATGAGTTCAAAGGTCAAAGGTCATGGGCTCATTATGTATGCAAAAATAGCTTGTGAACGCATTCTCATTAGAACTGACAGATGGATTACTATTTAACTCAATACATCTTGCAGAGCCAATGAACTGAGTAGATTTTAGGGTCATGAGGTCAAAGATCAAAGGGTCATATATGTATATGAGAAATTGCTTGTAATCAAGATATTCTGAGAACCTGTTAATGGATTACAATTGAACTTGAATTAAAAAAAAATCTTCTGTTTTGGTTTGTAAAATTGCTCTTTGACGGAGGCATCATTTTCGACTGCGCGCAGTCGAAGTTCCATCTAGTTTTTTATGTCAAAAGTTTATATATCTTGGCTGAATTATGTTCACCTGAAATCAGGTGCTAGTATTAGAACCTTGTGCGTAGCAATTTATTTTATTATACATGCTGAATGTAATCTCTGTAAATGAAAGTTACATTTAAAATACTCTATGAAAAGTAGTGTTTTATTATCTATGATATATCATAGCCTTTGTTTACTTTAATTTAGCTCTGTGTATTATTTATTAAATTTCAAGTGTCTGGTGAATGCCACAACATATACCATTTACAAAATGTTATTTTACATTTATTGGGACTGCTTTAAGGGTGAACAATTTTATAAAAAGTATATGACAAGGCTGTTATTTCTACCCAAATTATCCACCCACTTTCTGGTTGAAAAGTTGAGTTATCTTTTACTCTCTTAAATTATATTTGACTTGTTTAAGTATTCTTTGTTTATGTATTACTTCTTGTCATAAAGTGAGTCTACTATTATGTGGATAAATTAATTCATGATTAAAGGTAAAGACCAGTTATGGTCATGCGATTGCATTGTGAAAGAAACGTTGTGGAATCGATCAGAAAAGGTTGATCATCTAGCATATAGCATCGGCAAGGTTCTGGAATCATCAAAATGATAAGAAATTTGGCCCATTCTTCGTAAAGTTACAAGCACTATACACAGAAAGATGTATATGGGACTACCCTATATCTCTCACAGACCATGAGAGAAACAAATTTACCAAATATATGAATTAGTAGGCGGTTTCCCGGCAAATTTGTTATCATCATGTATTAGTCAAAACATATTCTTTCACATGATTGGTAATGAGAGCTTCCATTTCATTTTTTGAAATTAGGGCATTTCCAATACTGGTCTTTACCTTTAAGACACATAACCAATCTATTATTAATTCCGTCCCACCTTTTGGTATTGTTTATATAATGTTTACTGCAACACAGCATTATGCTGTGTATATAGTATATCATACACACAAATGACAATCATGTACAGGTACATGTAATTGTATAGTGGACAAATTTATTTAATTTTAATTTATTTTTGAGGCTGATTTGCAATGAAGCAATACAACTAAAAACCTTGAACCTGGGTATGTACAGGTATATAATACATAATCAAGAGCTATAGTATTCTTCACTAATGTCATGTTTTAGTCTCATTGTGTTTGAAGTGTCATTAGACTTTAAGAAAGAGAAATATATATATTTATAGGGGAGAAGGAGCAAGAGAGATAGGGGAGAGAGAGAGAGAGACAGAGAGAAAGAAAGAGAGCATATACACATCCCCACCATACCTCTCAACAGTACTACTATACACCTGAGGTGGACTGTACAGAATAGAGAGAGAGGTGGAGGGGAGGAACACACAAGAGATGGGAAGAAGAGGGAGAAGAAACACAAGGGTAAGATAATGATATTTTGCAGTTGAGCGCAATGTACAATCAGATCAATCGTGTGTTCTACCGCTAATCTTTGTGTTATGTCAGGAGGAAGAGAGGGATAGATATTATGAAGCAGAAAGATATAGGTAATGGAAGGAAACATTTAACTTCACATCAAAAAAGAAAACGCAGACAAATAATTGATCCAGTAAAGAAATTAAAAATGTATTTGTTTACTCTTCACCTTTACATACTGCTGCAACCATATTTTTCAGATAATACAACATCATGCTTAAAGAAGAAAAAAAAAAGGAAATTTCTCCACAATACCAAAGTGAAATAGTCATGCATTTGGACATAGTCCACACAAAAGATAAATTATCTAATTATTCTAAAAGGAAACAATTCAATACACAGCTTAGAGTGAAATATTTCACTTTTCATCCACCCAAACCTTGAAGTTTGAATATGATCTACTTCTCCATGACAGCTCTAAAAGAGTTATGTATAATGTATCAGCGCTCAATAGAACTGGTTGTCAATGTCATTGCGTAACTTCTATCTATATATTATTCCTATCCCATATGGAACTATTATAATAGGGGATAGCATAGATGTATACATACATACATGTATATAATGATATACAAGTTTATCACAGCTTAGCTGCTTTACAGAAGTTTTCTACATGCTAAAGTTTTGAGTGTAAATTAAAGGACATCAATCCACTTTATGATGTAAACAAATAAAGGAAAGAAAATACTGATATAAAGAATCAAAAGAAACAAGAGACAATCCTTCCTCTGCATGTATAGTGTGTACTTCTAAATAAATTCTTCAGGAACTGTCATGGTAAGGTAAAAGAACTAACCTCACCAGAGAAAGATCCCGAATCAATTGAAACAAAATAAGATAAAAACTTCACTATATTGAAGACTATCAGTACCAATGCAATTGTAATTTTCTACCTTAATGTAAATGTATGTACAGCTGTTAATATAATAGGCTCATGCTGTCACCAAAGTGACACCCACATGGTTTTATTTGATCTACATGTATGTTCCAATGGGTTTTAATGACATATACAGGTCACTCATAAATAACAATTTTTTGGCACTTTTAGCAGACTACCATGACATGCCAAAGATGCTGAGGCATGTACATAAAAACAAAAGAACAAATGAAATGTTTTCAAACCAATGATATTTGTAAATTTCTCATTTACATGAATACATGAAGAAAAAAACGATTTCACTTAGGAGAAATAAATCCCTCCAGAGTCCTTGAAATACTAGATTTAAGTATAATTTTGAATATATCAAAAGAAAAATTGCTGAATCAAATTCATGTCAGTATGTATCATATAAATACCTGTGTCAGAGGTAAAGACTATCATGACACTTTCAACATCATTACGTGCAATTTTATAACCATAGGCAGTTTCACATTCATTTCTTATAAATTGCATTCACAAGTTATGATCAATCATTTTCCCCCAATCTTCAAATCCTTCATCAGACCTGAAAATAATATTGCAGTGACAACAAAAAGAACTCTCCATCATCCTTTGCCAATGTGCAGTACTTTCTTCGTATGAGATCACAGGATAGATAAACTTGAAATTGAGATAAATTATTTGAAATTATAAAATATTCCCTCTCGTCTTTCAATCTTTCTCACATTCAAAATTCACTACCACTATGTTTATTCACAATTAGCAGGGCATTCTCTCAATGCAAGCGGTCACAAGCTGACAATGAAATCCATTGAGGATTACATTATAACACAAAGCAAAGTGTTGATATCTTCTGCTTTAATAAGCATTGCTTACGTATTCAGTTGAAATTAATTTTGAGTTCTGGTTATGATGAAAAACACAATTCTCAAAGAATCTAATCAAATTTAAACTGAATCTTTAAGACTTTCAAATCAACTTTAACGACCAAATAAAGTTACTGTTATTTTTTGCTTAAGATTAAGAAAAATATAAAATGCTGAGTAATTATCAAATAAATATGAGGAAATGGAGATGTTGATCAAGACCATGAGAACACCCATAGTCCCATATGTGCATAAACAGGTTTGTGTTTTTCAGTGACTATGATTTCTAACTGGGCAATCCAATAGCATGTATTGCATGATAATCAATTGTGATTTGAAGTCAGTTTCTCTTGAGGTGCAGTTCCATTGCCAGAACTCAAAGATCACTATGACTTTATACTAGCAGTTTCTGCAATAAAATACAGGGTGCATTTCACCAAAGACATCAACATACCAATGTGTCATAGGTATCCATGTACAGACAAGCCCACATGTATAATATCATAACCAAAGTTTTATGCAGTCAAATATGACAAGAGCAATGGACTTGAACCAAAGATAACTATGCAAGATCAATGAGTGCCATTACCCCCTGGGCCAAGTGTTAATCCCATATTACTCAATCCCTCAGACAGGACTTGTAACTTTAGATCTTCTGAAGCTTTCTTCTTAGCACTTGGATAAAGTACACAATTGCGTAAACAAACAATTTCTTGCTATTACAATGTGTGAAAGGGCATTTATCAAGCTGTTCTACATACATTGGAAATTCAAAATGACATCAAATGCAGATTTCAGAATATTTGTTACTGATACATGTAAGTCCCATTGAAAATAAAATCATCTCCATTCCAATTTATTTGCTCTGCTTGTTTAGTCCATGTTATGAAAGCATTAACTCTCTTTTAGCATCAGCATGAGAGATCTTCATGTATGCCATACAGTGATTCAATGTAATGAGTCCATGCATTCACTCATTTGTATCTAACAATCATCTTGTTCTTACAAATCAAGAAAACTTCATAGATGATGAAGAAAATCAGCTTGGCCTGTAGTACAAGCTTGTGCTTGCTCAATAATCCTGTTTGGATTCAGCTCAAATTGTCGAAAACGGTTCTGTCCCCAGCATTCATGCCCGACTACAAACCACCTCAAGCAGAAACAAACCTGATCACAGCATTCTTCAGAAGTCTTTGAGAGTAAATCATTGAAAAGAATGAAACCAACAGGAAAATAAAGGTCCAATATGCAATGGTTATTGTCTATATCTGTGATTCATCCATTTTTTTACTTCATCTTGCCAGGCCACTGCTGTTCTTTACCGGTAAGGGGTACATAGACCACGCCCATGAGGGTCTTCTTAGTGACCTGTCCTTCTGGTGTCTTGTCGTACTGCTCTAGATTCTGAGCCGCACCCTGTGGTCCTACGGGGATGATGAGACGACCACCAGGCTTCAGCTGCTCGATGAGCTGTTAAAAGATGACACACAACAGCCAAGATTCAGTCAATTTATAAGAAGATTGTTTCTGAAATATCACATGGTTGGATTTTTCTGCTTGCAAGTTCTGTTCAGTGTGCTCTACATCATGCCGGTAACTAACTATAGTATTGAAGTTAATAACTATCTAAAGAAAATTAGTATGTTTTATCTTGGTAAAGCACCACATTCCCATAAACAAGCCCACTTTGGTTGAGAGAGGAAATTCATTGAAGATTATCTTGAGTGCATAAAATAAGCACCAAAGTGGATTCTTAAACATGGATTCTTATTTACAAGTTATTAAAGACAAATTATCAGACAAAAAATCTTACACAACATTACATAAAATGGATTAATCCTGAAATACAAGACAAGCATCCTTCCTAAGTTCTATGCTGCATAAATATGTTACTGGGTGATGAATATACATAAATGCACTAAAATCACATATTGAATGTATTGATTTAATACTTTAACTCACTGCCTGTGGTAATGTTGGAGCAGCAGCACCAACATGGATAGCATCATATGGGGCACCAGCTGGATATCCTTGCCTACCATCGCCAACTGTAAATCACATACAACACAGTGGTGTTATCAGTTGTTGGGATTACCAGTTCTATTCCTTGTTAAGAAATTTAATTGGTCTGTGTGATCAATTCGCTATATCACAGAATACACAATTATGGTTGCAATTAAACTAAGGTCACACATTTTATGCCAAACTTCCTGATATAACAAATTTAGTCACTAGTTTGCACAAGTAGTATGTAAAATTGATAGAAAAGTTTTAGCATGAGAGGTTAAGTATGAAACCAGGAACCATCCATGGATTCATAACTGGCACACATTCAAAACAGTTTTGTGATTATAAGCCATCCAAACTATATGAGCTTTCAAATTTACATTGGTTGCTAAATTTTAATTTTTTAATGTATATTACTATCTCAATAACACAAATATTAATTGTAATACAATGAGGTGAAGGATATCTTTCTTACAATATGACAAGTCAGTCCATAACTCACCTATTAGCTGTATTCTGCCCGATGTCAGTAAATCAGGATTATCTTTCTCTATATTCTTCCTAGATTTATCTACCAGTTCTTTGATGTGGTCTATTCCTACTACCTTCCCGCTGGATCCTACCTGAAAGATGAATAAATTGGCAAAGACAATTTAAAAATATTAACTCCTATTTGTTGTTCTAAGTATTTATCTCCGTCACTACTATTACTATAGAACATTTGTGTGTGTGTTTGTGTGTGACTTAGTTGCAAAAATCCCAACATTTCACATACTGTAGGCATCACTTTGGTGCAAGTCAAGTTTTGCACTCTTGCAAACAATGACTCCTGTTCATCCAAGCATGAACACATACCACACAAAAATGATACCAAATGATTTGGGATAAAATGCTCTTTCATAAGATGTATAATAATTTACTGTTCATAGATGATTTTTAAAATAATTAGCAATTTTTTAGGTGTAAACTTTTTTTTTACTCACACAGTACTTTAATACGATTGTCTCACAGACACTCGTGAGTCTTACCATGATTGCCGTTCAAGCTATCAAGAGTGTCATTATGATTGCCGTACAAAATATGATTGCCATACATTTTATTTCAAGACGATTGTCAGACAGGCAATCAAGAGTCTTACTATGATTGCCATACATGCACATTCTATTTCAATACAATTGCCAGACAGGCAATCAAGAGTCTTACCATGATTGCCATACATGTACATTCTATTTCAATATGATTGCCAGACAGGCAATCAAGAAGAGTCTTACCATGATTGCCATACATGTACATTCTATTTCAATACGATTGCCATACAGGCAATCAAGAGTCTTACTATGATTGCCATATATGTACATTCTATTTCAATATGATTGCCAGACAGGCAATCAAGAGTCTTACCATGATTGCCATACATGTACATTCTATTTCAATATGATTGCCAGACAGGCTATCAAGAGTCTTACTATGATTGCCATACATGTACATTATATTTCAATATGATTGCCAGACAGGCAATCAAAAGTCTTACCATGATTGCCATACATGTACATTCTATTTCAATACGATTGCCAGACAGGCAATCAAGAGTCTTACCATGATTGCCATACATGTACATTCTATTTCAATACGATTGCCAGACAGGCAATCAAGAGTCTTACTATGATTGCCATACATGTACATTCTATTTCAATATGATTGCCAGACAGGCAATCAAGAGTCTTACCATGATTGCCATACATGTTCACTCTATTTCAATATGATTGCCAGACAGGCTATCAAGAGTCTTACCATGATTGCCATACAGGATGTCAAATAGCCACTTCCTGATCCAACATCCAGTGCTGCTTTGCCTTCACTAAGATGATCTTTGAGAAGTTCAAGGGCATGTGCATGCTGAAAGAAGCAAACATCTCACAAATAAACTAATGTAATTTTTCTTTTTTAAGAATGACAAAAGAGAGACATGAATGGCCTAAAATATAAAATTATGATCGGGCAGTTTTCGTTTTAGATTATCAAACATTATTTCAATGATAACAGTCTCCTTGTTGTTAAAATACATTTTACAGGGAATAGCATGTGTGTGATCTAACCAAATATGTACTATCTAATACTACAATTATCTTATTTTTATTAGTTTTTTGGAAGAAAACAAATTATCACATATGTTATTGTTTTTCTTTTCTCTTAATTAGATCCTTATCTGAACATTTATCCCTTTTAAATTTTTCATTACTGACATATGTGAATAATAGCAATAAAAGTCAGAGAATAGGCTTGTTTGTGATCTAAACAAGTTTCATCATATCTAGAATATAATACTACATTTATATCTGAATAAATGATCTGAACAGTGTCTTGATAAAATAGTTCAAATTTTATCATTTGTTTCCCTTTCTTGAATATTTCATTGTAAAATCATTACTTGTACAATTACTTTTTTTTTCATTACTGAATTATGACTTCTTTTTACTTCTTGCTGCAATAATTATTATTGTAAAAGTGATTATAATAATACCTCACTATATAGACTTACCATATGAGGTGCGCTTATAGTTACAGCATATCCTATGGTTTACAACAACAAAAATAATTGGGAAAAGGCAATAATGCATTTGATTAATCTTGAAAATACTACTAATGATATGATCACAAATAAACAACTAGTTTTAGATATCAAAGTAAAATTCTGATCCTACATCTAGTTTGCCCACAAGGAAAAGTACTGATGCACAAGGAGTTGTCAGAATTTATTAAAATGTTGGTAGCTTTGCTAAATCTGATATAGGGTCTTTTATAATGTTGATATATCTGATAGATACCAAACTATTAAGACAAACTACCAATGTGTCAGATTACACAGACATTCAGACAACACAGAATTTATTTTTTAATAGTATCTCTGCCTATCATTTCTTTTTTTCTAAGTGCAACTAATTCTTCTCATCCCATGAAGTACCTCAATTCAAGTAATTAAAAGTTCTACAGATGTCCTATGGATTGCAACCACAACACCATATTTTCATATTTTTGAAGCAGAAAATAATAATTTCTTGTCACTTTCAAAATAGTAGGATTGCCTAGTAATATTAAGTCAACATTGTAAAAGACAAGTTTTGTGTGTATATTCCTGGCTTTTTCTGGCAGAAATGTCCCTGTAACTTATAGAATTGACCAAAGCCAAAAATTCATATAGCAATGCTTACATTATTTAATAATAGATGTTTTCCTGAGCATATCGATCAAATCTTTTCTGCACGAATAATTGGGCGCTAGATCTAGTGCAGAAGTCTATCCAAAATAGCGCCATTAGTTGCTCTAATTTTCTAGAACTAAAAGCTAAACAACTCACCAATACTCTGTGGAGAGTCAGCATATGGACTATTACTGCTGTAATGTTTGCGATCAACACCTCGCATTGCTTTCAAGACTAAATCATTCTTGATGATTCCATTTTCTGCAATAAAATATTGAATACAGATTTTTGGAGTTCATATAATATTCTTGACCAAATAAACATTTTTTTATATTCATAAAAGAGCTGTTAACACTTAAAAACAGCTCTTGTTTAGAATTGCATGACCATTTCCATTGAGATCGATATTAAATATATTAATAATAACAGTTCATTTATATACAAAGACATAATAGCAGACACCATTTTATATTTGTGGGGCTGAAGATACAATTTATGCGTCCTGAACTGAAATACTTCCGAATTCTAATGATTGACATCATCACACATCCATATCACCCATTTAATATATTTACAACATAAAGTGAGATGATATAATGATTGTCATTATGTACCTTTTAGTCTCGTAATGAGCTCTTCGTGAGATTCTCCGCTTGATCTCCACGCCATCTCTGCACGATGAATATACCGCGCCCCTGCGGCCCCCATAGATTTACACGTTCCGTCTGCCTCAAACTCTCCGCTGTCGCAGGCTTCCTCGATCTCGTATTCGGCTCTGATTATGCATGTGACGAAAATTAAAATTAAAATTGAGGACTGAGCCAGAAAAATAAGTAATAGAGAAATTGGAATATGTTTTCTCTTACTTGGCATAATAGATCAAACGCCTGCCTTCACACAAAAAGGAAAACAAAACGTTAAATATTATCTTTGGATAGGCCTATATAATATTATTGCGCAGTTTTCATATCCAACCGTCCTCTTTTT